AGGAGGCATCGGTGAGGTAGAAGGCATTGGTGAGGCAGCAGGCATCGAATATGTAGATGGCGTCGATGAGGAAGAGGGATGAGACATATATCTTAAATTATCGTGTTCACCATATGATTGAGTATAATAACTATAACCACTGTATGCTCCCATGTCTGCATCAAAGATAATTTTATTTATTGCATTTTTTACGTATGCTAATGTAATTTTATCATACTTTCTCAACTCATTTCCTATATATTGGCCATACACATTATAGGGATCATTTTTTTCTGATATATTATCGCTTGCACACTGTTGTAAGAGTGTTAATGCTTCAGATATGGCGTTATCAGTAAGATCATCACTTTCGTTCATTTTGGATCTCTTTTTAGGTCTAGTTGACTTTTGTTTAGGTCCTTCCGTTGTCGTCGAGTTTGAAGTTTCATTTTTTTCTTCGTTATAACCGTCATCATTTCGAGTATTATCCAGACTTGCATTCTGTAAAGATAGAAATTATTACTTAATTTTATTTACAGATACCATCATCCGAAGAAGAGTGGCTTACCATAGCGAAAGAGTTTGAGAGCAAATGGAATTTCCCACATGTCATAGGAGCAATGGATGGGAAGCATGTTATATTACAGTCGCCGATAAATAGTGGCAATGATTATGACTGTTACAAAATGTTTCCAAGTATAGTGCTGTTTGCTTTAGTTGACGCTAACTATAAATTTCTGTACGTAGACGTTGGCAGCAAAGGACGTATATCAGATGGCGGTGTGTTTAAAAATACCAATTTATATAAAAAGGTCGAAAAGAAGGAATTGAACATTCCTTCACCAGAAATATTACAAATACCGTATAAAATTGCAGTGCCCTATTTTATTCTAGGCGATAAAGCTTTTGCTCTCAATGATTACACATTGAAACCTTATGAAGGTACTCCAGAAAGAGGTTCAATGGAAAGGATTTTCAATTACAGGCTGTCCAGAGCAAGAAGAGTTGTGGAGAATGCCTTTGGCATTTTAAGCTCCGTTTTTAGAGTACTGAGGAAGCCGCTACTATTAGAACCAGAAAAAGCTACGAAAGTCGTATTGACTACCATATGCTTATATAACTACTTGCGTAGAGATTTAGCTTCCTCACAAAGGTTCACTCCCCCAGGATCATTCGATGCCGAAGTTGAAGGGACAGTAATACCCGGCCGATGGCGACAGGATACAGAAATGTCATCAATGCTATCTATTCAAGCCATACCACGGCGAGGATCAACAAATATAAAAGAAATACGTTCACATTTAGGGAGACATTTCATAACAAACGGAGCAATTTCTTGGCAGAATAATTATCAGTAAATAATAGGTACTAACTTCTTCACCTAAAGTATCTTGTGTATTTCCTGGGTGATTTCTATCTCCTAGAAAACTGAAGGCTTCATAGGCATACCAATTCGAAACATATATTTCACCACGACCTGCAGTATAAAATAAAAAAAAATAATATTAGAAATAATATTAGAAATAATATAAAAACCGATGTAACTTTGAATATAATAAAATGAATGTTGTTAACCCTAATCATAAACATTAAATAATAAATACCTGATCCTGTGATTCGGCTTTTTTTTTCTCTCGACTTTTCCCTCCTGTAAGACCCTAGTAAAGAGTCCATTTTTTTCTTTAATTCAGCTATTGGAAGGTTCATTTCCTGGCTTATTTTTCTCCATGCATCTTCCCTTAGTCCTCTATTTGTGTAATCAGGACATTGCGCATCCCAAAGTCGTCTATATTCACCATATAGTCGTATTAATTTAAGACACTGTTCTTTATCCATAGCCGCGTACTGACTGAGCGAGCAGCCTCGCGAGGCTGCCTCGCGAGGCAAATCCTCGGTCGGTCAAGACGTGCCTCGCCCGAGGCAAACGCACGCGCTGCCTCGCCCGAGCGTGCCGCGGCCCGAGCCGAACGTTGTCGGTTTTGTCGATGTTCAAAGGCGCCTCAGTACGTTTGCCGCGCTCACTCAAGACGGTAGTGTTTTGCCTCGCTTATTCGTTGCGTGTTAGTTGTGCGTCATGGATAAAGAACAGTGTCTTAAATTAATACGACTATATGGTGAATATAGACGACTTTGGGATGCGCAATGTCCTGATTACACAAATAGAGGACTAAGGGAAGATGTATGGAGAAAAATAAGCCAGGAAATGAACCTTCCAATAGCTGAATTAAAGAAAAAATGGACTCTTTACTAGGGTCTTACAGGAGGGAAAAGTCGAGAGAAAAAAAGCCGAATCACAGGATCAGGTATTTATTATTTAATGTTTATGATTAGGGTTAACAACATTCATTTTATTATATTCAAAGTTACATCGGTTTTTATATTATTTCTAATATTATTTCTAATATTATTTTTTTTTATTTTATACTGCAGGTCGTGGTGAAATATATGTTTCGAATTGGTATGCCTATGAAGCCTTCAGTTTTCTAGGAGATAGAAATCACCCAGGAAATACACAAGATACTTTAGGTGAAGAAGTTAGTACCTATTATTTACTGATAATTATTCTGCCAAGAAATTGCTCCGTTTGTTATGAAATGTCTCCCTAAATGTGAACGTATTTCTTTTATATTTGTTGATCCTCGCCGTGGTATGGCTTGAATAGATAGCATTGATGACATTTCTGTATCCTGTCGCCATCGGCCGGGTATTACTGTCCCTTCAACTTCGGCATCGAATGATCCTGGGGGAGTGAACCTTTGTGAGGAAGCTAAATCTCTACGCAAGTAGTTATATAAGCATATGGTAGTCAATACGACTTTCGTAGCTTTTTCTGGTTCTAATAGTAGCGGCTTCCTCAGTACTCTAAAAACGGAGCTTAAAATGCCAAAGGCATTCTCCACAACTCTTCTTGCTCTGGACAGCCTGTAATTGAAAATCCTTTCCATTGAACCTCTTTCTGGAGTACCTTCATAAGGTTTCAATGTGTAATCATTGAGAGCAAAAGCTTTATCGCCTAGAATAAAATAGGGCACTGCAATTTTATACGGTATTTGTAATATTTCTGGTGAAGGAATGTTCAATTCCTTCTTTTCGACCTTTTATATAAATTGGTATTTTTAAACACACCGCCATCTGATATACGTCCTTTGCTGCCAACGTCTACGTACAGAAATTTATAGTTAGCGTCAACTAAAGCAAACAGCACTATACTTGGAAACATTTTGTAACAGTCATAATCATTGCCACTATTTATCGGCGACTGTAATATAACATGCTTCCCATCCATTGCTCCTATGACATGTGGGAAATTCCATTTGCTCTCAAACTCTTTCGCTATGGTAAGCCACTCTTCTTCGGATGATGGTATCTGTAAATAAAATTAAGTAATAATTTCTATCTTTACAGAATGCAAGTCTGGATAATACTCGAAATGATGACGGTTATAACGAAGAAAAAAATGAAACTTCAAACTCGACGACAACGGAAGGACCTAAACAAAAGTCAACTAGACCTAAAAAGAGATCCAAAATGAACGAAAGTGATGATCTTACTGATAACGCCATATCTGAAGCATTAACACTCTTACAACAGTGTGCAAGCGATAATATATCAGAAAAAATGATCCCTATAATGTGTATGGCCAATATATAGGAAATGAGTTGAGAAAGTATGATAAAATTACATTAGCATACGTAAAAAATGCAATAAATAAAATTATCTTTGATGCAGACATGGGAGCATACAGTGGTTATAGTTATTATACTCAATCATATGGTGAACACGATAATTTAAGATATATGTCTCATCCCTCTTCCTCATCGACGCCATCTACATATTCGATGCCTGCTGCCTCACCAATGCCTTCTACCTCACCGATGCCTCCTACTTCACCGATGCCTCCTACTTCACCGATGCCTCCTGCCTCATCGATGCCTTCTACTTCACCGATGCCTGCTGCCTCACCAATGCCTCCTATCTCACCAATTTCGATGCCTCCCCTCCTCCTTCTCCAGCTCCTCATCATTAAATATTTGTTTGTTTAATTTTCTTATATTATTTGTCAAATTTTCTAATCAGATTAATAAAAAATAATAAAAATATGTAATTTTATTTTACCTTAACATAATCCTTTAACACCTCAATTATAGCATCACAGACTTCAGGAACTATAACCGATATCCTTTGTTTTGATATACGAAATAGATACTGTAGACTGGTATAAGAATCTCCTGTGGCCAAAAATCTCAACGTCACTAATAATCTTTCCCTAGCGGATATTGCTTCTCGAAAATTTGTGTCCTTCTTGCTTATTTTGGCGTTTATGAGAGAATACACATTGTCAAATTCGATTTTACTCATTCGAGTGAAATTTTTTTCTTCGTCATCGAAGCACAACTCTTCAAATAATCTGTTCCCAGCCTGTAATCTATTTTTGTATGACGTAGCATGCTCCTAATGTGACTCCTATCTTATCCTAATACTGCCTTCATGTTTAATTTCATCGGAGACGGATTTTGATCGAAACATGTTGCATGTTTATATATAATTTAAGAATAATAATTAAAAAACTCGAAGTTTGTTTACTTGTTTACAGGCATGGTCATAGAGACTGGTGCGACGCCATCTTGCCTAGATAGTTTTGGCGGGTTATGTTGTATTTGAATCATTATTAATACTTAATTAAAAATAACAATTTGTGTGGGTTCTTCAGTCTCTAATAAATAATTTGAAATGGTTTTTAAAATCTTGTCAAATAGCCCAAAATCTATTTATTACAATTTACGTTACCTTACTAAATCTTGTATACAAGTGTGGATGTAGCGGGTTACGAGGTTTTCCTGTATTAATATATCAGTCATAAAATGAAGGAAACTATTTCAAAAATTACTTCAGTTGTGGGTGAGACACTCAGCAGAGCAGTCTATTACTTATACACTGTAATAAACATTTGTTATGGCGTTGTGGTTAATTTTATTGCTTTGTTACAACTTAAATAATTTTTGCATATTTCATTTCAGAAAATGTCTAGAGGGAAAAGTAATGAGGTGCCATGGATGGATTGGTCACAGCAAGAGACCTTCTCGGGTTCCTTTGAAAAGTCCTCACTGCTCACCGCCGCGCTTACGCACGCTGGCCTCTACATACTCATGTTCCTGGGCTTCATAAACCAATTGTTCTTCAAACCCAAGGTCGCCATCGAAAGAAATCGAGAGGTAAGTTTATAATTGTTTTAAATCAAATATCCATTAATTAAATTCAGTGTCGTTTGAAGGCTTATATTTACTATTGAAAAGTGTGAGTAACAATTATATTTTTACGAGCATTGTTATTATAATCACAATATTTTAGTTTTTAATTACTGGTTTGCTCAAAATATCTTTAAAAATAATTGTTTAATAGTATGGAGAACAATAGAAAAATTTATTAAATGAACACCTATTAAATGTTGCTCCTGTGGAATGTATTAGTCTCTTAACATGTAAAAGTTAATTTATCTTTATATATTTATAACCAGACATATAAAATTCTCATATGACGTAATGACTACTGCAGGCGTTATAGGCCCCAGAATCGGGACATAATTGCGATCTTTTCAATTATGGGAATATTTCAAAAGGATAAAACGTTTACGGATGAAAGTTTCTGTAGAAATCTAATATATTAAATTCTCGTATCACAATGTTCGTTCCCATACTCCTCCGAAACGGCTCGACCGATTTTTATGAATTTTTTTATGCATATTCAGTAAGTCTGAGAATCGGCTACTATCTATCTTTAAAACTCCTAAGTGATGAGAGGACCCCTTCCACCTAAATTTTTTTTTATTATTTGGATAAAATTTTTGTTTTTTAAAGATACAAAATATAAAAATACATACAACCCCTAATTTTCACCCCTCTACGATCAACCCCTATTTATTTATTATTGTAGATAGTTATTTTTATTGAACTAAAAAAATGTTTCCTAAAATGTACATGGCAAAGGTCGGCTAGTAATATCTAAAATTCCGTAATATAGGTGATAGATTAGGTTTTGGTTTAGCTTCTCATATAAAAAATCTTGTATTAAAACTTAAAAGTACTATCAAATCATCCGAATGTAATTATAGTCTATTTAACAACTGTTTAGTTGCTATATGAAACGCAGTTAGAAGATTAATAGATTGTATGGCAAAGACAAGAGATCTGAAAAGTTAATATTTTAACTAATCTAGGTCAGTCGCTTGAATGGAACGTAAAATCTCTCGGCATTCCGCTTTGTGCGCGTGTCCGTAGCTGTCGCATACTGCACTGCGTCGTTTCAATGTTTGCTCTAGGTTCCGAATACTTTAAAGTACAATCAAAATTGTACAACGCAACAAAACTTTTAACTGTTAGGCAATTACACATCAAAGGGCCCGTTCAAGTATTACTTAAGCAGATTTACTGTACTTTATATCCCCCCCTCCTCTTGTCAGCAAAAGTAAGCAAAATTATAGTACATAATCGTATTAATATTTTGTAGGAATCCTCGAAAATGCATTTCGTTTTCAAGCATAGACAATGTGTGCGTAATATGTGTAATGAAGTTAATAATTACTGTTGACGTAATCACCAAATAAGAAAATTAAAGACCCCCCTCTCCCTATAGTGCTTACGTAATACGTGAACGGCCCCAAACACAAAAAACTCTCTTTCTTCGCCCAACGCTTTTTCGCTTCGGAGGGCCTTTCATCTTTAACCACTTCCTTAAAAACAAACTATCACTAACATTACATACATTTACTAAAAATCTCAAAGAATATCTTGTCAACCTGTCCATGCAACATGCTGCACAGAAAATATTCTTATTGTGCAAAAACAGTTTAAATATAAATTTGTGTTATGTATCATAAAATAAAATAGAGTTATCATGTAGACAGAAAGAGCTCACAACACAGGGAATCCTAGTGTCCCCACACTAGTGCACTTTCCCTTTTTTATTTTTTTTTTATTTTTATATAACGGGGGGCAAACGGGCAGGAGGCTCACCTGATGTTAAGTGATACCGCCGCCCATGGACACTCTCAATCCCAGTGGGCTCGCGAGTGCGTTGCCGGCCTTTTAAGAATTGGTACGCTCTTTTCTTGAAGGACCCTAATTCGAATTGGTTCGGAAATACTTCAGTGGGCAGCTGATTCCACATAGTGGTGGTGCGCGGCAAAAACTGCCTTGAAAAACGCTCAGTTGTGGAACGGCGGACGTCGAGGTGATACGGGTAAAATTCCTTGGTTGCCTAAATATTCTGTGTATAATAAAGATTTTTCTTTATTTCTTTCAGTTAGGAATGAATAGGTCTAGACGGGTCTTGAGCTTTTACATTACAAACAACATTGTTTGATGTAATTTCTGCTCGAAGAGTGCTTCTGCACTCGCTACGCTCTAATTATGTATAAATGATATTTCGGGTCAATTAGCGTAGCACGAATGGAGCGTGTTCATAACTACCTGTTGTTGCTACTTGAAAATTTAATAAACGATTCATCAAAAATGAGTCTTAAATTAAAATCATTTTATTTATATCAACTTTGTATAGATAATATTAATTGCTGTTATTATGTATGTGATAAAGTCCTGTAACGGAAATTGAATTATACCGCAAATGTTGTCGAGGAAGGAAAATTTATGTTATGTTATTGACGCAAAATAAGAAACCCATCTTAGGGCTTGTATTGACGTAAACAAGACGCATTGGAATGTCTGAATATAATATTATATATACCATGGTTATGGTTTTATGCCCTATAGTCATTGTACAGCAAACTGATGATTTATTTATTCAATCAAATCAAAATACGTTTATTCAATTTAGATGTGTCTTAGGGCATGCTTATGAATGTCAAAAACGTTTACAAAATTCGCGGAAGAGCAAGAATACGCCATCCGTTCGCAAAACTACCAGGAGGCCTTGTTCTGAGAAGAACGGGCAAGAAACTCAAGTTTTACCCTCCCTCTACATTACAATTATTCAAAGGAAAATGTCATAAACCACAACGTCATTAAAGTTACATAAGTAAAAAAAAATAAAAATCTTATTGAATTACACCACATATATAATGAATTTTCAGCATACAGTATATGTTATAAGCTAACTACTCTCAAATACGTGACAATTATGGCGGAACAAAAATTTTTCAAAAAAAATACATTAAAAATTGAATACTTCCAATTTTAGTTTTTACTAGTAATTTTTTGTTTAACAATGCGGATTAGGTACTAGACCGGCGCTTAACATCTTTTTCAATTGATCAGCCCACTACCGAACATATCAAGTTCTGGATAAGTAGTGTTTATTCTGTTATATTCGCGAAGAATTCAATATCTGGCGAAACTAAAGCCGGTTGCAGACCGAAAACTAAGCTATGCCAAGGCTAAACTAAGCTATGCCAAGCAAGCTAGACTAAGCTAAGCTAGAAATAAATAGCGTGCACACCAACAGCTAACCCAAAGCTCAGTCAGTGTTGCATAGTATGTGCAAAGGGTGTGCGGGGTAGCGGGAGGGGCTTAGCTTAGCTCGTGTAGCTGCACATCGGCATACACAACTAACTTAGCTTCGCATACTTTAGTTAGCTCACATAGCTTAGTTCGCATAGTTTGCGGTCTGCACAGACGTATGGAAAATTGCGTCAGCTATGCGAGCTAAGCTAAACTAACGTAGCTTAGCTCTTGGTCTGCAACGCGTATAATAGTTTAAGGTTGGAACAAACATGCAGTTACTATCGGTTGAAGCATAGAAGCATAATAATCAATGAAACGAAGACATAAAAAGTCGGCTCCATGGTCCATCGGGTAACGAAATTTCGGACTTAACAAGCGTAACATATTTATTTACGTAAAGTGTAATTAAGTGATTACGAAATGTGCGTAAATGTATGTAAAAGAGTGTCTTATATCAGTATGAAAATGGCAATGTCCAAAGCCATAGAAGAGTTGCTTATTATTAATCGTAGTTATTTTATTCCTATTATAAGAAATACGCAAACTACGCTCATTGGAGCGTCTAGTAGGATTACTCGCATCTTCGACACACACGCACACACACTGTATTCATACATAAACATTCGCACAACACAAGGTAGTTAGGAGAGATTCCCCTTCCACATTATAGACCGAAATACCTATGAAATAAACGCATACTTAAAAACATGTATTTTTTTGGTCGTAGAACATTAAACAAAAGCCAAAAATTGTAATAATGAGACACCCCAATGCTACACGATGCTAATTATTTTTGTTAATGCTCATTATTCTAGACAGCCATTAGCGTAAATAACGCTCCACAAACCATCAATATAGTTATAACGGTTAACTTGTTAACAGTTATCATATTAACTGTGATATATAATTAATAGATGGAATCTCCTTTAATCGTCATCAGTCATTCTTTTTGGTCGATCTTTGGACGTAGGCCTCCTTCATTCTCCTCCAACTCGATAGGCATTGCGCCTTTGGCATTATTTTCCATTTGCAGCCTGCATGCTTTGTGATGTCAGTCCATCCCAAAAGCTTGGTGTGCTCAGTAAGGCGAGACGATACTTCACTCCGGGCCACCACTTGCAACTCTATAAAGCGCAAATTCGGCCCCACATGGAGTGCTGTGCTCCCCAGTACCAGCTATTTCCGCTTGGCCGTATTTAACGAAGAGCGATTTGAATCGTCGACGACCAGTCATTTTCCGTGCGGCTTAATCCCTTAGCGTTGCGTAGAGAATAGAGATATGGGTTCTCTCTGCATGTTCTACCTTTTATTATTTATTTGTAAAAAGTAAATAATTACTATTGACGTAATCACCAAATAAGAATATCAAAGACCCACCCCCTGTAGTGCTTACGTAATACTTGAAGGGCCCCATGGATATTACGTGGACCAGTGTCGTATAGTACGTCGGTTTATATAAGTTTGTTATAATACACATCGTTAAACGTCGAAAGGCAGTATCGTTCTTTGAAAATTTTATAAAGTTAGTACTGTAGCATTTTGTAGTTAGCTACCGTAGCTTGGTAGTACTGTAGCATTTTGTAGTTAGCTACCGTAGCTTGGTTAGGAATGGTTCGACGGATTACCGTATATTACCGTATGGAGGATGGAGGATTTTAATTATAATAAACCTAACAGACAGGCAAATAAATGTGATTTTTATTATTATTTTTAGTATTTGTTACCTATATTAATGATAGCCTATACTTTGTTTTTATTACGTAAATACAACTAATATGAGTGTTTCATTGCTCAAATAAAATATTAATTATTATTCTTACCAATTTGAATTGTATAACGTTTTATTAAGACGTCATTAATGAATAATACTTACTATAAATTATTGATTATTAATTATCAAATCACAGTACATAAGTGGTATGACTCAATATCAGCTGTAAGTTATCGCGATAGCAGAGGAAAATGTAAAATATGTATTACTTTTTTATTGTTCTAGTATGATTGTTTAGTTTATCACCCCTTGAAACACGCGACGTAATCTAATCGGTATTCTGTTCTTATGCTAGCTACAGTAACATAAGTGGTTTTTTAAATATATATTTTGAAATGTTTTTCGTCTTTGTATTAGTTATGCTAATTGTAATAATAAAATATTATTTTAATGGCTAATAACGTCAAAATTTTGTTATTATAATAAACTACTGAATAACATTGAGGAAAATAGCTGTTTTGTTCTTGGGTCAACGGAATGATATAAATAATAGAGGATATTGATGCTAAATTAAACGCTATGCTATGCTTATAAAATATTGAAGAGAGCTTGCGTCTGGCTATACTTTCGGGGCGTAACTCCAACGATTTAGGTAATCGCCACGCTTATAATAAAACTAAGGTCGCCTGCTATTAATTTAATTGTCGACGCTTTAAAAACCATTAAATCATATTTCTTTAGTCGCGTCCTTCACTGCCCAATTTCCATGTTTTTTTTTATTTTTGGGGTGGTGGGCTGGGCACTTCAAGTTATAATGTAAATTTGTACCATTTTCTTTATTTGTCCTTATCTTTGACAAGGGATATGCGCCATTGTACAACCCGTTTGAGCAATTCTTCTCGCGCTACCTGTACCGTCGAGTGAGACACTGCTTCAACCTGCCTGTCACATCGACACCCGCCGCTGAGGTCACGCTAAAGCAACGTGCTACTGATGATTACAACTGGACCTTCAGGTTTGTTCAATTCCTGTATTGCTAATTTCTGTGGAGATAATCGATTTGTACGTTTTCTTTTTCAAATTAAGATGCAGAATCATTAGTATTAATTTTCCAAGGAAACCAAAAAAATGTATGACCCAAAAGGGTGCTGTAATAATTGTTGCGTAGGTTGGTTTAATTTGTAAGGCCGACTTCATTCGTAGCGACGCATCACCTAGAACTTCTACAAAACAAGAAGTACTAGTAACACTTACTAACACAACATATTGTGCATCATTATGGTGTAATTTGTCAACAGAATCGATATTTGTCTTTCATTTTTCATTCTGACCTGCCAGGCCCTTTTTTCTCACAGAGTAATAATAAAAAAAAAATGCCTTTTTATTTATTGCAAAAGAACAAAGTAAACTTAATACTATTTTTACACATATATTTTTAAAGTAAATTACAAAATTATTATTATTTTTTTTCCTAGTTTTTATATCTATTTCCCAATTATTATTTTGCAAGAACCCTTCCGCAGGTGTAGGCCTCCTCCAGGGATCTCCAGGTATCTCGATTTTGGGTGAGCTGCATCCAGCTCGAGCCAGCCGTTTGAGCAATGTCGTCCGCCCATCTCGTGAGCGGTCTTCCTCTGTTTCGTTTCCCAATAGGGCCACCCCACCTGGTCACTCTTATGGTCCGTCGATCGTCAGAGAGTCTTGCTACATGACCTGCCCATCTCCATTTAAGCTTTAGAGCATAGTTTAGGGCATCAGTAGCTTAAGACACAGAGTAATATCTCGCAAATAATAAGTTACGTAATCTTCCAGGTTCACCGGGGAGGAAAAGAGATGTATAAACCTGGGTTCCTACAACTACTTAGGTTTTGCGGAACCGCGCGGCGAATGTGCGGATGCGGCTGAAGATGCCGCAAAACGATATGGCCTCGCGCTTGCTTCATCGCGTGCGGAGTTGGGCACTTGTAACGTGCATCGCGAGCTTGAGAAGACCACTGCAGACTTCCTCGGCGTGGAGGTACTCTACTCCACCCTATAGTCCTATCTACAAGTTGATGATGGCTATAGAAATATATCTTACCCAATTGCAGGACGCGATCGTCTTCGGGATGGGTTTCGCGACAAACTCAATGGGCGTGCCTGGACTGATCGGGAAGGGTTCATTAGTCTTAAGTGACGAGAATAATCACGCCTCCCTCATCCTGGGTTTGCGCTTAGCACGGGCCACTGTGCGGGTCTTCAAACACAACGACATGAAACATCTTGAAACACTCGCGCGTCGCGCCATTGTTGAAGGGAAATGGAAGCGGATTATTGTTGTTAGTATATATTTTTACTAAGAAGTCGTGATCTTTTGATCTAGTGTGATAAGTGATTTATTATAATGTAATCTATAACTTGCTTATATTAAGCAGACTAAAGATAGTAGTCGTATAATCTTGGACTTTTTTGCTTTTATCTAAATCCGGTTTTGATTTACAGGTGGTGGAAGGTGTGTACAGCATGGAGGGGTCTGTCGTTCCCCTACGCTCCTTAGTAGCGATAAAGAAGCGTTACGGGCTTTACCTGTACCTAGACGAGGCGCACTCAGTTGGCGCAATGGGCCCGCGCGGCCGAGGAGTCACGGACTACAGCGGAGTAGATCCACGAGAAGTCGATATACTTATGGGGACCTTCACAAAAAGTTTTGGCGCTGCCGGCGGGTACATAGCGGGTTCCCGTCGACTTGTCGACAGTGTACGTGCCCGCGGCCATGGCCACACGTACGCACATTCTATGTCGCCGCCTGTAGCCGCACAAGTGCTGGCCGCCATGCGCGCCATCGCCTCACCAGCTGGTGCGGCACGAGTGGCCGTTCTACGCGATAACACACGCTACTTCCGTGAAAGGCTACGCTCCCTGGGGGTTATAACATTCGGACATATTGACTCTCCCGTTGTGCCAATGTTGGTTTACACATTTAGCAAGATGGCGGCCACAGTGGAGAGGCTACAAGAGCGCCGTGTGGCTACTGTCGGTGTCGGCTTTCCCGCTACGCCGCTGAACAAGGCGCGTATACGGTATGTCGTTTTCTATTTATTTTTCTTATTAAGAGATATAGTTTTAATAAATTTCATTTCTTATAAAAACCATTTTTCTATTTAAACAGCTGCATACTCAGTCATAGCATCAAGTGCAATATGATATAAATATAAGTACAGTCAAAACCATTTACGATGACACCGTTTATATTGACCAAAATCAAAGGTCCCGGCTGAATTCTATTGTATTAGGTACTTAATAAGAACGTCATCGGCTGTAACGATATCGGTTTTTACGACCAAATATGAGTGGTCCCTTCGATGTCGTTATAACAGATTTTGACTGTATGTATAAAAAGTAATGTTTAACTTAGTTTGTGAACAGCACAATTGTTGCTCCATCGCCAAAAAGCAAAATTAAAATTATGTTCTACCATTTAATACATTGTTCTGTGCAGGTTTTGCTTGTCAGCTGCGCATAGTCGAGCACAGCTAGACGAATGCCTAACAGCAATAGAAGCCGTTGTGGACGAGATAGGTCTTCGATACTCGCGCAAAGCCTAGGACCTAACCCCAAGTGGATCAGTACATTACCCTAAGTGTTAATCTACGTGCTATGTCACGTGACCATGTTCAGTTCACAAAAACCGCGTTACAAGTCTCGCTGCACTGCAGAAATCGCGTTCATTTATATACATTATGAAACCAGTGATAAAAGTATTACAGCAATATGGCTATGTTAAAGAAACATAGTGTGTGACGTTCTGAGAAGCGCAGTGCGGCCTTTGAGTAATTTTAATTTATATGTCTGTACGAATGTCAGAAGTCAGTGCGGAGGTTGACAATGTTATCTCTGATAGTTAATTATTGTGTAAGTTATACGTAATAAATTATTTTCGTATTATATTCTTTTTTTATACCACCCAAACTTTATTTAAATCAAATATATATAACATGTAGCAATATCTAATTGGGACAGTCCACAGTGAGTGCTCATCGCGTTTGGTCTTGAGTCTCGTATGTTACCTTGCTCCAAGTCTTTCCAGCTCTCTTTGCCTCACCTGCAATCAGTGGCGTAACTATACCACCTGGGGCCCGTGTCAAATTCGTTTGATGGGGCCCTATCAGTAAAAATCGTCACGTTGTACTCAGCTTAATTTTAATAAACTGAGATTTTCAGAGTACTCAATTATACGTTGTATATGTCCCACAAATGGCCATAGGACTCTCTCTTAGGCGAGAGGGAATGGTTTGTAGTCCCCACGCTAGCCCAATGCGTATTGGAGATTTCACATTCATCCGTAGAACATAATATCTCTTGGGCAGGGGCCCTCTAGGGTCGGGGGCCCGTGGCATTTTGCCAGCCCTGCCACCCTATTGTTACGCCACTGCCTGCAACAGTACTAGCTAGCCAGCCACTTTGCTTTGGACGGTGACGCTTCCTCTTTCCTTGCCGGTCCCAATCAAGCGTATGAGTTTGATTCATACACGATAATATTTAATAAGTAAATATTTTTATCCAAAAATCTATTTTAAACGTACGGAAAGATAATTTGTTTACATTAAACTTCGTAACGAAGGTACGGAAGGCATTAGAATTTTATGGAAGTGAAATGATTGTTTACGAACATTTAATGAAATCCAACCTAAAGCCCTTAAAATAAAGATATTAGCTGGATTTGTATTACCTTATATGTATGACCCATTAACGTTTTTAAAAATTATCAGATAAGTATTGATCGCTGGAATTCTCTGCGGTATCTGATAAGTGTCCGGTTGGGTTGTTATCGACGAGCGGTATTCGCACTCAGTGCTATTTGATTTGTGTCACTACAATTACTCATATCTCTGGTTAAGAATATGTAGTGTAGATTTGTTTAAGGATACTCTCGAATAAATTTAAGTGGTAATGTATTTATTTGTGTTAGTGTGCATCGGATATGCGCACGCGCAAAGCGTCACCGTAGTGCAGCTTAAGTAAGTATTGAAAGCTATGAGATTTAAATAATATTTTGTGGGATTTGGTATCATTGTATTCAGCTTATTGTTATACAAAGATGTTAATTAGAATAAATGCTATTATACTAAAAATAAAAACAGTGATGTTATGTCATGTCGTATATGAGGAACTGGGAACAATCTCAAATTAAAGTGTCTTTCACTGACCACGATTCTTAAAAACTCAGCCTTTACGCTAGTAGCTTAGATGAATTATATATATTAATCGTATAACTAAGCTCCTAATTAGAGATAATTTAATGAAATACTAAATACGGACGTCCGATTAGTAATAGTTAAAGCCCTTAGGTAGCTGGTAAAAATTACCCAAACACGTGTATAAAAACGAACATCAACATTTAATATTTAACTTATAACACTGGAATGTATATACTATAGGTACAACAATAAACTAGATATCAGGATGATTAACGGTGGTTACTTGAGTAAAGTTTATGCTATATACCTAACTGTCTAATTCTTTTTAAAATCACTAATCTAACCATACGTATAACTTGTTATTTGAACTAGATTGAATACTGAACACATTTGGGCGTTTGTTATCAGTTCAAATAATTTCGACGATATTTAATAGGGGTCAAGGGCTGCGTCTAATTGGCAGTAAATTTTTTCTAATTGTTTATACGCGATTTAGAGTTACTAGGATATATTGTTGCTATTGGATGTTAACATTAATTTAAGCTAGTTAAACAAATTAAGAATGTTGAATCGTAATTAGGGATTGAAAATAAGCTTTAATGGAAATCTTTTCTTATTATATTTAAGAACAAGCTATCGCGACATTTTTTTGTAGATATTTATATGTTCTTTAATATTGTTAAACGTTTTTTTGTTCTATCATCAATAGTTTTCGTAGCACATGCTATGAAATATATTTTATAGGCATTTTTTTTACACCTTGGGTAACATTTTTGTAGTTCGAGTAGGGATCCTTATTTTTTTCTGCTAATTTAAATAACCTATATTAATCAGCGATAATGTAGCATTCAAATGGTGAACAAACTTACATACAAATCTTTCCTCTTTATAATATTAAGTATAGATTTGAATAGTAGCTCTTATGACAGATACCAATAATTCGTGTCTACATCTTTGAATTGTACCTTCATTGTTATTGCTATATTTATCAAGCGACGAAAATATTCTTAATATTACAGCCTCCCATACGATGAGATCTACTCGCTGGAGCTTAATAGTACAGTGGAGTACATTCTAGACTTTACACCAGTAAGTATCGCATTCTAAAATATTTACCACACCCTTTCTGTCGTATATATATACGTATATGTTAGTTGACAAGTTTATTAAGCAGTATGGGTTTCTGTAGAGCGCAGGTGTTACTCGTGATGCTCCACGTGTCGTATGGGCGCGCGTCGAGGGCGGAGATGGTTCGCGACCCGTGCTCGTTACTGCCCGGCAGCGCGCAGGTATGTTTCGGTCTTTAACGACTTATCCGAACACGAAAACCATTCAGTTGGTAAATAAAATTATGAGATAAATTATTGTTTACGTCATCATATTTTTATGCCTTAAAAAAAATTCTGAGCAATCGATAATTATGCGTTACCATTGAATGGTTGCATGGTTTCATTCTATATAATTATTCATAAATTTATTTGGGGTATAAGATTGAATTTCTCTAATCCTAATGTTAAATGTTTAATATACCGTCACTGCCTTTACGTATATTCAGTTTTAGAATTAGGCGACCACAATTCAAGTTAAGAATGTCTTATAAAGTTGTTCTAATATACGTAGGTGCTGAGACATGGCAACTACCTTACGAGGTGAATCGACGCAAATTGTTCGAGCTGGAACGTACACTTTGTCCTGATGACGCACATCTAGACACGACAGGTATGGAAAATGTAATGTGTACCTTTACCCAGGTGTCTGTCAAAATAACTATCACAATATTTCTTTGTTGTAATTAACCTACGTAAATATTTTGTTATTTTTTTACGAAAACTTTGTAATGTTTCAGTGACCGAGCAACGCAGCTCTTACTCGTTGCACGTGTCGACGTCTAGTTCTACGAGCGTAGCATTTCACGTACGCGTATCTATAGCTCAGGCGTGGCGTCTCGACGCACCTACCGCGCTCTTTGCCACACAGGTAGGTACTTCACTCTCTGAAAAGAGACTTATGCCTCCCGTATGTCAAAATCCAATACATTTTTGAGTTAGAACCTTATCTCGCTTCTGAATCTTACCCTGAGGCTACACTGGATAATACCCTGATACCGTGATTATAGGATTATTACAAAATTTAAACGAAAGTTTGGTAATCATGGTAACAAATATGGTACCTACTAACCGTCTTCTTAAAAAGTTACTAAATACACTTTACTACATTAAATCACGTAATTATTTATTTTGAATCTATAATTTTTAAAATAGTTTGTTGCGTTCTTTACAGCAAAATGGACTCTTAAACAATTACGATGGGTAATCTTTGGTTAAAGAGTTAGCACATTATAACCGAGCAAAGAGTGTCTTCTGAAATATGTTACATACTCGCTAAATAAAACAATAATTTAACCTCGTATTTTTTTAGTTTGCTCCCCGCGTGCTTTCATACCAGTTCAAAGGCGAAGAGAATCGCGTGCGGCTTGTCGTTTCTTCTGAAAGCGAGCTGTGTGCTACACTATCCCTTCAAAACTATTCGGTATGTATCATGATAATAATTGAAGACATACTAAACAAATTAAACTCGTATCATTGCGAATAAGAAGGGTGTTTGTGTGGGCATCAAGCATGATAGCATCATCATATCATCAGCATAGCTTCTAAACAAATGGGTCTATTATGAAAGCTGACGTGAACGAGATCGGACACTGCCGAAGATTTAAAAAATGTTTTAAACTACGAAAAGATATTATTTAAATACGCAGCCGTGTCGGACGGACGTTAGTCATAAGGTTGCTTTGTAATTTTCTTTGACCATCACTAACGTTCGACCAATAAACGGAACATTTACAACTCTGCTTCGAGTTTCATTTCGATATTAGCATCGGTTCAGATCAAGCCGGCGTACGCTTACTCGTAATTTAATTAAAATACAAAATTACAATTAATGTTACGGCTATCCGATGGTAGGAATTTGAATGTCAACACAATTATATAAAATTAGGTTCCACGGGGTAATAAATGCTGACCGTGCACCGTGCGTGAGGCATGTGTAATTCCAGTCAATTGCGAAATGGTCACTGGGCGACGTAGCAAAATGGTTCTTTGCTATAATCTTTTGTGTTTATTGTGTCTTGCCTAGACAGTATAATATGAGTTGATTGCGACGATTAAATAGGCATCTCCTGCACATGCGTGCCCTCTGAAAGGCTGTATCTCACATCAGATTTTGGCCAAACGTCGGTCTAGATCTGTATAAAAAATCTAATGTCCTTATTATTGTTTGGGTTTCCAGTGTCCTATTGCGCAGACGATAGACTCGACAGGAATGACTGCTGAGCCGCGATTAACAATGATGCTTTCAGGAGCTATGTCGATTGCGGTATAAACTCTTTTTATTTTAAATTGTTGAGGAAGTAAATAAAACTGGTTTTGATTTTTATTTGGTGTCATATATGCCATAGCCAACTAGCTTAATCAGGCGTTCAATTAACAGCCATTTGATCAAACAGCTAGGCAAATATGAAATAACTTAGATCGATGAAGTTTCATTACTTCCACTTTTTGCCACCTAGCGCCGAAACTTTCCAAACTGTCAATATGGCGTCGCTCGTAATTTGCAAGAACAATAATATACTACATTTTAAATATATTAAACAAAGATTTTTTATGTCAGATGATTCATCTCTTTTATTTCACAATAAAAGGGAGATTGTACGAATAGCCTAAGCATTAAATGTTTTAAGAAATGCTACTACTGAATATCAACCAGACTAGACTGTTGTTTTTTTTTAATTTTATTATTTAAAGACAATTTACACCAATTGACCTAGTCCCATGCTAAGCTGGTGAAGCTTGTGTTATGGGTACTAGGCAACGGATATACATACATACATATTATAGATAGATAGACATATAAATACGTATTTAAACACCCAAGACCTAAGCAGAACACCAAATGCTCGTCATCACATCGATGTTCATCTCAGCCGGGGATCGAACCCGTGACCCATGGATTCGCAGTCAGGGGTACCACTAGACCAATGAGTCGTCATTGACTCATTGACGGTCGTGATTGAACCGCTAATTAAGCCAGTTGGCTGCGACATATATGTAGATTATTGACAAATTATACAGCGATCGCAATACCCCAACGGATTTTACGTGGTGTTAGTGGTACATGCAACAGATGAGGCGTGTCTAAGCGAAATGCCCATAGAACCACGGGCTGAGAAATTGTGGGAGGCATCGCTGGCCGGAGAATTGCCATCCTACTTGCTGCCTCACGCCCCAGACCCTATCGAAAGACGGAAGGACTTTCTGGTGTCCATACAGGTAGCGGTCGTTAAGTTTACTTCTACGATAAGAACGTTGTTGTCATTAATATTATTAACAAAGTCTCTTATGTCAGACTGTCTAATACATGTCGTGATTCTAATTATCTAAAACAACGACTTGCGGTACAACCCTTGGTCTTGTCCTCAGACTTCTGTATCTGATTCTTCATCTTTTTTTTAATAGACAAGGAGGTAATTGACATTTTGCGCCAGATGGGCCGTTCAAGTATTACGTAAGCACTATAGGGGGGGAAGGGGGGGGTTGGTCTTCGATTTTCTTATTTGGTGATATACGTCAACAGTAATTATTTATTTACTATTGGCTTTGTTTGTAAACAAATAAATTTTCGAGGATTCCTACAAGAAATTAATACATTTTAAATGTAATGTTTTATTTTTATTTTTGAGAGCTTTGTTTACTTTTGCTGACAAGAGTGGGGGTGGGGGGGATAAATTGCAGTATATCTCCTTACGTAATACTTGAACGGCCCCAAGCACACGCCGCCGGTTTTAAGTTTTTATTTACCGAGCTAGCTTTAAATACGAACATAGAAAGATACGCTCATTGGTGCATAGCCGTGATTCCAACGTACGACCTCAGGGCTAAGGGCGAGCGTACGACCCATGTGACCAACACAGCTCATAATGTCTGGATGTGTTGCCCATAATATATATATATACAATGCAGCAATGGTGCTACAACATTTAAGCTCTTCAATAAATTATTTTGGATTAAGGTAAATTTTAATTTTAAAAATAGAATTTCTATAAGGTGATTCGCCCTTCTCACTCTCTCTCAATCGGTCTCAATCGTTCTCTCCCTTTTCTTCGACAAAAACGCTGCACATCTTCGTGACGCTAATATTATTATTATTGCGTTTCATCCGTAAAAATTTTACCGTCCTTCGCCTAAAGAAGTTTCACTTCAAAAATTGTTTGTTGTCAGAGTGCACTCAGTCGACAGCAATACGTAGTAGCTGCAACAGTGACGTTAGCAATATTCCTCTCATTTTACGTGGCATTCGGAGTTTTGGTGGTGGCCCAGCGCTGGTCACCTTTCGCGAAGCTCGTCGCTCCCCAAGCAGTGCTGGCGGACAACACTTCACGGTCTGGTTGGTGAAATAATAAAAATAATATATTTTTAAGGCATATTCAGTGAGATTTTAATACTTAGCTATGTACCTTTTCTACGGCTTTAAAATGTTAACGATAAAACTACAAAATATATTTAAATAAATTTTAGATTCTAATATGTCAAAATCCAAAATAAAGTTTGCGCTACATTTCGACGATTTCCAATCCACGGTAGGGTTTCGAACTCACCTATGTGTAGGCTACACATATGTGACTATATACATAGGAGGCTACATACATTATCTAATCTAATAAATTGGCACACCTTGTTTTGTTTTCCATAGAGAGGTGCCACTTTTTGGTCTTCGTTTAAAACATATTACAACATTTGTATGATTTGTCTTGTCCACGATTGCTCGATACTTTCAGTTATGTAAATTATCAAAAAGTTTATTTTAAATACCGATATCACTTGACAAATCTAAAGTTTTTAATATGTTGTAACAAAACGGATATAAACCACTAATTTGATCTTAATAACGCGAAGTGTGGGAAAAGCCTACTGAATATTTACATAAATTTGAATGTATAATGCACAATTTTTTCAGGCATAGAAGCCCAACACGAGCAAACACTGTCTGACCCAGCTGCATCTCCCCAAGAAACGTCTCGACGACTCTCAAGTAGGCATTATTATTTTAATTTAATATAATATAACATATTCGGCGGATATTATATAATAAATAATTTTAAAGATATTTTTTCTTTTCAGCGAACACATATGACCGAAATGATGATAGCGACTCCGAAGACGACGAGCTTGCTACTACGACGACGGCTGTGTCTGCTCCCGGCGCAGGTCCTGATCCTGCTTCAGTTACTGGAGCTGGAGTACAGGTTCGATTATTTGACACTTAAATATAAAATAGCTATGTTTTGCCTTGGTCACACTAAATCTTGACTTGGATTTTTTTTAATATTTAATGGGGCACTTTATGAATACCGGTTCACAGGGTCCCTTCGGTTTACCGGCGAGATTGCGCGTGGCAGCACTAGCACGGCAGCGCGAGCGCACGATACGGGCGCGGTCTGACCGCTATCTGTACACATTGTACACTGTGGCCGTATTCTACGCACTGCCCGTGATCCAGTTCGTGATCGCGTTTCAAGTTGTCATGAACGTGTCCGGCTCGCTTGATATCTGTTACTATAATTTCCTTTGCGCACATCCAGCTGGTGCTCTTGGCGATTTTAACCACGTGTTCTCAAATCTTGGTTATTTATTGCTCGGAGCGCTGTTTATGCTGCAAGTACGACGTCGTAGGGCACGCCGTCGACGCCTGCCACGTGACCCGAATTATGGTATACCGGCTCACTATGGGCTTTTATCAGCTCTAGGTGCGGGAATGATGGTGGTGGCGATCCTCTCCGCTTCGTACCATGTCTGCCCTAATCGCCTTAACTTTCAATTTGGTAAGTTGTAACGTTATAGTGAGATATTTACAACTAATAGTTTAATTTATATGAGAACAGATGTTGTTAAAACAGCAGTTAGAACCCTTCATAAATGATACCATCAAATACTTTAATCACAAAATTTAATTTGACTATTTTCGTAAATCGCTGATTTCGGATGGGGTCACAAAGTCCCTTGAATGTGTCTTCGCTCAAATGTTATCTACAATCTGAAGTCGCTGTAACTAAAATTCAATAAAAATATATTATACGAAGTTAATAATATAATTAATCACACAAGTGTAAACTTGTGGTGCTTCTAGGCACTGTTCTTATCTATATAAGGATCTATCCTTAATTATCTATTCCGTGCTCAAACAAATATTATAGGATACAGTTTTTAAATGGTTATATAGAATTATTGGCAAATAATGTTCGCAGACACGGCATTCATGTACGTGCTAGCAGTCCTGAGCACGATAAAGATATATCAAGCAAGACATCCTGATATCAACGCGAGGGCACATGCAACTTTTGGAGTGTTGGCAGTCATCATCGCCTTTGGTAAGTTGGATGACTCTAAAAATTTTAAAAATGTCCTGAAAATAGTTCGGAAACCTAATACACATTTTAATAGAATGACGAAATGATAACGCGTTTCGTTTGATTTTGATTGGTCAAACAGAAATTCTAATCGTGTCTCGTGTGTTTGCGATTGGAGTAGAGACACTGTTGATTCCTCCCTGTCATGGCCCTGCACGTCAATGAAACTGAAATGTAGTTTCAACAGCTGACAAATATTTTTTCTGTATGAAGTTTGACATATTTGACAGCGCTGAAGACAAGATTGTGACTTGAGATATGATTGACTTAAAACAGACTTGAAGGCCATTCATTTTATAGCAATAAATTTTTGTTTTCTATGCGAAGAACATATTCAATATTCATTCATTCATAACAGTTTATCAATTGAGCATAAAATTTTACGAAAACCTTCATATTATGGAACAGAGCTTTTGTCACTTCACTCTATGGACAATTAAAACGTCTGTTAATCTATAAAGTTCATTAAATATTTCCATGCATCAGAATAGGTTAGGTGTCGCTAAGATTTCAAAAATAATTTTGCTTTTAACAATAAAGAAAGAACTGTTAAAACACGTGATAATTATTTCCTTAAAATACTGTACGTTATAGTGGTTTGGGGAGTATTGGGCGGCGGCAGAGTTTTCTGGGGCGTATTCACGGTGTTACACGTCTTCACGTTTCTACTGCTCTCGCTACGAATATACTACGTGGGACAACTGCGCTTTGGTGGGTATTTTATCGTTCTACTATTCTTAAAAGTATTACTTCAACTCGGCTTTATATTTACTGGAACTAATATTGACTATGTGTATGTATGTCTAAGTCCAATACGTTGTTGACACTCGGGGGTCACACTTAACCCTAAGTCTCGCCTGTGAATATTACCTTCAATATCGAAACCTTAATGAGCAGTGTCATCCCTGAGGTCGTAGGTTCGATCCCCGGCTGTGCACCTTTGGACTTTCTTTCTATGTGTGCATTTAACATTCGCTCGAACGGTGAAAAAAAACATCATGAGGAAACGAGTGTCAGGCACAGGAGGCTGATCACCTACTAGTCTATTAGATTGAAAAATGATCATGAAACAGATTCAGAAATCTGAGGCCCAGACCTAAAGAGGTTGTAGCGACACTGATTTATTTTATTTATCGAAACCTGAATGCCTTTATGAATAATAGGAAACAGAATAATTACTATGCTATCTAATTGTACATAAACACAAAAAGAGCATTAAAATTTTAATAATTAAATGTGAAATTGCAGAAAAGCAGTCGCTGGCAGCGGCGGCAAGTGAACTACGGAGTGGCGCCAGGCCTTTGTATGGGGCCCGGCTCCTGCTGCTTCTCATAGCAAATGCTGTAAACTGGGCTTTCGCCATATATGGGTAGGTATATATTTCCATCTTTCGAAAGGAAAAGATTTTTAATAATAATAATCGTATTTTTTGCAAAAACAGGTAATATAAAAATTACGTACCAGGCTCCTATTTTAGTGAGAACTGTATTTCAGGAGCCTGTGACTTCCTAGTTATATGTGTATGGATAATTTAAATAAATAAAAAATTCAATTTATGATACGGTTAGTTAATAAAAATGTACAATATTTTATTTTACTTATCCCAGGCTAAAAATAAAGCTTGCGAACACTTTGCTTTTTCGAAAAGATCGACAGTGGGATAGTCAAGTGGTACTTTCAAACCTCCTTTAATAGTGCTCTTTGAGCTTTGAGCTCTTTGAGTTATGTGTTTTACATTAACAATAATAATTAGGAGTGTACAATTATTCACACTTTGCAGGGTAATGGCAATTCTATCAGCTGAGAAAATATCTGCCCTCTTCTTTGGCTTTAAGATTTAAAATTAAAAGTTCAAAGACCATTGTCTGTTTTAACGTTTACTACTCCTTTGAGCCTAGGATCAAGTACAGAATTATTTAATTTAAAACGTAATTCAGGGAACAGTGTTAGTCTAGACTCTAGAGAGGGCGTCCAATCCCTCTATCAATGGAATTTGCATAAAAAATAAATACCAGTAAAAAGTAAAATGATCGAAAACAGATGTTATCTGAGGCCAAGACACATAAAAGATCGTAGCGCCACTGGATTATTATTTATTAAGGTTTATTATTGCAGTCTGATCCGGCAGGGTAGTGATTTTGCGTCCCACATGCTGCAAGTACTTCTTGGGAACACACTGTTGTACATGATTTGCTATCTCGCTATGAAGTTAGTGGTCGGAGAACGCGTACGTTGGTACGTATGGGTGCTATTAGCGGGCGCCACAGCCGCCTGGATGCCGGCACTGTTCTTCTTCTTGTCTGGAAGTACCAATTGGGCTGCCACACCGGCCGCTTCTAGACACAGCAACCACGAATGCAAGGTAACTCGTCTTGTCAATATATCATGATAAATTCCATTCCGCGATCCACTGCGCGTTAGAAGGACACTCGGGAACAGGAAAACTTCCGAAACAGCCTTCCAAAAAGGAGAGTACTACATCCATGGCCTCTTGCATTGTACCCGGTGTTTCAGGGATGGCAATTAGCACCTGCTTAGTCTATTGCTATAAAACCGGTCTCAAAGAAAGCTCATCATTCAAGTAAAAAAAAATTATGTTTCAGTGCATGCTATTAATAATAATAACGACTCTTAGCTTCCATAATTATGTAGCACTTCCGACCTAAATCTTTAAAATTTTGAAGTAGAGATGCATAATATGCATACATATTACATAAACAACAGAGGATTTTTTTCTGTTATTTGTTAACGTAACTAGGCTTTTGGAATCATTAAATTATTTTAACATAATCGTATGGCACAGGTACTAGAATTCTACGACTATCACGACTTGTGGCACCTTCTATCAGCAGTGGCGCTTTACCTTTCTTTCAATACCATGCTCACGTGGGATGATGGCTTATCCGCTGTCAAGAGAACTGAGATCGCAGTGTTTTGACACTTTAATAAAAGGAATATTTTAAATACTTGTCTTTTACTATAGTTATAGAGCTACATATAATATTTTATATATAATATATACTATACATAGCTGGATTTACCACAAAGCATTCATTTATTCATCGCCTTTTATTTCGAGGAGGATATTTGACGTATTCGTATAGAAACTCTAAAATCATGTCGAGAAGAAATCTGGCAAGTCCAGGGTCTGAAGATTCGAAAAAAATCTTAACGGCCTGCTTAATCGGTGACACCTAGCGAGACCAAGAAGAATCAAGGTCAAGAACTGGTGGCAATTTAATGGGGTGGAAGTTTTAGACCTGTAAACCCAAAAACAAGATACACAACACGACGGCGGCCTTACTTGGCTAAAATCGCCGATATTGGAGCCTTATAGCTGAAATATTGAAAAACGTCAAATAGAAGTCTGGCAGAACATAGGCGCACAAGAAATTAGTCTCCCGGTCTCCAACCTTCATACTACGTAACGTTGACGGCCTGCCCTAACGGCAGCAGATAGAAAGGAGTTGCTCGAAAAAGCTACATGGGGCGATATTTCAAATTTCGGCCAAAACACAAACTGAATTATTTATGTGTCGCCAGTTAAGTAACCGGCGCTATGGAGAAAATATTATTAAATCTAGAACTTTCTATCTGCTTCCTTGACGACGCCAACGGCTTGGCCAACCGTAAGAGATCGAAATAGAGTGTTATAAAAAAAGTTGTTGATAACCTACGTTAACTAAAAGCCCTAAGGGGTGCTTTAATTTCTTAGATTTCAAAAAAAATTGTTTTCAAATGTATGGAGAGCCCTTTTCGACGGAATTCGACCCACTTATAAGTATTAAAGTGATATGAAATGGTAAAGAATCGAGAGAAAACCTGTGAACCCAGTTATTATAACCAATTTGTATGACAACACCACCAACTCGCAGACGGTAGGTAGAGGTACCTAAGATATTTGTTGGGAGTAAAAACATTTTATTAAGCAATTTCAATAACAAACAAGTATTTTCGTTGCGTGCAATGTGGCCCCTTAACTGGCGCTCCCTTTAACGCCACCTCGCGCACTGCGCAATCTCGGCATAAAGAAAACACACTTTTCATCTGAGAGTGAAAGGACAAGACCAACTATATTTTCATTAAAGAATCAACACTACAGAGTGTTAATTACTTGCTTTTATATAACTTCTAATTTATTGGATGTATGTGTATAAAGTTTGTAGTTATATTTTCTTGAATTTTTAAAGTAATAATATTGTATTAGAACTTATAAATCCCGTTTACTACTTCGCGTACTTAAATTCCTTAAGCACGTAACTAATCATTTTAATGGTATTTTTCGCTGGTCTAGCATTAGAAAATATACTCTATGGCTCTTATTAAGCAGACCACGGAACACTGCACCCGCACACCTCGCTGAACTCAATATTATAGTAACAATGTTTGCTCATTTTATAATAATAAAATCACAGATATGAACCATTATATCTTTTGTAAATGCCAAAACAAAATTTTCATTTTTAATAGACTACTATTGGCAAGTAAAATAATGGAAGTTACTGATCCTTCCCGCCGCCACTTGGGTGATTTGCTCAAAAACAAAAAGTGTATAGTGCATTATATAAAGACGTTAAAAATACATGTGAAATTTCATGCAGAAGAATAGGCTTAAAGGCCTCGTTACCAGGCCATTAAATAAAAAAAGGAAGATGCAGGGGCATTTGACAAAAAGAAAAAGTCAAAATTTCAATGTCGATTGTCGGTGACGTCACGTCAGCAAATGTCACCACTCGCGTTCTCAATTCTCATTATTTTTATTTCGCAATTTCCAGAAATTTGCAGTTCTATACAATTCTCTGGTGTATTTTTTCTTTAAAAAGTCGTCTTATGTTATTTTGTTAAACGATGGACAATCAATATTACTACAAGCTGATGGCGAGTTATCTATCTAAACGAAACTGCGACGAGTCATTTATGAGGTATTTCTTCGGTAAGAATGCAACAAAGAAGACCCCTGAAGAGTTGGAACGGGCTGATGAAAGAAAAAGACGTTTGCAGAGGGAGAGATCGAGACGGTATCGCGCCTTGAAAAATGCCCGGCGACAAAACGAAAACAGTCGAGACAGTAATGAAAATGAATCTGCCAGGAGCAAGTCACGAACTCTTTCCGTGGACGAAGAGGTGAGCGATTGCGATGAGTCACCAACATTGTGCGACCTGCGTGAGTTACACTATGGTGAAGCATGGCGAGAGCCAGCTTCCTCTGATTGTGCTTCAGATGATAATTCTGCGCATTCCGTGCTCGATCACACGCCTCCAGCCAACCTCTCACTTGACTTAAAAGAGTTTCTCAGTTCTAACACTGAGTTAGACTATCCTACTGTTCACAGCCTTATGTTTCACTGGCTTCAGACGTAGCATCTTGGCATTAACATTAATAAGGCTAGCTTGGCCAATATGCCTATGTAATTTGGGATAAACTCACAAATTAGAAATTGTTTCAATCCGGCTTCTATCAGTAGAATCTCACAAAGTATTATTTTTGAGCTACCATAAGGTAGAACAGTAGATACTCACATATCAATACATAAGATTGCTTGTTAATGTGAAGCTGACACTTGCGATAACCGTCCTGCTCTAGATTATATGTATATGTTCTGATGTTAATGGTTACTATATACTGTTTATAATATGCTTTAAAAAAAGTAGTATAAAAAATTCTGGTAAATAACAACAAATTCCCTTAACTTCAAATGAAACAACAGATTATAATGACTGTTATAATTTGTATTTTTTATTTCCATTGTAAAGAAAAATTACCCACTGGTTAACTTGCAATATAATTGCTATATTACTGTTCTGAACAAAATCAGTGTACTGAATTATCAGTGATAAAGTATCACACTCAGTGGCCATTGAGCTCCTTACTTAAAATAATGAATTCCACTAGACAATAAGTTGTTGTTAATTTGCCATATCCTAATGTTTAGAAACTCTACTAATATACATTATTATATATCCTTATAGAGACATAGAGTATATATACCTATAGTTTGTGATACAAGGCGTTTACATTTTGTGTGAAATCTACAATATTAGGTATAATATAGGCTAGGTAATGAGTCAGTAAGTTTGCGCCACACTCAATTGCTGGTCATATGCTCTAATCTGGTATTACATTTATACAAAGCATTCCACAATAATTTTAATGGCTTTTTAATGTTTTTGTAAGCTACTTTATAAATAACTTTAATTTGTTCTGAGGGCTTAGGTCTTGAACTAAAATATCTGAATTTAAGTGTTTATGCTATAAATGCATTTAACAAAAAAATACTCAATTATTGCTCTCTTATGTTTTTATATTAAATTGGTTTATATGAAATTTATTTAAATTTTAATATAGAAATAAGTTAATTTTAAGTTGATAAAATTTCAGTTTGTGATATTTACTAGGTCTTGAATTGTATTGATTTTTAATTTAAACAAGCATTATAATATGTATGAAGAAAATTGCATGATGAAATAAGTTGTGTCTGAATGTTATACAGATTTCATTCATAATTCCATTTTGTATTGCTCATGTGCCATTATTTAATTTTGAATTAATTGACTAAAACTGTTTTCTTGAAATTCATTTAAATGAACCAGCACAAACCTGTTATAGTACATAGGTTTAAAATATAAAAAAGTTAAGCTGATTTCTATGTAAGATTGTTTATTATAGAACTTAAAGTGCATTTTAATGACACAATGTGAAATATAATTTGAATTTATTGTTAAAAACAGCATTTTCAGCTTATAACATTAAAGGCCTAAACTTGTATTGTTATAATCAGGATTATGTTAATACTTATATTATCTTTATTACTATTAATTGTTGCTTTGCTGTATTAGCATTAATTGCGTCAAATTAGGGAATTGTTCCCAAGGGTGCTGAAGCAGTGGTGCAGTGGAGTGCCCAAGAGAGCTAGTTATATACTTGCATATCTTTAAATATATATGTAGGTACTGTAAGGTAGTGCCATATTAAAGAGCTTCCTATTTTTATATATTGTTTATATTATTTTGTTTGACCTAAAAACTCACTTTAATTGATTTTCTTTACTGACTATTTTAAAAGGTGACCATTAGATTCCTAATGATTGCTTTGTTTTCAAAATTTGTATTGTTGTAGTAGAGAAGTATGAGACAGAATTGCATATTCTTATCATGACGTATTCCTTACCTTTTTGTGTAAGTATGATATTATCAATATAAAAAGGATTAATAGGTTTTTGGTAGACTTGTTAAGATTCTGTATGCGTTTATATATTTTTGTGAACTGCTATCCTATGTAGGTAGATGACGGATTCTCTAGCAATACTTAGTATTTTAAAGTTTGTCATGTTAAACTTACATACTATTGATTTATTACTTATTCCATAAAAGGACTTATGCGCACGATCAAACTAACCGTTTAGGCGATTTTATGTTCTTTCCTCCCACCCATATTACACCTACATCATTGACGTTATCAGTAGGAACTTGATTTAATCCAGTTTTATGTTAAGAAATAACGTCAGCCCAATCTTTACCATGCGCAAGTAAATATAAAATTAAACTCTTTAAATTAATTGCACATCAACTTTAATATTAACATTTCAGGTACTTTTATTGTTACACCATACAGCATACTCTTATATATTTTAAGGCTCATACACACTATTCAGCCTTAAGATAGGTTAAAGATAGAAAGAAACTATAATTAAGAAATAAAGAATAGCAGCAATTCTATAATTACAAGCTTCCAAAATATTTTAATTTTTATGTTTAACTGACGAGGTAAATGAAGTGGAATATAAGTTGGAAAAATCGGGTGTTTTTTTACAGAATCTCTGCATAAACCGTACGTGGAACGGGTGGTGTCTACGGCGATTGTGGGCGCTCAAGTGGAAATCCCCACTGTAACCTAACGAGTTCTAGTTTTCTTTGGCTTTTTCACTAGCAAGATGACCTGTTTGCGATGCGTGCTGTTCTAGGCCGCTGAGCCGCGGCCACTGCATTCACCTTGGGCAGTCGCGCTGCGCGTGGGCCGACGCCCGCGCCTCTGCCGCGGCTCGCACGATTGCTTTTAATATTTATTTTGTGGTACTAATATTGTGAATTATGAAATCCTGTACAATGTACAAAATTACTTATGTGTCTCGGAAGAAGGTAATTTTTTTTATATACCTAATTAATGTAGAGGTCTCGGTAACTGCGTGTATAGGATTGCATTACAAAAATAACTTACTGAACCATATACATACTATTATCATGCAATCACAAATTCATGTTAGGATAATATTTCTAATAGAAGCAGACAAGGGAAAGTTATCACTGACATTGCTGAAAAGTATATTCCCACAGAGTCCTTTATAGTCATCCGAGTTCAGTGCATAGATCATGGCTCCTCTCAGCTTGAGCTTTTTTATATATTCAGCTTTACTTGTAACACTTTGAGGGCTGTCAAATGAAATCCATTCTGTTTTTTTATGTAAATATGAAACTCGTGCATTTTTCTCTTCTACTATACTCACATTGCTATTAACTTTTAAAAAATTACAAACCTCAGGATAACTTACAAATCCTGAACTACCAACATGACCATATCCTGATGCCGGGCTCCCAATGTCTGCATTATCTTCATTTACTAGGGTAAAGCTGTGGCCATAAGTTGGTATACCCACAACAATTTTACTTTCATTTAAACCTTTACTTAGATACATTTGTATTGTATAGTTAATATTAAGAGTCCCCATGTAGAAATACTCAGAATTTCTAGCATATAATGGTGAATTTAGTCCTGTGAATGGTGTATACTGTGTATAATAATGAAAGTCATACGTCATTATGTTTGCATAATCCACATACAAGTTGATTTGATCGACATCATATGCCACATCAACAATTATCTGAGGTGCAGCTAAAGCCACTGTGAGCATGTAATTCCTCTTCTCTCTAATATACTCCATCCTTATCTCTCTCAGCAACTGTGAGAAGTGCTGCCTTTCCCTCTTGCCTGCGTCTCTGCTATATTGATGAAGGGCAGGAAATTCCCAGTCTAAATCTATGCCATCTAAAGTATAATTTCTTAATGTGTATTTTATAGACTTTATAAACTCTTTTCTAGCTATGTGATTTACTACCATATCTGAAAATCCTTCATTATTACCAGCTCCTCCCACAGATAGCAAAACTTTTAAATTTGGATTTTTGTTTTTTATTTGTAGGACATCTGCTATAGTTTTAATTTGCAAATCAGTTAAATAAATTTGTTTATTTTTCACCTGTGCAAAGGCAACATTGATGTGAGTACACAGATGAGGGTTGATGTTGGAGGGTAGTAACTGAGAAGCATCATCATTGGCAGGAGTATTATAGTAGCATGATACCACTTTATCACTACTTATATCGGAATTATCAATATACACAATATCAATAAGTGGGTTTTGTTTCTTTAGAATGACCACTGCTATTAGTGATAAAATAATTAACCATAGAATTGTACTCACACATCTATAATACGAAAAACATTTCTTATTTTGGTTCTCTACTTTCTCCAATTCTTTATACGTACTTAGTATTATTAAATTCCCATCTCTCTTGTAGTCAAAGATTTTGTTCCACGTCTCTTTCATAGCTTACTGCGAAAATGTTAGCTTAATATTGTTAAAAACACCACACACATTACATTGAATTGTTGTTTTTAGGTGCACAAAGACATCTAAATAAACTTAATTGCGTCATCTGCCTTCAATTAATCTTGATAAACAAATACTGAATTGCAATATAGACAGCATTCAATACACTGGAAACTGAAAAGATAATTATGTTCCTAATTCTTATTCGCAAGGACACGTGAACACGTTTGTCTGAGTCTCTCAAGTCTTGCAATTTATTTTAGGTACTTCTGTATAACTAGGATGATTTCGTTAATAATGTTTATCAATATATTCATTTAATTTGCTGGACTCATAATAGTCATAATACCATAAGTCATAACCATAAATAAAGATTGCCATAGAAGTTAGGCCACAGAATGCCTATTGCATAATGCATTCAATAAGACTCAACAAAAGAATATTATTGTTTCAATACCATTCTAATACGTAAAAATTAGATAAAATAATGTTTTGTTTTATGTAGGTTGGTAGTTTTTCGGACTAGTATCGTTTATTACATAATACATAATATGGTGAAATCGAGTTTCGTTGAAGTCGGTTTTCATCATGTGGACATGTGGCTAGTTAGCTATGCCGAATAATTTATTAAAGTGATCTAGCAATATTTTGATAGTTTTTTTTACTTTCAATATTATCGACAAATAAGATAGCCAACACAAACCTCTAAAATAAATACCATTATGAAATTGACCAAAATTGACATCAAACATAACATATATGTGAGTTACAGAATACTTTATAGTTTTAGAATACTTATTTATTGCATTAGCAATAACAGTAACAATTATATAAATTTACCGATGAAAATCATTGTTTCTTTTTCTTCGTTCTCTATCTACGTCATATCTACAATTTGATACTATTCAAAAAGATTAAGAGTAACAAGCATCAGAATTTGATAAATGAGTTTACGACCACCAAGGCAAGTATATGATAGTAAAATATGTGTCGTTTACCCATACACAAAAACACCTAAGTTTAGAGCCAAATAGCTATCTATCTTATTTTTACACGCTTTCTATGTTTTAACTTTTGTTCTTATCTGAAAACCGAAAAAACCATCAACCTGTTTAATGTCAATGTCAGTCGCCAATTGTCAAGTAATTACCAACTAAGTAACAAATTGAATTGTTGAGGTTGTGAAAAATTTCTAAATATTAATATAAGATTTTAATTAAAACAGAACATAAATAACACTACATATTATGTCCCCATATATCCTATAAATACTTAAACAAAACTTAGATGTTATTTTTACTATAATATATTGTTCGTTATGGATGGTGTCTCCATGAATCACTATGAAAAACAGCTGTACAGTGTGTTCAAAACCTTCGACATAAATAACGAAGAAGCCTTAGATAGATCTGCTGTTCTTGAGCTATGTGACGCGTTACAGCTTGAGGATCGAGGGGCTACACTAGTTGACACGCTTTTTGACGGGCGGCCTGACCGTGTCACCTTCACTCACTTTCGCAACGGGCTACTGTCTGTACTCGGCGGCGAGGGTCCTTCACCGGCACCCAGCACTCGACCAGGTGTATCGACACCACCCCAAAGTGACGACGATTCTTCAGGCCGAGAAGTTGCTCCGAAATTTACCTTTGGATTGAAAAAATATGGTCGTCGCTCGCGACCACAACGAATAGATTCAAACGTGTCTCCGCGACATCGTGTGGCTTCCGAGTCGCGTTTAGATGTCGAACGTTGTAAACAACGTATGAAGTGTAAACGAAGCTCTTCAGCTATGGAAAGTCGCATTGACTTACGTCTCGAAGATGAAGACGCTCCAAAGCTAGACCATGAGCAGCGCGTCGACACAGACCGAGCTCTAAAGCTTTGCCAAAGCTTGGAAATGCATGGTGTCAATAGAAAGCTCATCCAACAAGTATTTGATTCATCAAAAACTGATGAAATGAGTTTAGGTGAATTTTTTGATAGACTTAATGTATCTCTCCAGTCCACAATTGATAGTAGTCTTGATGAAAGTAATTCTGATGTAAGTACATGTATAGATAATGATACTGTCCCCAGTGATGTAATTGTAGAGGCCTGGGAGCGAGCAGGGGTTCAAAAGCCTAGAAGACTACTTCAAGAATTAGGCTTCACAATAGTTGCTATTGAACCCAGAGATCTTGAACAATCACTTGATGAAGAATTACAAGCTTTGGGATTCCCATCAGAGATTTCAGAACCACGGTCTTTATTGTTATTAGCTGCCAATACATTGAGCAGACTACAAATAGAAAGAATTCGGAGTAAATTTGAAATGGTTGTTGCTGAACGCAACAAACTGAGATCTGACCTTTCAGAAGCTAATCGGCGAGCAAGGATGTTAGCGCAAGATGTTGATGAGAACCATGCGCAGATAGAAGCAGAGCTTAAAAATAGAATGAAGGCAATGGAATTGAAACACGCAGAAATAGCGCGATTGGCTGGAGATGAAGCTGCAGCAGAGCGGGAACGCGCATCTCGCGAGTCCAGTCGTCTGGCTGCAGATATCGCGCGCCGCGCTGATCTCGAGGCCCAGCTGCGGATAGATCTAGCAACCCGCACACAACGTTGCCAAGATCTGGAGGTTGGTGGCTTCTTTATTTTATAGTATCAAGTTAGGAACTTATCACTGCCTCTGTTGAACCTTACACCTTTGAACCTAAAATGGTTCAAGCCATATAAACAGACAAAGCTTTCAGAGGTATGAACATTTATTTAAAGAGGATTTTTTTGTCTGTGAAGTCTGTGACCAACAGAAGTCTTCATCATACAAATTTATTATTATTATTGATTGGTAACAATAGTTTTATTTGACTGATTTACATCACTTAGTTAAGTTTAGTAGAAAAGTTGCTCTCCTATATATCAATGAAAAAAGCCTTTATTATGTAAAACCCATATAATGTGGTATATTTATTTAAATAACATATGTTAATGTTATTTAATAAAGTATACATTTTTATGTTGTATCAAGTTAAATAGCATAACCATTTTCAATTTATGCCCATATATTTCAGGAACGAATAAATGAGTGTGAAAATCGTCATAATGAAATCGAGCGTGAAGGAGCCCGTGCATTGGAAGAGGCCCGAATTGCCGCCCAACGCGAAGCGGAACGCGCCGAGAGAGAACACGCCGCCGCCGAGCAGTGTGCCGAACGTCTTGCTGAACTGCGTGGCGACAACGCGCGCCTTCGGGACCGTGTCGACGAGCTGGCTGCCGCGCTTGAGGCTGCTGCCCGCGCCCCCCGCCCATCATCAGCTCTTTCCAGTCCTTTAACCCTCAATACGCTTCAGGTATCTATTGCGGTTTTAAAACTATTTATTCTACTTCCCTTTTCTTAACCTTTATTTTTAAATGGAGTGTGGTGTGGAGGTCTTCTATAGACCCCTTTATTTAAAATCAGGGCTTACAGCTTCCTCTAAGAGCTATCCCAAAGCCTCGCTCTCATAGGAATGTTTCTATAATGTATGGACTTTTATTGTGTGATAGTTGTGAACAAAAAATGCCTCTGAGACCTTCTTACATTGGACTTTCTTTAATATTTCTACATTTTTATCTTTTTAAGTAAATTAATGTCATGTCATTAAACAAAGAGTTTAGTGGTTCTATTATTTACTTAGTTTATATTATAAATTTCAGCGTGAATGCTCAGTCGAGGATGGACACATAGAAATGTGTAGGCCATCTCAAGAGCTACTCAGCGAACTCAAGATGTTATCTGCAGAAAATGCGAGTTGTGAGCTTTGTGGTGGAAAGTGGGAGAGAGTGGGAGCACTGTGCTCAGTCCTAAGTGCCCCAGATGATGAACAGGCCCGACTGAGGGCATCACATGAGGCTGAAATATCGAATCTCAACGCTATTATCACGTTAGTGCCATTTAAATTGATGTAATAAGACAGTGAAAATACACGGAATTTGGAGTTTTATATCCAGTTCTACATTTAGGTTAACACTTATAGGCATAATGGGAAATATGAACTTTTAATACACAAACAAACATAATTTAAATAAATTGTGCGTGTACTAGGTGTACACACGTAAGAAGTCAAACCTCTTTATGATCTTATTTTTCGAAAAATGATCTACTATATGCAACTTTACAGAAATTCGTTAAATTAGATAAAGTTTAACAAAAGGCTTTTATTATCATAGACATGAATACAAATATTTCATTTTACCTTATTACTACGAAGATTATTATAGAATTTCATTAATTGTAATAGAATTATTACTATGATTGAAAAACGTGACGATTTGCTACAAAATTTCTCCCATACGTCGATAAAGAAGTTTCATTCCAACGCCGATAAAGAAGTTTGACTTCAAAAAGCAACATGGCGCGTAACCGAAAAATGTGACGCGTAACGAAAAAATTTTACACTAAATTTTTTTCCTCGATAAAGAAGTTTCACTTCAAAAATTGAAAAAAAAAACTTTAGCAGAGTTTGGTTGGCATATTTGGAACTTAATAGAAACCTTCCAAAAGCATTCAAGTTCAATAGCTACAAATTGTATGGAATTCATGAATTCAAGTAATTCATGTATGCCATACAATATCAAAAAAGCTAATATTGACATTTATATAGATAGATATTTTTAAAATGGAATATTGATAATTTTGTAGGGAGCTGGAAGGTAGCTTGGATGCGTTGCGCGGTGAGTACGAGCGCTGCGAAGAGTATTGGGCAGCGAGGCTGCAGCGCGAACGGGACGAACAGCGCGCTGCCGATGAATTGCTGGCAGAGTTGGCCGATAAGGTGGCGGCCTATGAGCGGCAGTTCGCGTCGGTGTCGCGCGTTGCGCCACCAGCTCTGCCAGCACTGCCGGAGACAGCACTGGAAGACCAGTACGCCCAGCTGGAGGCGGAGATGCACCAGCTGCGGGAGGAGACCGATGCTCGCCTTGCGCGACAGGTACCCTTCAAACCGCCTTAGCTGACATGCGTGTGGGTGCTTTTAAGTTTTTAACCAACTACAAAAAAAGGAGGTTATCAGTTTGATCCTTGTATGTGATATGGTTGGCATTGCAAAACAAATGAATATCATGATATATTAACTATTTGCTACATTTTGTAACTGTATGTATATATTCCTAGAAATTTTTCGAACGCTAAAAGTCAAGATACTATGATTAGGTATAGGTTCACGTTTTATCAATATTGGTTCAGTAGTTTTAGAGATAGTCCAATATTTTTAGGGGTATGTATTGTTAAAGGTAAAAATGTTGACAGCTATTTAAGTTTAGTTGAATTTTTCTAAATTACTAAACTCTTCCCCTGCTGTTTGCACAGGCAGAAGATCTGTCGCAGAAATCCCAGCGCATAGAGGAGTTGCAGCAGTGTGCTGATCAGCTCCAACAGCAGCTGCAGAGGCCACGCCCCAGACCCTGCACTGACCTAGACGTGCAGCGGTTCCAGCCGGTAAGTCTCACATTTAACTTGGCTTAGTTCTTCTGAAACTGTTAATAGATGATTTCCTGCATGATAAGCAGCCTCCCAGAACAGGGGGCAAACGGGCAGGAGGCTCATCTGAGTATAAGTGATACCACCGCTCATGTACATATTTTCTAAAATCAAAGTCAAAATCATTTATTCATATAGGTAACACAATGTGCACTTATGAACGTCAAAAAAAAAATGTATATATGAAATGCTTCTAATTTTACATTTACTGCCAGTTCTCAAATCGAGGGCGTAGAACGGAAGAGAAGAACTGGTAATAAACTCTCCGCGACTCTTTTTCTAGATGGCTTGCGATGTTGTCGGTCTTTTAAGAATCGATATTGCTGTGCTTGGTATTTTCTTTGATATTTGTAGTCTTGCTTTAAACTGCAATTTCAATAATGGCGAGAATTTATAATTCTGATAAAACTTGTTCTCGATTATTACCAAAAATATTGATTTATTCAAAAAACATACTATATATATAAACTAGGGATGCATCGATACGCCTTTTTGCCGATACGATACCGATGCCGATACTCTTTCAGAAATATCTTCGATACCGATACCAATGCTTATTGAATTAAAATTAAATAAAGGTAAAATATATAAAGTTTGGTTAAAGTTTTTAATTTTCATTTAAAAATATAAACAGTTACAAAGTTTGAATAAGATTAAAGGTTAAGTTATTAATTTTAAGAATTAAGAGTAATAATTAAATTAAAATAAATAACTGTTAATGATTAAAATTAACATTGATAAGATTTTTGTTATCCTGTATTTTATTTAATTTGGTATCGAAAATATCGCGCGATAGCAGTTAAAAGCCAACTAAAGTGTCTAGCGAAATGGAATACGCGGGGACAAAGTGGGTGAGAGAGACAACAAAACCCCGGGCATAGATAGTCCATGCCTTGTTTGCAATTTTTAAAGCGCGAAAAGTATCGTTGTATCGGCAATTAAAATATCGCCGATGCCGATATATCGGCAAACCCAAAGTATCGCCGATATATCGGTATCGGGATCGGTATCTGATGCATCCCTAATATAAACCAATGCAATAATGTTGAGAAATAAAACAAATAAATATGTTGAAAAAATATATGATAAATACATAAGGTTGCTACTGTGAAATCACTTTGCAAACATATAAATATGTCGATTAATCCTTAAGCATCTTAATGGTTGACTTATTTATATTAATTGGTTGACGAAAGTCTAACATTTTCAATTATTTTCTGTTGCGATTTCTTACTATTTTTTTATTGAAAGAGCAAATGTTAAGAACGCATAAATAAAGACAATTTGTTCAGCTAGGATGTGAATACACGGGTTAATGTTTATTATATTAAATAAATATAATAAATACTAATAAATTCGAGTGTACTCCTTCAAATGCCGGCAACTTTATTAAGTTTACTTAGTTTTTATTTTCTTTTGAGTGTATGTAAACCAATATTAGAATGCCATATATGCCAAGTGTCAAATATGTTAAAGTAAAAAATGTTAGTAGAAAATTTGTTTATACAGTTTATGTGTTTGATTGTGATAGACGTGTGGATGCGGTGGAGCAACGGCAGGAGCGGCTTTACGGGCGCGAGCAGCACGGGCAGAACGGGCAGCGCAGAGGCTCCACGCGCGCCTCGCCGCCGCCGACCTGCTCGTCAAAGACCTGTACATCGAAAACTGCCGCCTGGCGCATCTGCCCCACCTGCCCCCCCTTCCTCCCCTACCCCGCTTGCCTTGACCCTCTTGGCTGGCCTCATGCAATAGTTCCTGTGAGACCTCGCTCCCACCCGTGTCACTTACGACGCGTGCCTCTTACCACACGTGTCCCTCGTTTGCCACGTAATATTTTTAGTTTACTTAAGTTTTTTCCATAATGGATCGGAAGAATACTAAAAGTAATCGGTGGGCTCTGAATTGTAATGTATTATATGCAATTTTTTTTACATAATCATATGTATATATTTACAAACGTTAAATGGTTAATGCAGTGTTTCGCTCAGATCACTCAAAGACTGATACTAGAGAATTGTTTTTATTATTGAAAACTATATCGCCGGACATTCTTAATACCATGATGATTTTGTTATTTATAATAATGGTTATTCCTATGACATGTAAATAAATGACAAGTGCCTTTTAAATAAATATTTTGTATATAAATTATATAAGTCGCCGCCGGCGCCGGGGGGAGTGAGATGAAAATGTCCATAATTAATTCCTTTGGTTCGTTTTTAGAACTTCGATAATCGAGCTTTTCGTTATCCTATTTTTAGTGATTACAATACATTAGCACTTAGTTTAATGAAATATGTGATCATAATTTAAAGACATTTGATTTAGAAATTATCATGTTTTTAATGATAGGCAACCTAGGATTAGGCAGAAATGGAGTCATGTGGAAATGTTTTTTAAATTCTTCACGACTCAATATATAACCCCGTTAAGCATTTACGTTAAGAATAAAAGAATTACCAGTGCGACATATTTCTCTTATATAATTGTCAAATAACTTTATTTTTAAGAATTTCTCTCAATATTTGATCTAAGATTCAAAGACAATAAGTGTATACACTCCAATCTGTCAAGTAGTCATGCGAGTTGATACAGTAGAGTTTCTTCGCACTTTAACGTGTCTCTGACTCTTAGACTATGATTCAAAGACAAGTAAAGCCAATTCTTTATCTGTCAAAATCCTGTGACTATTTGACAGATAAGACTTATATTTGTCTCTGAATAGGTTTTGGATAGATAATTATGCATTTTGTCTCTCTTATAATCAATGTGACATAATAATAAATCTATTGTTTCGTTTAATTAAAATTGTCTTAATACTTTAGGCGATACTTTTGTTAAGTAATAAATTCCAATGTCATTCCCTCGAGTGATTTTCTTGTGATCGATAAATATATAAAAATAAAAACAGAGATTGTATAAAATCCACGTTTTATTTAATATTTCGACCTATTTTTCTGGAGGCTTACCGTAATTAATACACTGCACGTAAGACCCAACGTGCAGGAATCTTTTAAATACATATAAATAGAATTTTTAAAAGTAGATAGCGATGCTTGGTTGCTATTAATAATCAGCATCTCAAGATCAATCTAAAAATAAACTTAAAAAAATTGGGCAACGTATCTTGCTAGTTTTTCTTGTCCATTCTTTGCCCTTGATTTATGTCCGGGAGGTAGCGTTGTATTTACGTAGTTTTTCAACACAAATTGATTGAACTATGCGTGAAACTATACATTTTATCCCACACGCTACTTGGGCAGCTGATAGTCAGTACGCTAATTATTCATAAGATCAGTCAGTAAGATGGGTACTTGCCATGTGAAAAAGCTATTATAAAATCTTTCTACCATTATCTTTTGTATTTACAACGCTACGTCCTACTATTTAAGAACTGGCAGTAAATGTAAATTTGGAGTTGTTTCATTATTTTTAACGTTTTTTTTATGACTTGTCATAGTCAAATTAATAAATATATTAATTCTTCAATCGTTTTCTATGTTGTATACTTATAGACCCGAAACACCTGTTTTTTATCAAGTTATTAAAAATATGAAGCTTCTTGTGTTTTCCCCATGTAAGTAAAGTTACTTGGCCAGTTACTTAAAAATTGCTTATGCTAAATTAAATACAGTGCGAGAAACAAAATAATCATTTAATAGTCTCTTAAAATAATGTCACCGTTTTAATAGTTTTAGGCAATCGTAATATACATGATTTACTTTAGTATTGATATTACAATAATTATGGAATTAAATCTCTAGAACAGGTCACTTCGTACGCGTTTCCTTTACATTTCAAAAGTTAGGTCCACCGTAACCACGGACAGTGGGGAGGCTTCCGACCCTTCGTCCTATTAAAATGTTATTATGTATATACACATACATAGGATAACTTACTTTAGAATTGTTTTTACATTATTTACATATTCTTATAACAAATTTCAACAGAGGTATAAAACAGACATCTCCGTTTTTCAGTTCAATAACACTACAGTGTGCAATAGTATCATACATCGATAATAGTAAATAATTAATTGCTATATAGTATTTACATTGAATTCAACATTTCGACATTTGCGTGTTAATAATACACCATTGTGCCTAACTAGCAACATTCAAAAGCAAATGCGACTCCATATTTTTAAATGTTCTAAGTAGTGTTCCAAATTGTGTACGCGCTTAACAAAAGTGACAAACAGTGCATGGTCTCTCCGAAAGAGATCTGATGAATATTTGGTTTCCCTTTCCAGACATTAAACTGATATGTGGGCCCAGTAGCCTATGTGGGCATGGTATTAGGCGGCTAAAGGTACATGCCGTTGACGAGGTAATCGGCATCGAGCGCATACCGTTTGTGATGGCGACGACGGCGTGATGCAGCGCGCAGCCGGCAGCCCGCTAACGCGCCCAACGCCGCGGTTAGCAGAGTGCCTGGATATACACAACTGGTGAGAACTGTATAAGAACTCTTAATTATCAGTTTGCGGTCCACCGCTTACCGAGAACAAGTAGCATCAGTGCAGCAGGGGGGTGTTCGCTGAGACCTTCGTGCTCATCACTGGCCCAATGCTCGTGTTGCCCCATCTCAACTCGCCCGATATCTCCATGCTGTTCTGGAGCCCGCTGTTCTATCTGCTTTGGACGCCCTTGCTCATTTGGTAGCACCGCTAGCTTCCCGTTTTGATTCGGAGCCGCAATCGTGTTATCTAACTCCTGATAATCATTCATTGTGTTTTTATGATAGCGAAAATTAAGACTAATCTACGTTTTCATCAACTGTTTTAATATTTTTTTCAAATTTACCGTCATGAATTTATCTTAATAACATTTGGTTAACTTTATGCTTACTGGTTGTATGTCTTTAAGAACTTTTTTCTTGGTGGTGTTTTCAAGTGGTGTAGGCGAATGTTCTATTGGTATGGTCTGCTGGGGACGTGGTGCGTTTGGCAGCAGCACAGCGTTTGGAACCATCGCTCTGGGTGGTAGCGAAGGCGGCGGCGTATACGGTACGCGATCGGCGGCCGCCATCAGCTCGAAACCTTTCTTGGGCGAGTCCCGCAGCACCGCACCACGGTCTCCTCCATATATTAGTGGAAGCTCAGGCATTGTGTTGTCGATCGCACTGTCTCTTTGCTCCATTACCTACGATTACCTAAATATAACTAAGGGTATTCGAAGAAGAATTGGGATGACAGAACAAGAGTTAAAATGTAAGATACTTTAGCATCCATGTGTCTACCTATGTGTTCAAGATCACGGTAGTAATGGTTCTATCTTACGAAATAAGTTTTATTAATTAATAATTAAATAATCATACTCTCTGTGCTGGGGCGGGTGGAAGGCGATGCGGAGACCAAATGCGTTCGGTGTCGGGCCAATAGCCAGGAGGTGCGGCCGGCTGCTGAGGGGGCCATTCAGGTTCAGCTCGATGTGGTTGAGGCCAAGAGTGACGCGCCCAGCTAAGCGCTGGCGCAGCTGGCTCGCCTAACTGCTGCACCAAGCCGCCCGTGTGACTAAAAATATGTGGGCCTGTTGCTGCATCCCCCGTCACCGGGCCAGGTACTGCTGTAAAACAGAAATCAAATATCTAATAATTTCGATTTTATATTTACCAAACACAATACCAAAGTAGTACGTTACACTGTTACGCCATGGCTATAAAACTATTTAATCACCTTCCTAGAAGTTATAGATCACTGCCGTGTAATTCTTTCAAGGGGAAGGTGATTAAATTTTTAGAGGCAAGGTGCCTTTATAGCGTGGGCGAGTATTTAGACCATAAGTTTGACACCATAACTTAACTTATTATTATTATTACATTTGCATGCCTATTTATATATGGCTGATTGTGCGGATTTTTGTAGTTGATCGATGTAATTGTACCACTATCTTGGCAAACAAACGATTTATTATTATTAGTATTACATATTTCGGCTGCTTACCGTCGTTATAGTGATGTTGGGGCTGTGCTTGCGTCAGACGATGAGGCCAGAGCTCAGCCGCTTCTGCTACCGCCGCCGCTTCTGCAACGCTGAGATCACCGCCGGTGTCTATTTCCGATTCGAGTCGCACCTGATATGTGATAGAAATAGAACAAAATAAGTCGAAGTGAACATTTAATTGAAATGGGACATCGAATGCAAGGTAGACTTACTTGCGTGAGTGTGGGCGGTGGTGCGGCTGTGGAGGCAGGAACTGGTGGACCCGGCGCCGGTGGGCAAGCGAGTTCGGGTGCTTCATCGCTGCCATCTGCGCATTGTGGCACACCATCACAGGCATTGTATACTGCCACGCATTCGCCGCCAGTAGCGCACGCGAACTGGTAACGGCTACAGTGCGTGGAGACAGCAGCTACTCGTGGGGGTGAATGCGATGGAGTGGGACGAGGTGGTGGGTGAGGCGCCAGTGGTGGTGTTGGAGTCGTAGACGTGCTACGCCCGCGGCTTTAAAAATCCAAAACATTTAAAGAATTATTAAATTTGCCATGCAGGTCTTATTATTCAAATCAAGATCTTCACACCATTCTCAACTATAATTAATTCCTTAACAGACTCAGTACCAAGTTCGGTAAGTATACTTATTACAGGGGTTTACCGTAAGGGGAGAGGGGGGTCCCTTAAGGGGGGAGGGGGTCCCTTAAGGAAGTACTTAAAAGTAAAGACTTCCCAATGGTAGCTAAGAAAAAGGTATTCAATCTATGTATCCTACCATGTGTCACATACGGCTGCCAGACTTGGGCATTATCTCAGAAACATCTTCTAAAGTTGAGAACATGCCAAAGAGAAATGGAAAGAAGCATGGTGGGTGTAACACTGAGACATCGAAAAAGAGCAGAAGAGATAAGATCAGCGACCAAAGTGGAGGACATTACAAAGAAATGAGGGCAATTGAAATGGCGCTGGACCGGGCACATGACGAGAGATAGCAGGTTGAAATGGACAAACATAATTACATAATGGCAACCACGCGATGGAAAAAGGAAAAGAGGAAGACAGAGCAAGAGATGGGCTGACAATATAAAGAAAATAAGAGGCACAACTTGGACAAGAAGAGCTAATATCAGAAAAAAATGGAAACAGCTGGAAGAGGCCTATGTGTCACAGGACACGCTGATGACCTAAAACTGGTCAAGTGATGTATTAGATTAAGTTTTATTTATGTATTAGAGTTAAGTTTTTTTACGTAACTTAAATAAGTGTAAATATATTATATTGGATGTCAGCAATAAAGGCTTAATAATAATAATAATACCGTAAGGGGGGGGGGATGTGGTGATGTGAACGAAATACCTTAAGTCGGCAAGCTGGTGCCTCAATGGCGCTAGACGCTCCTGGTCCTGTAACTCTGCGAGGCGGCGACTGATTGCCAGTACGCCGCTGCTGAAGTTGCCATGCGCCGTGAACTTGCAGCGAAAGTCTTCGGGCGGTCCACACGCGAATAGATAACAACTGCCAGGGCTCTGAAGATATTTTTTTTAATTTACCAGTTCGTTCCCCAATTCCCCAATATATAAAGTTTATTAAGCACTCATAGGGTGTGGGCAGGAGAATAAAAATATAACAATAGGTTATTTACTCTTGTCAAAAGCGTTATCCTTTTATGTTAAATGAACCGATAGATTCATTAATATGAACGCGGTAGGTCTCGTTCTTAGTTAACAACCCATGTCATTGTCTACGGTAGGTAGAACTTGAGCAGCAGTAGAGCAGTGATGGCCAAGTGGCTTCAGCATGTGACTCTCATCCCTGAGGTCATAGGTTCGATCCCCAGCTGTGCACCGATGGATTTTCTATTATGTGCGCATTAAACATTCGCTCGCATAGTGAAGGAAAACATCGTGAGGAATCCGGCTTGCCTTAGACCCAAAAAGTTGACGCGTGGGTCCGGCACACGAGGCTGATCACCTACTTGCCGATTAGATTAACAAATGATCATGAAACAGATACAGGAATCTGAGGCCCAGACCTAAAAAAGTTGTAGCGCCACTGATTTATTGATTTTTTAGCTAGAACTTGATACCTATATCTGGATATTTGTTTATCATTTGTAACGTTAGTATATTAAGCGTGCTAATTTCGTATATATTAATGACAGTGTATTTGCCTTTTCCTCAAACACGAAGACATCGCAGCTGTCAGTCTCGCAGCAGAGGCGCAAGCACTCTGGGCGTGCTCCCACGTCTAGTTCAGCGAGGTAGCGCGCGCCCATCTCTCGCGACTCCTCCGTGCGGATGATCTTATCGCGCTGCACATCAAAGCGCGCCGCGCACGCGCTTGGATCTAGCGACCGCGCACTCGCACCCGCCCACCACCACGCGCACAAGCTTAAAAACACCCCAAACCACATCACCATCTTGCCACTTTAACAGTACACCACTCTATCACCAATGACACTCCAAAGATTTTTAGGGTAACACTAGCGTTGATGGCGTAGTGTACCGACTTCAACGCTGTCCCCGTGACTGATGCCTCGCGGGTCGATATTACCGCGCAGAAGCGGCAGCAACTTGACGTATATTTTCATTCCCAAAGGGGATAGATAACAAAATGAATGTATTAATTTGTCGGTAGGATTGTCTTTTATTTTTTACTATTTTATTATATTTAATACTGTAAATTTACTGTTTAATATTTTTCATTTTAAAAAAAAGAAGGTCAACAATTTTTAACTACCAGTCCATATAATTTAAACCCCATAAACATCCCCGGTTATACAATAATACCGTTCAAGTGATAAGACAGAGCATGTCACTGGGAGCTCCTTGAACTAAAAATACGACAAAAATATACTTACATACAAGTTTCTAATATCGCATTAATTTTCTATTGTTGTATAATTATTACTAAATTTCGCCATAAAAAATATTTTAGGCTTGCATACATGTTGAGCATTTTATAGCAAGCATTCTTGTGACATTGGTAGACAAAAGAATAAAGAAAATTGTATTATCGCAGCAAAGCACACGTGTGCCTATCAGGTGTTTGTAGATTGCGTCGCGCAGCCCGGGCAGCGTAGAGCAATCGCTTCGAGGCCGGCGGCGCCGTTGTTGGGCGGGCGGCGGCAGTGTAGAGGCGGGCGCGGCCGCAGTACCGCACATGTCGATCTTCTTCAAGTTTCGAACCGTGAGTACATCTGACGCTAAAAGTATAATACTTCTTGGTGTTTTAGAAGAAAATTGCGCCTTTATGACGTAAAAGATATCAAAATCAACATTATATTATCATTTGATTATTTAACTACACGGTTATGGACGGCGCTAGCGCTAACAAAGGCCGAGCAGTTATAAAATAAATTAGTTGGTTAGTGTTGATGATAATTAGTGGTTAAATATTCCTAGGGATGTTGCTCATGTACATCAAAAGAGCTCTGATACGCTATGGTAATGGATGTGGCATTCCTAAAGTATATATAAATAATCATCAATTCAGAGATATTTTAATATATCTATCTATCAAAACTTGTATTGTCTTAATATCTGCTGTTACATTATAAACGTGCTGTTTAACTGTCAAACTAATTAAGTGAACATTTTAAGTCTTAGAACTACATAGTGCATGGCTCATTTTAAACTATCTATTTAATATTTTATTTATTTATCTCTCGCATCATCTCAAAGGCTTAGGCGGAGTGCACAGACCTCCACTCGTTACGATCCTGACATACTTCTTTTGTTTCGTTTACTCTCATAATATTACCATACTCACTCGTCAGTTAGGAGGTCTTTTGACCTGTTCTCTATCAAGAACATCCTGGAAGCTAGATCTGGTCATGAGACGTGTGAGCAGGCCAAGTTATCCACACTCACTTTGTTTATCGACTATTGTTAGACGTGTGGATATCAATAAAATAGAAATTAAAAAAAAAATCTTTTACTACAATTGATGCAAAAATCCATGTAACGAAAAATTATATGATGAAATGTTTTACAGTTATCCATGCTAATAAATATTATTCGACAAATAAAATGTATTAAGTATATTTTTTTTAATTTCGTAAAAACATGGTTAAAGGAACGAACCTAATTGGTTGTAATTATAAGTTGTAATCAAACATATTCTATATTACAAATTAATAATATAATAGTAACGTCATCACGAACCTAGGTATACATTCGTGGTTATATATTATTATATAAACATGATAAAAGAAACCCGAACATGTAATTATTTAACTAATTTGAATGAGACAGTATGTGCAAATAAATTAATGAATTTTAAGGAAATTATGTAAGTCGTTACTTAAATTAGCTATAATTATAATTTTTTTCAAAGTATTATAGCGTTGATAAAATACGACAGCGCTCAAACGGCTGGGACGTATCTCAACGTTTTGAAGCGTACACAGATTTAGGTGGGCAACACTGAAAATGTTTAGAACTGCCCTGCGATTCTGTAACTCACTTTTCGAACTCACACAGCGGTTTTCGCATCGGCGGTCGCTCTGAAATCAGTCGTGAAGCAGTCATTTCATGATTTGGCATTCTAATAAACAATAAACTACAAGCTCCCACATTTTCAGAATGCCAAATCATGAAATGACTGCTTCACGACTGATTTCAGAGCGACCGCCGATGCGAAAACCGCTGTGTGAGTTCGAAAAGTGAGTTACAGAATCGCAGGGCTGGCCAGTTAGAAACATTTCTAATGAAAACTTTTTTTGAATTTCGATTTTAGACCTCTTTGCTAATGCTAATATACTACATATTAGCATTAGCATTCATTTGTCATTTGTTTTTGTGAATTGGCGGCAAATCTAAAACTCTTGTTACACGTGAAAATGAACCTAACGCGAGAAAATTTTCGGTCAGTGATTTATTATGACTTTCGTTGTGGGCTTACTCAACAACAAAGCTATAATAGGCTGCGATAAGCATTTCTAAATGAAGTCCCATCTTTTGCCACTATTAACAATCGGGTAAACGAGTTTAAGCGCAGACAATGATGATCCGCGTGAGAGACGTCCTTTAACAGCGACTACTGACGATAACATGAGTGCTGTGCGACGCATGATAGAGGAAGATGAGAGAGTGACCTATCAGCAGATACGGTCAAGCCTAGGCATTGGTATGAGTCAAGTTCAAAAAATATTACACGAACATTTAGGCGTCAGGAAGCCTTGTACCAGATGGATTCCCCATACTTTACCCGACGACCAGAAACACCTTCGCATAGACTGGTGTCGCCAAATGTATAAAAAGAAATTAGATAAGTTCATCGGCGGCGACTCAAATGCTATATTTGACATCGTCACAGGTGTTGAAAGCTGGATATATTGCTACGACCCCGAAACCAAAAGTCAATCAGCTCAGTGGGTGTTTCCTTTCGAGGATCGGCCAACTAAGGTAAAGGAACGAAGAAGTCATGGATAAAAGATGATTGCCTCATTCTTTGGTCGGAGAGGTCATTTCGCGACAGTTGTGCTAGAAGATGGAAACTTCTAGCACAACTGTCGAAATGTCCTTCCGGACAGTTACTGCAGACTGGTATGTCAATCGCTGTTTGCCTGTTGTCTTGGAAAAAATTCGACAGCAGCGACCTCGAAGCAGGATCCTCCGTCACCACGACAATGCTTCAGCGCACTCCGCAAAACGGACTGTTGAATATTTGACTATTACAGGTGTCGAGATAATGAGTCATCCGCCATATAGCAGGACGATACCTGGCGCCCTGCGAATTTCACTTGTTCCCAAGAACTAAAGATAGACCTCGAAGTATTCGCTTTTCGAGCCCTGAAGATGCTGTGAAAGCGTACGAAAATGCCATAGAAGAGACCCCTAGGTAGAATGTCTCAGTGGTTCCATTGAATGCGACGATGTGTAGAGAGGACCGGAGATTACTTTGAAAAACAATAAAAGTATTGGCAACTTTCTACATTAAGCCGTTTTTCATTTTCTAAACATTTTCAGTGTTACCTAGGTATAATTAATGAGATGATCGTAATATAAATGTACTTATATGTAAAGTGTCTGAAATAAAAATTATTATTATTATAAACTATATGCCTTAATACATTTTTATCTTTTTTATTTTATTGAAAAAAATAATATATTATTATTACAGGTCACCCAAATGCAACAAGCATTTTAAACCAAATTAACTTTGACATATTGTGATGTTAGTTTAATCAGTTTTGAAAAGGTCTTTTCAAATCTTTTGAAATTTGAGGATACCGCATATTTTTCCTACCTAGATACGAGTACACTAATCGTCTTATTCAAAAACATTATAAGCCTAATTTCGTTAAATTACATTTAACCACGTTGGTTAAGTTGTAAATGACACGAGAGTGATAAGGACAAAACAGCCTTCTGGTCTCTTGCCAAAGCTGTCCAAGGGAATTTCTGTCAGCCCTCAATTCCACCACTGCATAGGGAGGATGACTCACTTGCCCATACCGCGAAAGAGAAGGCCGATCTTCTAGGCTGTCTCTTTGCGTCGAACTCCACTTTGGATGATCAAGGGAAGGAACCACCGACATTATTGCGGTGTGATACTACGATGCCCGAAGTTATATTCCGGCAACGTGCTATCCGTAAAGCTTTGTCTTCCTTGGACATCCATAAGTCGAGCGGGCCTGATGGCATCCCTCCAATTGTGCTGCGTACTTGTGCTCCTGAGTTGGCTCCGGTCCTAACGCGCCTTTTCCGGTACCTTTACACGCTCGGCACTGTTCCGAAGTGCTGGAAGATCGCTTCGATACATCCGATCCCTAAAAAAGGCGATCGCTCTGATCCGTCCAACTATCGCCCAATAGCTATAACCTCCTTGTTCTCCAAAATAATGGAAACCATTATTAACAGCCAGCTCTTGAGGTATCTAGAGGGCCACCAGCTGATTAGCGATTCTCAGTACGGCTTCCGTCGTGGTCGCTCGGCTGGTGACCTCCTTGTATACCTTACACATAGGTGGGCAGAGGCAATTGAGTCCAAGGGGGAGGCGCTGGCGGTAAGTTTGGACATAGCGAAAGCCTTCGATCGGGTGTGGCACAGAGCACTGCTCTCGAAGCTTCCAGCCTATGGGCTCCCTGAGAAATTATGCAACTGGATTTCCAGCTTTCTCGCTGATCGGAGCATCAAAGTCGTCATCGACGGAGCATGCTCCGACCTGAAACCTGTGAATGCTGGTGTCCCACAAGGCTGTGTCCTATCCCCGACCCTGTTTATTCTGCATATCAATGATATGTTGCAGCTTAGCAACATTCATTGCTATGCGGACGACAGCACTGGGGATACTTTTTACACTGGCCGGGCAGGTATCTCTCGGGCTGTTGTCGATGAGTACCGGAACAAACTTGTGTCTGAAGTCGAAACTCTTCTACGTGGAGTCTCGGACTGGGGTAGACTAAATCTAGTCCAATTTAACCCCAAGAAGACACAAGTATGCGCGTTTTCCGCTAAAAAAACTCCCTTTGTCGCTACTCCCCTCTTTGAAGACACTCTCCTTAAAGCCTCAGCTAGCATCGGAATACTGGGCGTTGACATATCGAATAACGTTCAGTTTCGCGGTCATCTGGAAGGAAAGGCTAAATTAGCCTCCAAAAGCTTGGTGTGCTCAGCAAGGCGAGACGGTACTTCACTCCGGGCCACCGCTTGCAACTATATAAAGCGCAAATTCGGCCCCATATGGAGTACTGCTCTCACCTCTGGGCGGGAGCTCCCCAGTACCAGCTCCTTCCACTTGACCGTATTCAACGAAGAGCGGTTCGAATCGTCGACGACCAGTCACTTTCCGTGCGGCTTGATCCCTTGGCGTTGCGTAGAGATGTGGGATCTCTCTGCATCTTCTACCGCATTTACCATGGATAGTGTTCAGAGGAGTTGTTCGGTCTAATACCTGCAGCTGAGTTTCATCATCGGACGTCAAGGCAAAATACAAAATACCATCCGTATCACCTCGACGTCCGTCGTTCCACAACAGAGCGTTTTCTAAGGCAGTTTTTGCCGCGCACCACCACTATGTGGAACCAGCTGCCCACAGAAGTATTTCCGAACCAATTCGACTTAGGGTCCTTCAAGAAAAGAGCGTACCAATTCCTGAAAGGCCGGCAACGCACTTGCGAGCCTTCTGGCATTGTGAGTGTCCATGGGCGGCGGTATCACTTAACATCAGGTGAGCCTCCTGCCCGTTTGCCTCCTATTACATAAAAAAAAAAAAAAAAAAAAACAATAAATATAACATTATGCATGAGAGGTGAGCAATCGCTGAAGAACACTTGAGAATTCAGACAAACATAGCATGTATGTTTGTCTGAATTAAAACGGGAAGGTGATTTTAGATGAAGACACAGAGGACTGATCACTTGAAAGATATACAAAACCTATGCACTATGCTATATCTATATATTTTATGTCATGCAACAGAGGTTTTCCTAAAAAAGTTGTTATTTGATCGCTGAATATTTTGTTAGAGCGCGTTCGGCGAGGTTTGAGGGGTGTGCGGGCTTGCCTATTCGCGGTTGACGCAAGTGAGTCGCGATTCGTACCTCGTGACCGACGTCTGTGAGTGATCCACGTTCATTGCATTCATGTTCATTACCTACTCACACTTCAGTCTTCACAGTTCGGCACTCGCCAGTAACGACTCACGAGAGCTTGCGTGATCACGTCTCGTGGAATCAGTGGTTATCTGTAGCTCGTTTGTGTCGCGACGGCTTTGTTGTGTGAGCTGTGTTTACGGATAGTGCAAACAAAACGAAGGTGTGACTTTATTAGCAAGTAAGCGGAGTGAACTAAAGAGCCCGGGCTGGCGAGTGGGCGCAGCCTCCCGGGAGCAACGACCGCGCGTTCGGTACGCCACTGCTTATTTATTTATTATAAACGCTATGCTTGAAAAGATATTTGCGTACGAAATAATCTTTATTAAAATAACCTAATACACGGCCCTTCCGCCCTACCTGTTTACAATTTTTTTAACAATGGTTAAGGCTATTTTAAGTTTTGTAACTATCAAATTACAGTTTTGCGTAATATTCGAAAAATAGCAACCAATGACATCATCCAATATGTATAGTAATTTGGTCTAATGTACCTTCCCAGTTTTCAGTTCAGTGAATAAGCGATTTCAACACAAAGATATTATATTAAATAGTCTCGTGAACGGGACCGAAAACCCCATAGGATTGTGTTATCTTTGACTCCGAGGTCATGAACTTCTGAGTATCGTAATGCGGGGTCAATAATTCATGCCGAAAATATTTTTTTTCATTAAGTCATTCGCTTATTATAATTTCTTTAAACATAATGTAAACACACGCAAGCATTCAACTAATTTTATTACGCATTGTTAATTATATTTACAGGAGCAGACGAACATCAAAAATAATTTAAGAACTATTATGGCATTTCCCACAGACTACAGTAGGTTGTAGATTTATAAAATAGTTTGAGGCAATAGAAGACGCGACGCGGTAAATACGTGAGTGGGAAATGGCCATTAGTGGATAAGGCCGCTGCTCCCATCATCACCTCTCAACCGTCACGACTACTATTTGTACCCGATCACGATTAGAAAACAAACAAGCTTCCACATTACACGTATTTTCCCTACATTAGAATAATATACAGATTTTACTTATAATCTAATTTTAACACCTTTATTAACTTCTACACATTTTGCCACATCAGGTCACGTGGTTTGATAGACGTTTTTCCAGTAAGGAATGCCGTAGAGGCGAGCTATAATCGGCTTATCCGGTATATAAATATAGGTCACGCAGCGTTCTGTTAGCATATTCCCTGACGGTGCTGATTGCCGTGGCTCAATAAGATTAAGGAGCTTGAAGGTCGGGGTGTTTTCGCCTGCTGAGTGCGTCACTATTCTTATTAAATTGTCACCTCTTACATAGATTATCTTCTGCGTCGCCGTGTCGGGTGTTCAGCACCGAACGGCCCCTATACTGACTCACACGTAGCCATGGGTCACTCACCTTTGTTGTTCGATACGCAATTTAGCCTCCTTTAAGATGTAATTTATTAATAAATTACTAAATCGGTTACTATATTTTATTCAGTCAACACAAACTAATAAAAAATTATAGAAATATTATCTCGAAAGATTTTTTTTCACGTTAATTGTAGATTTATAAAAGGTCAACGGTTGCTGTTTCGATCTCTTTCTAAGTACTCCGATAAGCAAGTAAAAAATTCTTCGAACATTGTCTAAAATAACCAAACATTTCGAATGCTTATATTTCCTCATGTAGCTAACACGTTATTCCTAGTTATAAGTCAACTAGACGAGGGCCGTCACGCGGTGCTAGTCTCCAAGCAATGAACCAGGAACGTAGTATCTTAGGTGTTGATGGATATTATGTTATACGCCGGCATGTGTGTGCTGCTAGTCCTCAAAGAGTAACGACGAGTGATTAAGATGATAATATATCTCGACTACTGAATATAAGTAATGTAATAGAAAATAAATATCTATATAATGACATTCTTATCAATTATCAACAAGTATAGAGTGACTGAGCATGTTGATAAAATGATTAACATCGCACGATTATGATAGGATGTGCAAGACAAGGAAATGAACAATGTGAAACAGCCTAGCGGCCCCCTTCTAAGTAAAGAAAAAGCAATGTTCAGATGCATTATTTAAACCCTATATAGTTTTAACAATAATTATTATTAAAGAAATAATCTTATATATCTTGCGAGTACATAACAACAGAGCATCTTAATTGTTGAAATATCTTAACTAAGTGAGCAGTATGCGAGGAGAGAAACGGTCGCCGTTTATAATGATTGCCGCAAACGCAGTACTTCCTCCCTCGGTAGACACCCGTGACCTCACTTCGTTCCACTTGAAAGACTTTCTTGCTACTAATGTAATTTTTTATATGCTCTAGGCTACGCATAGCTGAAGGTTGGTTAAATCGCGATTGTAAGATTCCCGCGCTTAACCAGTAATTAACAAACATAAATCTAGTGTTGATAACGTGTTACTTTTATCATACATATATCTCCTTTTTAACAGACGCAGACGGGTATTGACTATGCATTATGCTATCACCCTTCCCTCCCTCCACCCCAAAGTCTAGACTGCCGCCACTTCGAAAGCCAACCTAGTGTTAGCTAAGTACGAAATAAAACTACACCACATTTCGCTGTAACTTAGAAATTCTATCATATATGTTTGGTAGTCGTTCCGCCTAAGATAATCAACAATTAACAATAGTTATGTTAGTATACCGAATCATAATTTTCAGAGGAAAAATTAAAAAGGTTTATACCTAACATACATACCGAAGGTTTAATGACTTTTCATTTTCTACCTTTTGCATTTATTCTGTCACTTTGATTTATTAGTAAGAAAGGTATGACTAGTAAGTAAAATATGTACCTAGAATGTAGCGTCCGCTTTCATATTCTAGGGGCGCAGCGGCGGGGCAGGAGGCGGCATGGATTGCGGCGTAGCGGGGGCCTTTCCGGCCCGGACCCCACATGGGGCTCATCCAGCGCCCCGAGGACACGCCCCACATGGGGCGCTCTCACCCACCGAACGCTCGCCCGCCAAGGCGGGACTACATGTTAATTTTAGTGATAAAGGCGAGGTAAGTATTTCACCACGTTGAGTTTTTTTATAAACTAGTCGCCTGGTTGAAATGATAGAAGCTAAGCTAGAAGTCGTAGCAGTTAAACTAAATTTTATTATCTTAGGTATAAACAATAAATGTATGTGTTTCGTTAGTGTGCCTTTTAAAATAAATGAATAAATAAATTAATTAATTTAATTTATTTGGTTTTACATAGTTCAGTCTATAGGGTACATTGTACACCTAGATCAGCTTCACTTCAGAACACTTCTGTGCCTGACACCCGCAGTCGGTGTCTTTGTCAAAGGCATAATGTTTCGGTTTCCTCACTATGTTTTCCTTCATCGTACGAGCGAGTATTAAATGTGCACTTGGACAGAATACATAGTATATTGGTGCACAGCCGGGGTTTGGACCTACGACCTCAGGGATGAGACACACGCCGAAACCACGAGGCCAACTCGATCTTCGCGTTGCGTAACAACTTGGTGTAATTAAAATATGTATTTGCATGTTGTTCCCACGAGAATGTAAGTGCGTGCTCCTATTTCACCATGCCTACTGCTGATGGAGGACAAATCTTTGTTTTTTTTTTCGTTTACAGATTTTTACTTTTATTATTATAGCTAATTACTTAAAGATGTCATGTGGAACATGGTGTAATGGTTGCAGCTCCTTACAAACATTTTGTAAAACAAAAAACTTGGCGATTAAAGAGTGGCGGAGAGTTTTTTGCCAGTTCTTCTCGTCCGTTCTACGCCCTTAATTTGAGAATTGGCAGTTAATGTAAAATTAGAAGCATTTAACCTGTATTTTTTTATTGACGTTCATAAGACGTGTACATTGTGTTACCTAACTGAATAAATTATTTTTAATTTGAATTTGCACAGCGGAAAAATTGTTACCTGTTCATAGAAACTTCATGGCAAAGTGTTTTGGGATTGTATTGTACTACCCGGAATTAAATTATGTTACAACACAATAGGTGAAGGAGCGTCGCGAGAAGTTCCTTACAGCGAAATATGGCAGCCACCAGATGGCTCTGATCCGCAAACGGCTCGCCGTCGAAATGTGGCTGTACGACGAGCTCCAGAAGTTGTATGAGGCACCTGCTCCGGTCAGTATATCATAACAATATCTATAATGATTGAGATCGCATATTGTTTGAAATTGCAGTATTGTATTTTTCAATATTTTTAATTCAATATATGTACCTACCTTCCGCCACCATAGTTTCAGTACATGTGTTGAAATTAATGAGTGTCAACATTGTAACTCCAAATTCGAAAGACACTTGCTAGACATAAGATTTATATTATTTTTAGTTGATTTTTAATCAGTGCACTTCGTAAAATCAGTCTAAATAATTGTTACAAATGGGTTTACTAGGTTTTTTTCAAGTATTTATTAATTGATAAAAGGGCGAGGGACTAGTGCTAGACAGGCTACTTCTAATTAATTTGCAATATTTGTTTTAAAATAAGTGTTGTTTGACATAGTCATTTTGTATGATGATTTGCTATTTTAGATTACCGAGAGATTTTTACGCCGGCATTTTCTCTCGGCCTACACCCTCTGTCTTTTTTGCCGATGAGTAGTGATGTCTACCGATTCAAATTTAATGACGTGGAATAAGTGATACCTGGATCTTATATTCCATAATAAACATTGTTTTTTATTTTAATCATCTAAATATGTCAGAATTTTACATTTTATATATAACGAACTTTTTCAAGTATCCATATTTACAGAGTGAGAGCGGCGCGGCGTCTCAAGAAGTCGATGTAGATATTGATGAGTTACTGGATATGGACAGTGACGAACAACGTTGGAGACATCTCACGGTAAGTGTGGATTCTAAGACTATTTTTTTAAATTGTTTGTCGCACACTAGAACTGAGTGTGTGATACAATGCTGATTTGAATTTTCTATATTTCAATTTTTTTATTTGAATGTTTTACAATAAGGAATACTATTGAAGACAAAACCAATTTAAAACACCAACTTTGTAATTTGAAATTAATTATCTTTAATTTGATTGATTTTTATATTGATATGACATTTTAATCTTATCTATCACATATTTTAATGCGCCAATCGGGTGGAATATCCCATATTTGAACGGGCACAATAACAAAATTTATATAAAAATGTAACTCTGTATTACTTGTTACGGTTAGGAATTACTTTTATTGAGCCCTAATAAAGTGCCCATTTTAGTGTGATTCTTTAAGTTGTGTAGGTAATGTGCGCTCTATGGGACAAAACATTAGTTATCACATTTTTGTAATAACGTGTCTTCGACAAGGTCGTCTGAATATAGGGTTCATTGATATAAACGTTTTTATCGTACTATGAGTCGAAATGAAGATACAGCTATTAGCTGGCAATCACCAATGAGTAAATTATCGATTTTTAACCAGTAAAACCAATCCTTATTTTTCAAAACTGTACTGTCGTTGAAATACATCGGAACTGTTTTTTTAAAATATATTTCCTATTCTTTTGTTGCAGGTGCTGTTAGCCGATGCAAAAAAACCTCAGAAAGATGTACATGTAAGTATAATCCAAAAGATTTTGGGTAAAATTCAGAAACGAGAGTTAGCGCTAACTATCAGTACGTCAAATATAAAGGATGGGCAAAAAGTCGTATACGATATAAAAAAAATGTTTACTTCGGATCCCACTGTGAAAAAAAAATACTCTACCGAAAAGTGACCCTGTATTACAAGTTTTGGCGCATTAAATAGGCATTCTGAAAAGGTATTACACATGGCCATTGGCCATTCTGTATTAGGAGGATTTTGACATCTTTGAGTCATAATCTGGGCTTTTCTAAAAACTGGAACCATATACTGGACTATACCTACGTAACTAAATATAGTGACATTGTCAGCAACTGTTTAAAAAAATAAAGTGATAACGAACAAGCCTAACAAAGACGACGCGACGCTCGAGTTCAATGTGATTCGAGTATCAGTAAACAAATTGCGAAGTGTTAATAAGACAATAGGCAGTTTCTTTATATTGTCTACCGCTAAGAATATACAATGATTTTATACCATGAAATCGGAAGGAATAAAATTTGCCTACTAGGGCATGCTCTAGTTACAAGTAGTTTTTTAATCCCTTCGGCTCCAGCTGACATGTTTACTATGTTATTAAGACTTTTTTTAACATTCTACATACAAATATACATTGCGACAAACTACAATTGGTTACCTTTATCACTTTTATAAAAAAGTATCGAACACGATTCGTATTTGATTGTAATAGTTTCATGTTTGTTTCAGAGATTTATAAACGATCTTTTAGAAAAAGCAAAGACGTTGTAAATATCGAGAAACCCGGTAATGCCAGGCGACCCTCAGCTGTACACGGCCAACAACTTGGATAGCGAAGGAGCTATCTGTACTAGGTTTTATAGTACTGATTCATCATTAGTTTGAATTGTCATTAATTGTACTAGCGTTTTATATCTATACGATATGGTGCATTTCAATATACATATGTATGTTTAATCAGACTTGCATTAAAGCCTGGAGGTTGCACATACTACCTCGGGCCGTCGGGGTCGCTGTAGTTATAAGTAAGCTCAATATATTCCATGCCACGTGTCGTGCAGTCCTTCCAGGCTGTCATATTAAAAATATTTTAACAGTCCTAAATCCAAACAAATTGAGTTTGTCTAATTACCTGTATGAAGAACAAATTGTATTCTAGTATATTTTCAATCTAGCAACAGCACATTTTTTGTTCTGGAAGTACTGTGTGGGAGCATACCTACTGCCATGGCGCGGTAGTGTGAGATAACGAAATTCCTGCTCACACGGGCGCATTACTCGATTCTTAGCTAAATTTAGTTGTACTCATTAGTATTAAATATTGAGGATGTTATATTAAAACAGTTCCGACTCCCGTTACGTTTTGACATAATTTGCACCATAAGCCTCGGCGAACTTCTAAACGAAAATACAATGAAAAACATATCAGCAAAATTCAAAGGCACTCTATAGAAGATATTGGAAATGTTTTAACCATCTTTAATTTTAAATATTCTATATTAAAGTTATTATTTAATATTTAAATAATATTTTATGGATGAGACGTGAGAGCAATCACTATAATAATATAAAAAACTGTCAACTGTTGGTAGATTTTTTTTTCGCTCTAAAGGGTTAGAATGTTTTAAATACTTTTAATAACGTTTTTCTATATTCAGCATATACGTTTGGTAATAACATCTTCCTTATATAATTGTAAACATACATTTTATAAGCTTATTTTAATAATGATCAATATAACATATGTAGACAAGTAGTTCTTCATAGGCCTGCTGGTACTTATTTTGGACATCACGTTCCTAACATTATGTTTGAATTGCATGCCTCTAGATGGCGCTTGAGTAATAACCAATCTAAATAATTATTGTAACGCATTGTATCTATCACACGTCCAATTGCCCTTGAAGCTTACGTTTAAATTGTGTGTTTAAACCAGCCCTGCGATTCTGTAACTCACTTTTCGAACTCACAGAGCTCAATCCAGTGTTTATGTCGTAAATTGCTTGTTCGCATTTTGTGTAACCTAATTTATTTCGCAAGCGCTGAGCGCAATGAGTAGGTAATTTATTGTTTTAATAATTAAGTATATTGCAATTGGACATTTCAAAAATAAATGTCACAAATTAATGTGCTTAGTATGAATTGGTGGACTTTAGATTTACTTAAATTAATTATTGTGGCCACTGTTCAAGTGTAGCGTAGTCTGGTGGTAAAGTAGGTGAGAGCTCAAGCAGATGGACCGCAGAAAAAGAACTGTATGAAGTGGTAACAGCCTCACTTATAACTGTCAGTAGTCAGTACAAACTACAATTTAATAAAAGTTGGTAAACCAAATCGGCAGTTAAATAAGGTTTTACAAGCAGTCCGTGTGGTTAGAGCTCTTAGGTAGTAGGAATATTAATAATTTTAGGTAGTAATAAGTGTCAAGTGATGATACATTTTGTAATAAATCAGTCTATACAAAATATCTTTTATTTCTATTTTTTGATTTTGTTTTCTCATAATTCCAGTCTTCTAGACATTGGAAAGTTTCTATAATAGTTTATTCAAAATAAAAATCAATTTAAAAAAGAATATGTAAATGAACTTAAATATTCCTTCATGCTTTATTCGCTTATTTTACTTTTTAACAATAAAATTCAAACCACCCAACACGGCTGATATTTTATTTTACATCATTTTAATTACAAAACTTTTAGAAAAATAATTTTACTTAAAAAGTACATGCATATTTACTATCCACTTCATTAGTTTTTCACTAAAATCTCACACAAATAAGTAGATATAAGAAATATTACTTGGTCCATGCATTTTGTTATTAGAAATGTTCCAAAGATTGGTTTTCATACAAGGGTAAAATCTTACTGAGGTATCTGTCATTATATTACAATACACAGATCAAATATAAAGCCATTTTATCACATGTCCCCACATATAAGGCAGTAATGGCGTTATATGTGAAATATTACAGTACTTATACTACATGACAATGTTGACATTTGCACCAAGATTTAACAGAACAATGAACATTGAATGTGCACAACAACGTCACCTTCTTAACAACACTCAATTCAAATAAGGTAGTTTATACCATAACAGAAAAAACTTCACATGCGCATCCTAGTTATTAAGAATGCATATCTCCTTAGGCGGTGTCCATGCGGCATGTTTCTGTAGTAACTGGGGTAAGTGGTGCTAGTAAGTCACGTTGCGGCGGCGCAGGCGCAGCTAGCGGACGTAGTGCCTCACTTAGCTCGCGAAACCTGCGCTTGAAGGCAAGACCACACCCACGGGCCCGCCGAAACTCAATCATAACGCAGCCACCGGCGGCAGGTGTTTCCCCGCACGCGTACAGCCCATGCTCGCATGCGTACTTCACCGCATTCAACGGCCATGACACGTGGATGTAAATAGCGGTATGTGTGACCGCGGGTGGTCAGCTGTTCGGCCAGCGCAGGTAGAGCGTCGCGTTCAGCGCAGCGCAGGAATAAGCGTGTGAGCCGTGGCGCCAGGCGCTGTAGCGGAGCACCTGCCTCAGCTAGCAAATCGTCGCTATGTGCCGGTTGCGAGTGGCAAAGAAGCTCGTCCATGTCGCGCGTGCTTAGCTCACATTCGTTGCCGCCCGCCACACCGCACGGCTGCGAGCTCCATGGACGACCGCCAGCCGAGCCCGCGTCTACCTCGTCTGTTCAGTAAGAGATAATACATGTTAAACATTAAGTACACACAACACACATAAGTAATTACTGCCAAAACAAATGATACACAATTGCAATATACATTGAGATTTCAAAAATTAAACTAGTAAATAATATTTTCTAATTTAAATTTATGCAATTCTAACATTTTGTAGGACATTTTTAAAATGATACAAATGAAGGTTACAAGAATCAAATAAGTATAATTTAACATCAGCAATTATCACCTAGAACTTTACATAAAATTGTATATATACTTGACATAAAAAAGTTTATACACAAAACTAAATATACATTTAACTTATACATAGATATTATACAAATAATAATAGTTTTAAGATTTAGTATTGTTACCGCATATGATGGTAACAGCAAAATCCTAGAAAATTAGATGTAATTGGTAATTTTTCCTTCAAGTGGCATCGAGTCGTAAGTGCTGGCGCGGTGCTTTGGTAATCTAGCTTTATGAGCACTGTACGTCATGAGCTAAATAACCAAAGCGCCGAACCGAGCTGGTGGCTTTCGGCTGGTCACTTGTTGCTTGATGTAGTTCTGGTGATGGCGATCAGCACCTGGCTGAGGCACGAGGCATCTCTGAGGTCGGATTCACTCAGAGTCACCTAGTACCTGACCGGGCGTAGCGCGGCTAGACGCTTTAGTCTGTGCGGAAAGAGAACCGACGTGGCAGTTACGCGAACTAGTATAAACCCTTTAGAAAATTATACTTTGTACCCTCATTGAGTAATTACCGTCCTACTATAATGACGTAACAGTTTTGTCAATGTAACAAAATAAGGTAATTTATCACTGCAGTGATCTGAAATCCCACGACGGCTTTCTTTCCACAGTATACCGTAAGTTCTGGTATGACATGGGACGCTTTAATATTTCAGAATTTTTATATAATAGCTAAGTAGTTCAGCCAATTTTGAACAATATGTGACTGTCTATTTAAAAAAAATTATAGTTGTTTATACTTTTTCATTTTATTGTTTATAAATATAAGCCGGTAGCTTCGACAGTGACCCAAAAAGAAGGAGTATTAATTCTTAAAGCTCACCAGAATCTCGAAGCCATCGGTGCGCAGAAAGCGCGTCTAGTGCTGGTCGACGAGTAGGATCGGGTCGCAGTGCGCGACGGAGTAAGTCCAAAGCAGGTAGTGAAACTTTGCGCCAGGGACCGCTAGGTGCAGCACCGCCAACTGACCATGCAGCCCAAGCTGCGTAACGAGCGTCCGATTCGTCAGCCCGCTCCCAGGCTAATTCTGTAATACATCATCCAGTATGTAGCATATAAAGTTAAGCAACAATATATTTAAAAGATTATTACCCTGTCAGCAGATTTTATTTTTTTAATAAGATCAGATAGCCTGTAATTTTTTACTAGAAAAGTAGTCAAAAAGAGGTTGATTAAAAATGAAGATATATCAAGAACTAACTGATACAATACTTTGTAGTACTACTATATTTAGTATAAAGTTCTTATCGTAGTTCATCAAAATATCGAAATTAATTTTGATTATTAATTCAAAGTCCATCAATGTACATTAATATTAAGAAAAACCACATCCACGTTAAATTCTTTCGAAAACTTGAATATAAAACGACGAATATATCGACTTCATCCTTGTGAATAAAACATCCTCTGACAACACGTCGAGTGACAGCGACTCGTAACTTCGGTACCGTAACTTTAGGGAATAAAAACGCCTACAGCTAGGATACCAAAGAAACGAGAGGCAGCGGGTGACGCCTAGAATACAGGAGGGAGTAGAAAAGTATAGGGCGACACTAACCTCCGGCTAGCATGGCTAACAGCACCAGTGCAGCAGCCCATAGATCAGCAGGCGGCGCACGATAAGGCCGCGTCGGTGCAGTTAAGACTTCAGGCGCAGCGTATGGGGGCGTCCCACACACACGCGACAGTAGGCGCTCACGGCCGCTCTGCCGAAACAACGTGGCCATGCCAAAATCAGAGATCTTCAGTGTGTCGTGGTGGTCGAGCAATAAGTTCTCGGGTTTAATGTCACGATGAGCTACGCCGCGCGAGTGCAAGTAGCGCAGGCCGTCCAGCAACTGGCGCCAGTACCGACGCGCTGCCGCTTCACCAGTGCCAGCGTCGGGTTCGATTCGGTCGAAGAGCTCGCCACCCTGCGCATACTCCAGGAAGAGATAGTGGACGTCACCGTGCTGGCGCGCGCCCAAACAGCGTAAAACGTGCGGATGACGTAAGGCGCGATGTAGACCGGCTTCACGAGCTCCAGCTCCTTGTTCTGCACCACCGCGGACTGCCTTCAAAGCCACGCTCGCGTTCGTACGCGCGTGCACCAATAGGCGTACCCTACAAATAAATACAGTTAAGAACCATCCTAATCAATTTAATTGAAATAAGATCTTATAGCACATTTTCATTTGCCACTTGAACTACAGATATCCTTTATTATACTTAAATATACTAATTGGTCATGTTCACTCACTAACCTTCCATGTAGTTAGTTCTAATCAAGTTTTATGTAAACGTAAACCTTTAAATTATCACAAAATTATTAAAGTTACGAGTCTTCACAGATGCAGCACTTTATTGCACTGAAGATTGTACTTCAATACAAAGTAATTATTATATACTTTTATAACATAAGTTAATGGTCTCTTGTTACATTATTACTCTTAATAAACAGAGAGGTTAGCACAAGAATAAAGAGATTTCATTTTCATTAGCAGTATTCTGTTTATATTTTATCTTAAATATTGTTTTGAATGACTAAATAAAGACTGATTTGGTAACAGTATGCAGTTGAGATTAACAATAATATTTTTTCCATAATAAACATTGTGTTCTGTAAAACATGTATAATAATGATAAAACAACAAAATCTGTATGATATAATACTAAAAACAAACTATGTCAGTCAGTTCTTTCTCTTAAAATTTTGTTGATTGAAGTTACAAATACTATTACCACTATACACCATTATTACCTTTCTGGGGTAATCTATAAATACAAAACTATGGCAATGAAAATTAACAAATTATGCATACTCGCCATAGGCGCCCTCGCCCAGCACCTGTGCCACAAGCCAACCTTCCACAAACTCTCCGCCGGAGCTCATGACACCGCTCTCAGCTGAGCGGCTGCCGCCACACGGCCGCAGTACTGGGCCCCGGCGGATTATATCGTCGACCACGCCGACAACTTTCTCTATTAGAGTACCTATTACATTAAATAACTTGTTAAAATAGGAATCATTTTGAATAAATAGTAATACTTCAGAGGCTTTCACGGTACCTCAGGTAAAGCAAGCAAATGTTTAAAACTAAATGGCGGAAGGCACGTGGAGTTTAGCGAACAAAGCCTTTGACGAACATTGACATCGCCCTCGTCCTGTCGGCTATCTTGCGTGATATCGTTAACTATGAATTATTACACAAGATACAATAATAAACCGCTCAATATTCGTATACAAGAGGTATCATCAAGAATATTGAACAACTTTTATTTAAATACTAACCTTTTGAAGTATCTACACCATTTTGCCATTTTTCCTGCTTTCAAGTTTCAACAAATCAGCATTCAGGCGGTGAACTGCAAACAAGTGTGACCATCTAAAAATACATAATCTGCCAAATTCTTTCCTAAAGAGTGCCAGATTGGCTCAAATACTAATAATTGCCTTTACTATTTCATACAAAAATAAGTAGTTTAATAATTTTACACCATAATATTCATTTATTTTTAATAGTTGTATAACAGGATTATTTATGTATAAAAGGGCTATACTAACATTTTTTTATGTGGCCTCCTGGGAGGCTGAAAACCATACCATTATATCGACAAGATTATAACCTAATGGAATGTGACAGGCCCCTTCCTAGTAGTAAATCATTCATGAATGATTTAGATATTTTTCTTACTAGCAGCATACGAGATGATTTCAGGAGTACTGTGCTTAGTGTTTTTAAAGCCTGCAGATCATTTTATGAGTGAAAACTAATACAAAACAAATTTAGGTGATATAGCTCGACCGATGACCATATTAGACAGATCATATAATATTTCATCTATAAATCTATAATATGGGAAAGAGATACATTTTGATGAAAAACTCAAAAAAATAATAATTAAAATGACTGATTCAATTTAGGATGGAGGGCAAGATATCTGTAGTTAATAGTAACTATTAAACAATTACTTATCATGTTTTATCCATCTGAGATAGCAGCGGAATATATCGACTTTTTGAAGTTATACTTCTTTAGGCGCGTTATGAAAAATTTATGAGAGTGAAATTTTATAATGCGCGCGCACCTGTGACACAAAATTAGGAGTGTGATTATAGCGTGCGCGAGCGAGATAGGAATAAGACAATCTACAAGTAAAAAGAAATAGAATATGCGTGAAGTTCGTATGCCAAGAATTTTGAATGACCATAATGACATTTGTCATTTACCTTTTAAACAAATAAAGGAGTTTTAATTATTTTTTCAAAGAAATTTAGCAATGCTTTTTGAATTATAATCAGAAGTGATTTAAATTGAATATTTAAACCAATACTAATTAATATTTGTGAAAAAAACTGTGCTCATCAACCTTCCTAAGTGCTTCAATACAATTGAGGTAAACTATCCGTATGTATTATTATTATCGAGTAATGTTTTGATTAAAAAAATGACCACATTGTTTAATCAAAACATGTAATTTTTCTGATTTAATCTAGCAAATATAAGGACAAGAGACAAAAAACTATTGATGAATCAGTGTAAGTGCACTAAATTGAATACAAAAAAAGAGTTGTCATCTTATCGCTGTGAAACATCAAAAACTGGAGGTGGAACAAAGCCAAACTATTTTTAATAATGCCAAAGAAGTATAACTTCTTACGCGCGTACATAAGTACACGCACCCTTTTTTTTATGTTAGTGGTAAGGTTACCATTGTAAGTCCATTTTTTTGCTAGTGCTGTTGACGCTGCTCGAAACAAATTACCAAAATAAAAGGATTCTACAAAAAAATGGTCACAATGTTAGAAATCCGATCACTGCCGCGACGACGCGGCCGTCGTTGCCGAGATCGACTTCGTTTAGGATCGGCTTTCATTCGGAATCTCGAGCAAATCATGGTATGCTTCAATTCACGATCAATGGCTGGAAGCGTTCGGAAATGATAAAATATTGCAAACATTCGTTAAATTATATAATGATTCGCTAAAATAAAATCTATAGTATTATTAAGACTACAAAAGAACTGAAAATAAATAGATGGGTAGATTCATAATTTTTTTATTCCAAATTAAAATTTTGGTATGTTTTATTGAATATGTCAGTCTATAGTCTATAGTTTCAATACAGGTTAGTAGTTAGCCTTTTTCCAACAGATTCTAAATGTCTTTCATCTACTTTAATATAAGTTTTTGTATGTGAAACGTACACAGTACACAGTACACAATCACAAATACCTTATAATTTATTGAGATTCATCATATATTTTCTCTAATTTCGAATAAATTAATTAAACTACCCAGAAACTGATGACTTGAGATCTTTGGTATTCTTTTTATTCTTGCCTTCTAAAAGCTATGGACTTCCATAATCCATAGGTGAATTTAGAATTTTGTATCTATATCTATGGTTACATTTTCAATTTGATAGAATAGACACTTTGTTAGGTGTTATCTTGGTAGCAGAAAAAATATCCATATATAATAAAAACCTTCAGTTAGGACTTGGGTACAATATTCAAATTATAATCATAAATTAAGAGTATCTGAACAAGAAATCATGGTAAGTGGTTCTTTTAAATATATTTTTTCTAGAATTTGTATAGGTAATGATAATTATGCGTTTATTACTTTTTAGGCTGGATATTCAGAAGATCAAATAGCAGGTGAGTGAGTCATCATAATATAGGAAAATTTCGATATTTAAATAATTACCGCAATCAAATTAGAACAAAATGACAACAAGACAGGGTTACATACATGTTAATACCTTAACTGTTGGTTGTAAACCAGTACGTTGTTTATACGTAAGATGTTAAAAAATTGTTTCTACGTAAAAACGTAAGACTTGGGCGTAAGGCGTGTCGCACTGTTGTGAGTTGGCCCATGACTCACGTCAATCAACAATCTCAACGAAAGCGTCACCTATTGCAAGCGCCCTACATTCCATATAAGGTTGGTATTTTATACAATATGGATGTCGGAGGCCGACCGCCGTGTGGCGTGTGCAACAACTGCTCAGCCTGCAGCCACTCAGTGCGTTGGCGGCTTCTCTCAGTGCAACATGTTTATGTTCAATCCACCCACTAAGCTAAAACTTAACTCAGTTGAAGGTAAAGGGTAACTTTTAGGTCAGGAGAGATTTCACTGTAAAACAGAAGTGTTATCATGATGGTCATATTGCAGAGTTCCAAGAAGCATTTCAGCTGTTTGACTCACGTGGAGATGGCAAAATACATGTGGCACAAATTGGAGATGCTCTGAGGGCTCTGGGCCAAAACCCCACTGAATCTGATGTGAAAAAGTGCACATTACACTTGAAGCCAGATGAGAGGATATCTTTTGAAGTATTCTTACCAATATATCAGGTAAATGTTTCTTACAACATAATCAAATGTATGTAATTGTCGTCCTCACCTTGAAACACAGTGTCAACTGTTTTGAGCTAAGGTCACATTACCAATTTAATTATTTCATGTACTTAGTTATGAGTACAAGCTATCCAAGTAGTCTTCTTAAAATAATGAGACAGCTGTTCATATCTGTATGTATTAAAAAGAGCATGATATATGTATTTGTATTGTATTCAAACTAATAAATTTAAATGTCAATTTATTCCAATATTTTCTGCTAAAGCACTTAGAATTTTGAATTTTACAATATTCATATATACCTGTTAAAGCAATTTTTTTGAAGACAATATTAATTATTAATTAATTTTCCATGATGCTTTGTAGGCAATATCAAAAGCACGTAGTGGTGATACAGCTAATGATTTCATTGAGGGTCTGCGGCACTTTGATAAAGATGGAAATGGATTCATATCATCCGCTGAGCTTCGCCACCTGCTGTCAACATTGGGTGAAAAACTGAGTGATGATGAAGTGGAACAGTTGCTGCAGGGCCAGGAGGATTCGCATGGCAACATCAACTATGAGAACTTTGTGCACCTTATCATGCAAGGCTGAGCTCTTGTTAAAATAATTCTATTGTATTAAAATATGGAGTGACTAGTATTTTTAACTGGTTTCAACTTTACTCCTTACAAATATTTAATTTTATGGACCAAATTAGTTTTAGTGTTTTTATTAAACTTTAAACCATTTCCATTTATTATAACATTATGTTTGGCATTTTCTCTGTCTAGCCTCATCTATGATCTAAAATTTATTATTTTCAGTTAAGGATATTCCAAAATGTACTGCTTTAATTTTAAATGTTGTATACATAATAAAATAAGTAATATTATTTTTAATAGTTTTATTTATTATAATTTTTTTTACTCTGTTATTGTTGCAACCAAAAATATAGGAGGAATTAAAGAAATTCTCTATAAGCATAAAAAAGCAGCAAACAAACATTAGGAAAAGTAATTTCACAGGTAAAATTACTACGACTGCAGGTTTAATATATTCCATTTTAATATATACATTGAAAAATAATGAATCTAGGCCTTTTTTGTTAAAGCCAAAGTTATATAGCAATACTATGTAAGTTTTTTAATTGCTTTGGTATTACGTATTGTTGTTACCTGTGCTCCATAAAAAATATAGATTTATAAATTTTTGAATTCATTTTGTTAAGTTTTGGGAGTGTCAAGATTTTTTATTTAAATATTGTAAGGCGCAAATAAGTATTAGCACTGTTCCGTTACTCAAAATCTAACTATGCATTAAAGTTTTTCTGAGGATTAGGTTTTTGGTAATAGAAAACCGCTGCGTATGTTCAATTAACGCCTGCCAGATTTTGCATAGCTATGTTGAATAGCGCTTTTTACGAGGTAAAGGTTTAGGTTCATCTTTATTGGGTATTTTTAATTCAGGGCAAGGAGTTATTCTTAGTAGGATAGTTATTTTATCTATAAATAATTTTAATTGAGTGTAAGTTATTGGTGACTAGCATCCAGTCATAGGATTTTAGAGTTATATTAGTACTGAGAAGTTATACTAAGCAGATAGGAATTTCTATGTCTACAAATTATAAACTAATTCCGTGGTATCAGCGCATCACCTGCTACTCATCAAGGTTGAATGACGTGAGGGTCGAGGGCAAGGTGCAGTAATCGTTTGCACTGATCACCGGGAACAAGGAGCCTAAAGGAGAGATAAACGATGCAACCATTAGTGCTGCTTCCTGCTCGTGCGCCGAGGAGAAGGGGTGAAGGGGGGCAGGGTAGTCGTCACTTGTCAACGGTCAACGGGCGGTCAGCCCTGTCGTGGTCAGTCGGCGGTCAAACGGCTTGCGATGTGGCGTTTGTGGGCGCTATGTACGGCGTTTATGTGCGCGCGCGGCGCGTTGCTGCCTCTGGAGGTTGAGCGGCTGCGCGCGTCAGTCGGCGGGTACGCTGTTATGAACTGCCACCTTGACTTCCCCTTTGGCAACGAGATACCGTACCACTTGCAGTGGGATAAAGATGTAAGTCTCTTCTTTAGATTTCTGTGATATTCTTCTAAATAATTGGAAAAATATATTACAAGGAATAGTGTCGGTAAGAACATTGTCTATCATGTCTATATTAAAATTGATTTAACAATGACAAAGGGGTGGGAGTATATTAACATGTCCTCGTTTGTACTATTGCGTAGCACCTACATTCAATTTTGATCGCTGATTTTTGATATGACAAATAATCCTTAATTTAAGTTCACGTTAAGATGATTAAAAGATAATTTTTTTGGATAGGTAACACCATGCTCGTATTTTCTTTCAAACCCAAATGATTTGAGTAATGTAGAATTGTTAATAAATATATAAAATATTTTATAAATGTTAAGAGTAGTTTTTAACCTGTTTGATACTAAAGTGTGTATTATACCAATTGGTCGTTTGATTGTTTTATGTTATTACCTTAATCCGGGATGCCAAATTACTGGATTTAAAGTCACTGAAAATTAGTATGAAAGTACTTGCGCGACTGTTGTCAACATTTTCTCATCTCATTTATTGAAAGGTGGCTGTCAGTTGCGTGAGTTTGTTCGTAATTTGATTGGAAATCATGAATCGTAACCATATTATTCTAAGTATGATTTCAGAAGCTCCATAGATTAATCCTCAAATAAAATTATAAACTCTACCTCTGCAGTATAAGTATACATTACACATCAAACAGTGTCATTTCCAGATAATTATCTTGCATATTTTAATTAAGAAATGTTAGAAAGTGAAAGAAGTGTTGCTTTTTCGTACATTATTATGTTTATCTTTAATTAAACAGATACACATATATGTCTTATACTGATTAACCAGTACCTGTCTAGTCGAAGGCGAAACGCGACCACAGCCACTTCTGTGGCGTGCGGTCACTACTGCTAATCTGATTACCTATCAAACTAAAATGTCAAGGAAATTAATGCGGTTTATTTAAACTTATCAATTGCTTACACAGTGCAATGACTCGAGGCCATGATTGTCTAGAATCCTGTGCGTAATGCGGGTTGCTGTAATAAGTGCTTATTAATGAGTGCTACACCTGCTGCTTCCTATTTTTCAATGAGCTAGAGCGTCTGTGATTAAATTGAAACTCTTGTCGTTAAAAAAATGTTCCGTCGTGAATTAAGCTCGGTGGCTGTTTTCGTATGGATATGTTCAAATAAAATACCTTGAAGTTGGGTAACAACTGGCTTTAATTGTTTAAAACATTTGCTTATAACTAAGATAACGACGACGACTCATTGGTCTAGTAGTTAGTACCCCTGACTGCGAATCCATGGGTCCCGGGTTCGATCCCCGGCTGAGACGAACATCGATGTGATGAGCATTTGGTGTTGTGCTTAGGTCTTGGGTGTTTAAATATGTATTTATATGTCTATCTATCTATAATATGTATGTATATCCGTTGCCTAGTACCCATAACACAAGCTTCACCAGCTTAGCATGGGACTCGGGCAATTGGTGTAAATTGTCTTTAAAAAAAAAAATAACATTAGGGGGAGTGGGGTTGCGACGCTGGATTAACAAAAAACTAACTTATTGAAGAGTTCGTAAATCTAAGTGACCTTATGTTATTGGACATTATCGGAAACGAGAATGTTAACTTACAATTTATGAATGTGGTAATAGCTAAAGGGCTCATGCGGCTTCAAGTGTGCGATGATTGTTTACATTTTGTTTACGCTTTAAATTATTAACTAAAATATATATGTAACTTAACTAATGTTAGGTTACACAACTCGTGTCATTATAATTGTTTCTAAAGTTAGTTCTCATCAAAGGATGGATATAAAGATATAAAATATTGCTTTGCAGCTAAATACAAATTCAAACAGAAATTACGTATTAAAACGTATACGTAATTTCTTTATTGATACGATTTTATTACAACGTATATAACAGTATTAGAGTCTTTAAAATGAGAAGTACTAATCTAGGCTGACGATTTAAACGTGAAATAGCATATTAAGAATCAGTATATATGTTACCGTAAAAGCTCGAACTACGGTTAATCTTAAGATTTCAGTGTAAGTCTTAGGATTTACCGACATGAGTTGGTAAATGTAAGTATTTCTGAAAATACGACAATTTTTTGAGCTTCCGAATCAGTAAATGCTAGGTTTTACCACTGTCAGCTGGTAGATGTTGGTTTTAGGAATAAAACAATGAGTAATTCTTTATTATTTACTTTAATGTACTATTAGACAAAACAGGTACATAGTATTATAAAGGTATCATATGATAGTAATAAGTACAAACTAATAACAACTTATTTAAATTATTTTGAAAAAACACAACGTATATCTCTGAATATCTCAATCTCTATCATATCTATCTAACTGAATCAGTAGTTCTCTATTTGGAATTTAGCAACGAAATACAAACATAATGCTTACATAAGCTAGTCTAACTTAATAATTATTTTTGTTTTTCAACATTTACCGTGCCATTAATGTAAATCCTAAGATTTACCAACGGAATGGTGGTAAGAGTTCGAATCGCAAACCTTTTGGGACATTTACCATTAGGAATTGGTAGATCTTAGGTTTTACTGGAATATCTTAGGATTTACTGCAGTTCGAGCTTTTACAGTAACATATATACTTATTTAAAAAGTTTAACAATTCGCCCGCCCTATACAACGTACCTTTGATGGCATTAAATATGGGCATAAATATTACATCAAACGGAACAGGAAGACGAGGGAATGAATGAACATTTACTAATATAATCAAAAACAACCGTGTACGACGACATCTCTTAGAAAAACATTCCGGTTATATTGACTAAAATCAAAGGTCCCGACTGAATTCTATTGTTTTAGGTACTTAATAACAACGTCATCGGCTGTTACGACTATTGGTTTTTACGACCAAATATGAGTAGTCTCTTATCTTACAACAGATTTTGACTGTTTTGAACGTTGGATATCTTCAATGTGCTCTTGTCGTTTACAGAATCTCATCAATAGATTAATGTAAACGTTATTTGTAGGTTTGTAGTTACCAAGGTATACCATGGCATTCGTACTTATATGGCAGGGGGCCCCCGGCGGCTAGGGCCTCAGGGAGTGCCGTTGAACCGTTAACACCCACAATGAGGACGAAGCGATACATTTTACCGTGACCGCTTTCGGGACAAAACGAACTCTGTACACAAAGCCCTATTGTAATGCGATCTGGTTAAACTAAATTTTATTTGACTATGACTTAATATAACTTCTTATATAAAATTTAGTTAATTGAGATTCAATTATGTCCCTACTGATAGTACCTTATGATATTTCGGCTCTTTAGCAGAATATGAATAAAATCGAATCTTTTGTTGCCGTGACTTTTATACAGTTAGAAGGGGCCGTTATCTGCGGGCTATAGATCCGAGTCTATTTATGAGCTCCCTAGCTTATCTAGTTGGCGTAGTGTGTATGATGATGCAAGAAAGGTAAGGCGCGTGGGAGACGCCGCGGCCGTGATAATTGTGCAGTTAGCAGATAGCGGGCAGCGCGCCGTGATGTCACAAACAATTATCCTGTTGGCAGTACCCAGCCCTCGCTGCCGCCACGCGCCGCTCCCTGCGTACTTCCACATTTATTACCGGTGCCGAGACACAATTTATAAAATCAAAACACACAATTAATAGGCATCCTTGAAATTATTCTTGAATTTACAAATCTGCAGTAATGGCTATTGGTACCCAGCCCAAGGTAGGCAACCTTAGGTCAAACTATCAAGCCTCTGGGCAGAAAAATTCTGATTTCATCTTTACAAGAACGTACCTACTAAAAATTTTATATTTATTTTAACAATTAAAAAGTTGGAATCAAAGATTTCCTTACAAATTGGATTACCTATAAACCATAGCAAACAATTTGCAAAAGTAGAGTTGATATACTTTATTATAATCGTATATGTAATGGCTTAAAAGGGCTAATGAAAGGGAATCCTCACTCTGCTGGTCTTTATTGGCCTTATGAAACCATGAAGCAACAGGAAGTGACCTACTCCGCAGTGGGTACGGACACGTATGTTTGAGCTAATCATATCTTGCTTTAAGACATCTCTAAGTAGTATTCGTCACCGCTATTATACTCTAGTGGCGACATCCTGCTGTTTATTATTTATACATTAATATATAGTTAGCACTACTCCTGATTTCTGACACTATCGAGCAAGGCAAAATATGGTATGTCTGTTTTCAGGGCGAAACTATATTCTCGTGGTACAGTGGAGACGCGTCGCCGCGTGTGGCGGATCGCTGGGGCGGGCGGGTGCGTCGAGTGGGACCCGGCGCGCCCACAGAAAACGGTGAAGCGGCGCCCAGCGCCTTAGGCGGAGGTTCCGTTAACGTGAGCTCCGTGCGCGAGACCGACGCAGGTCTCTATCGTTGTCTGGTCACCTTCCCTAACCGCACACCACCCTCGCGCAACAATGGCACCTATTATTATTTAGATGTTGAAGGTAAAACTTTGTACCAGCTGTTGTAACTTATATTAAAGATAAAATAGAATATAAAGTTGCTTTTTTTCTGAACAAATTGTTATGATAAAGATGTTTTCGTTTTGCTTATTAGTTTTTAGATAGAATGTATTTATCTGTGAAAACTGCATCAAAATGGGTTCAGCGGTTTAGGAATGCTAACAAAGTCAGCTTAAATTAGTCTTCTTGTAATAAACAGTCTTTTATAGTTTTTTTTTATGAAACAGGGGTCAAAGGGCAGGAGTTTCATCATATGTTAAGTGATACCGCCGCCCATAGACACTCACATAGCCAGAGGGTTTTCAAGTGCGTTCCCGGCCTCTTAAGTATTGGTACGCTCTTTTCTAGAACCTAAGTCGAATTGGTTCGGAAATACTTCAGTGGGCAGCAAAGTGGTGGCGCGCGTCAAAAATGCTATCAGTCAATTAAGGATATACTAATCATTAGATTGATTTGTTAACGTATGTGGTTCCAGGTGGTAACTTAATAGTGACGCCACCTGTCAACGTGACCGTGATAGAAGGTGACAGCGCTGAACTCGAGTGCTTGGTGAAAAGTCCAGAGTGGAGTGTGCAGTGGTACCGCGAGGACGTTAGTGTAAGCGCGCTGCCCGAGTTAGCAGCGCGGACGTCGCTGGCCCCTAACGGTTCGCTGCTGCTGCGACGCGCTATCAGCTCAGACCTTGGCCGCTATGAATGTCGCGTCAGTGCACCTGATGGACGCCGCCAAGCTGCCGCGGCTCACCTTGACGTGCATTGTTAGTACATCGACAACTAAGTCTCTCACTTACATACACTGATTAATAATTTTTCTATTTATGTACCTACTATGTAAAAAAAACACATACATATATTTATTAGTACATAGGTATTAATAAATACATGTATGTAGTTGGGACACAACTTGCCGACGATATTGTGTTGCCAAAATAAATTCAGATGGATTTCACCACCTACAATTTGCGGTTTCCAACTCCTATCCTTATATCCTTTAAGAGTAGATATCATATCAGCGATGTAATGGCGGGATATTTATAAGAATTCATTCGTGAATACTTTACGTTGTATTTTTTATTCATTTAATCATATCATATCATATATGGACGTGTTACCCTATCAAAGTCATTCTTATTTTGTTTACTAATTTTATTTATTGAACATTTTATAGTTTTGCATTCTTTATTTTTTTATTATCATAGATTATATATAGACATTAGACATATAGTAGATTAATGCTCGCTACATAATTATCTTTTATGTAATAATAAAAGATTTAACTTCAAAACGAAATAAATACTTAATAGGTAATTTAAGCCAAATAAAAGTGTTACAAATAAGGTGTAAAAATTTTTTTTTGTCACATTGTTGGTGTCTTTCAAATATAATATTAAAATGCTTGCATTGTGATTTTCAGATAAAGCAAAAGTAGTGTACTCGCCCGCCGAGCGTCATCTCGGCTATGGTAAGCCGGCGAGTCTCGACTGTCACTTTAGTGCCAACCCACCGCTCACCAACCTGCGCTGGGAAAAAGATGGCTTCCTGTTCGACCCTTACAACGTTCCTGGTGTCTTCTACAGCCGGAATGGCAGTCTACTCTTCAATAAGGTAAAGGATGGATTAGAAAACGACGTAAGGTTTATATCGGAATAGTGAGCTAATGCACCAGGAAAATTATGAGTATTGGGTACCAATTTCGTTGTTTCACAACTGTCTGCTTTCTGTTACAGGTGGACGAATCTCACGAGGGCGTGTACTCTTGTACGCCGTACAATACCTTAGGATCGGCTGGCCCAAGTGCCGGAGTACGTGTACGTGTTCAGCGCCCGCCCGCCTTAGCAATACGTCCGCGCCCACTTTATCTGGCGCGCCTTGCTGGTCATATCACGTTGCCTTGCGTTGCTGAGCCGCAGCTAGCTGCCGTTCCGCCTTCTCTTTCTTGGGCACGAAAAGACGGCCACCCTCTACCAGCAGGCCGCCATACACTCGACGGCGGCAATCTAACCATCACTGATGTTCGTGAGGAGGACCGCGGCTCATACGTGTGCACGCTAACAAACGAAGCGGCCGCTGTCAGCGCTGAAACGGAGCTGGTCGTGGAAAATGTGGCTCCACGTGCGCCTCACGATCTGCGGGCGCGCGCTGAGGCGAGCGCCGTGCACGTCCAATGGGCGGCAGACCGTGCTGACCTGGAATACCAGGTGTGGTGGCGTGAACGTTCGCGTGGCGAATGGCGCACCATGAAGATACTGACGCGTGGCGATACGCACGCAACGCTACGTGGTTTACGTCCGGCCACACCCTATGAGCTGCGTGTTCTCGCGCAGGATCAGCTTGGTGATGGCCTATTCAGCCAGCCACTCTTCGTCACCACTCCAGGTATGTAATATTTTATGGAGTTTACAAAATGCCGATACATCGGACGGCAATCATAGTATTGGAGGCATTTCTTTTTCCCCTTTGGGTAAGTAAGTGCATAATATGTATGTGTCAATGATTTCATAGGGGCAAACTATAAATACCTGCTGCCGTTATCAACAACATAACCTGAGTTTGGATCGTTTCAGTACAATCTTATTAAAAGTAAATAAAATCTTTCTTTCTAAATGTTTGCTATCTTTACTTTTAATTTTATATGGAACAGACTTGGAAGCGAGTGGAATGTCGGAGGCGAGTGAGGAAGTGGCAACAGCGCTGCCAGTGAGCGAAGTGACTGAAGAGATGGAAGAGGCTTTGGAGGTGGAAGGTGTAGCAGAGTTAGAAGTTCGCGTGTCGATCGTAGAAGAAGGCGCTTTAGTGCGTTGGGAGCCACACGTCACCGCCGAACGCTGTACCGTGCGCTGGTTCCGCGACGAACATCCGCGCCGCCTACTCGCGCTTGCGCACACCACGCACGATCATCTGCTTGGTGAGTTTTATAACTTTTTTTATATATCTTATCAGTTATAAATCCTCGAACGGACCCACATCCTGAATTCGATTCCCAAAAATACAAATAGGGACTTCGAACAAAACATTTTATATGATACACTTGAAAGTTCATATTGAAAATATAATGCCCATGTTTTAAACATATTTCAAAATATTGGTGTATATGATGGAAAAAGATCTTTATATTATTCACGTGCTAAAATAAATATACCATGACATCTGTTCGGGGTTGGGATAAATTATTAAGATATTTAAAGGGATAATTATTTATTTTATGAGCAATGGACTAAACTAGTGGGGTGAGATGAGATTAAGAGTCGCGCCCGGTACGAGGTCTAAATGAGAACTAACCTAACTGAATATAATAAGATATAATGGAAATGAACACACAAGCAAATCATATTGCATGGTGTCATTTACATTGCAAATACCTGTACGGTTGTAAATCGTACATGTTCCCGGGGAGGAAAAGATGAGGGTTAGTAAAATGGAGGATGAACTTAAGACTAACAAGGTGATACACAAATTTTAATATTAAATGTTTATATGTTATGATTAGTTGTGGGTGAGAAAATGAATTACATTTATCATATTAGCTACAAAGATTCAGTTATATTTAATTCCGGAAGGGAAAACACACGAAAGATCGGCGAGGAAGCTCGATCTTGTTTATTAACACTTTTATTATTATGATAAGAATGCCTTTTTTCCCTAACTTCACACTCACTCACAACACTTTCACTTTTCACGGGGTGTGTAACTGTACTGAGTTTGACACGAACTTAGTATTGAAAGGTAAAATAATGTTAAGGATAAAACCATAGCAGAGAAAGAGATGCCGCTGAAATTATTCGCTTTAGGCTTCTTTTCATTGACCTTCTCATGGTTTAAAGATTGATTATTATTATTTGTAGGTAGAAAGGATAACTTAACGACTGGGCGTTTAATAGAACAGTTCTTGGTTTTAAGCGTGACGACTCTTACCAGCCCGTCCCTTTCGGGATGTAGCTCTACAACACGCCCTAAAGCCCATTTACCGGGCGGAAGATCTTCTGATTTTTTGATGACTATATCGTATAAGTTGAGATCTTTTTGAGGTCGTTTCCACTTTGATTGTGAGAGATATTCATTCTTCCATTTGAACCGAATATTATGATAGATTTTCTGCCATCGAGTTCTAAGATCATTTTCTTGTTTTTGTAACCATCGAGGTATTTTAAATTGCGATATATAGGATATGTCGACTTTTATTTTAATCCATTCTAAGACTAATTTATGAGGTATCGGCTGATCCCATCCTAGATCAGACTTCCAAGTTTCTTGAAATAAAATTTTAAGTTTTGTAGTGACTGGTACTAGCCAGCCCAAAGGGTCATAAATTTTTGAGATTTCAGACAATAATTGTCGCTTAGTAGGGGTAATATTTGGGATATAATTAATAGGATAAAAGATAAATTCGTCGGCATTGGGATTCCAACGAAGGCCTAAAGTTTTAGTTGACTCCTGGTGCTTAAAGTCGAATTCTTTTTCGGAATCGTTCATGTCTTCTAAAAGGGAAGGTAAGTTTGAACGCCATTTTCTAAGATTGAAACCTCCAGATTTGAGTATTTTAATTAAATCGTTCTTCAGCTCTATTGCTGTTTGTGCAGAGTGAGTACCATGCAACAGATCGTCCATGTAAAATGAGCTTTCTAACACAGCAGGTGCGATACTGTAAGGATAATTTGATCGTTCATCGATTGCAAGTCTTTTCAGGATCATCATGGCCAAGAAAGGTGCGGCCTTAGTTCCATAAGTTACAGTGGCTAGTTGAAATTCACCTAACGGTTGGGATTGATCATCTCTCCAAATAATCTTCTGGTATTTTTGATGTTCTGAATGAAGCCAAATATTGCGAAACATTTTCTCTATGTCGGCTGTAAAACCATATTTAAATTGTCGCCATTTTAAGATTAGTGTTTGAAGGTCTTGTTGTAGATTTGGCCCCCTACACATAAGATCATTAAGGCTAAATCCACTCGAAGTTTTCGAAGAGGCATTGAAAACAACTCGCAATTTCGTAGTTGATGATTCCGCTCGTTGTACACAATGGTGCGATAAGTAGCAACCCGACTCTACGGCGGCGCGTGACACAACGGGTATCATGTGTCCGAGCTCTCTGTACTCCGATATAAATAATTTATAATCACGAGCTAAATAAGGTTTTTTAATAAGTTTATTTTCCAATTGAATAAATTGAGCGATAGACTTTGACTTCGATTCGCCCAATTTTTCCTCGAGATTTTCTTTAAAAGGTATTTTCACAACGTAACTGCCGTCGTCACGTCTTGAGGTTGTATTCTGAAAAAACTCTATACAATTTTGATCTTCCTGTGACATATTTAAGGGTTCATGAATATCTTCCACTTCCCAAAACCTTTGGATATCGTTATTAAGGATTATATTACACTGATAGGTTTTATAATTACCGGTTATTATCCATCCCAACTGCGTTTGTTGCGCAATCGGAAACCTTTCTTGAAATCTACAAATACCGTCCAAGATAATATCAGAATAAACATCAGCGCCGAATAATATATCAATAGGGCTACTTTTATAAAATTCTGAATCAGCTAATTTTATATGATTAAGCTCAGGCCAATTTGGTTTTGGCAGGGTATAGCTCGGTAAGTTCCTTACAAGTTTTTTCATAATAAATACATCCGTGTTAAAGGTATAATCATTGACTATCGATAAACACTTGATGGAGATTTTGCCCTTGCAATTGTTTTCTGTATTTCCTATCCCAGAAATGTAACCATTACATTTTTGTCGAGGTATTTTTAATAATTGAGCAGCATTTTCACTGATAATTGAGATTTGTGAGCCCTGATCTAAAAGAGCTCTCATATTTTTATAAGATCCATCCGCTGCCTGTATCTTAATAATGACAGTGGCAAGTAATATTTCGGCAGGGTCACTTGGAAGAGATACTAATGTGTTAATTTCTTGTTGTTGAGGTAAATGTTTCACAACCCGGGGCACGTGTAACCTAGATCGTGAAACGTCCGGTGTCATATTATCTTTTGTAAAACATTCATGTAAAATTGTATTATGATTTTTATTACATTCCTTGCACATTAATTGCGAAAGGCATTTTTTACCTTCATGATAATGTAAACAGTTGATACAAAGGTTCAATTTTGCAATAGCATTTCTTCGTGCGATAGGCTGCATATTTAATAATTTTTGGCATAAATGTATACGATGATCGCTTGAATTACACACCGGACACAGCTTGCGTTTTTCAATAATTTTATTACTGGAATGTGTCGGTTGCGAAATAACCTGATTCGTAGTATAAGTATACTTAGGATTATTATAACTTTGTCTAAAGTTATGATTAAAATTTTTCGAAGATGATGATTGATTATTATTTAAGTTTTTTGAAGGTTTATATTGATCGAAGTTTTGATATGATACTTTTGGCGTATGATTTTCTTGCGTCTTCCGTGAAGTTTCTAGGGTCATAAACTTAGTTTCTAAAAACTGCAAAAAATCTTGTAATACGGGTAATTCTCTCGGCGATTTCAAAGATTGTATATATTCATTGTACGTGTCTGCGTCTAACTTCTGAGACATGATACAAACAAGGAAGGGATCCCAGGAAGAAACATTAATTCCAAGATTTTCTATCGCATTTATACTCTCGTTTGTAACATCGTGAATGCGTTTTATATGATTATACGACTGGTATTGAATATTAGGAATATTTAAGAGATTGTTAAGGTGAGATGTAAAGATTAGGCGCTTATTATCATAGCGATGACTGAGAATATTCCAGCTAATGAGATAATTATCTGAGCTTACCTGGAGATGTTGAATCAACTTCTCAGGTTCACCCTTAACCTTACTTTTGAGAAATTGTTATAATTTCCCTCGAAGGTTGGTAACTCCATTTTAGGGGTTGTTTTCTCGATGTGTGATACCGACCACATCTTTTTATTGATATCCTTCTTAACTTTAATGTAATATTTTTCGTAATTTGTAAATTGCTCTTCATATTCTCGGTTGGAACCACAAAGTTCATTGTCCAACTCCCAATGTAAGCTATCAATTGCAGTCCAACGGACTTGCAAGGTCTTTAGGATGTCTTCTAACTCCCACTTTTCCGAGATAAGGTCAAGTTCTATACTCGAGGCAGTTCTTAGAAAAGCTTTAAAATTTGTAGTTTGTTTTCTCATGAGCTCTTCTGTTTTACTCATATTAGAGTTATTTTTGAGAGATATTTCCTGAGATTCATTGGAGGTCGATGCGTTAGAGGTAGACGGGGCTTGAAACGTTGGAGGTTGTAATTCAGGGGATTTTGTAATGCTTGCCAAAGGCTTATAATTTCTTAAAGTTGTCTTAATATTACCATATTTTTTCTTAATCTGCTCGTATTTATTAAAAGTAAAATATTCATGAGACTGATCACTAAAAGATAAAAGTGTCATATGGTTATTATGAATATCTGTAAAATATTGTTCTAACGTTTCTAAACGACGACGTATATAATCGGGAGTCTTTCGCTCCGCTCCATCCTTCTTAAAGTTGATATAAAGCTTATCCACTGCGTCCACCAACTGCTGTTGGGTAGCTAAAATATCTTCCATTGTGGACATAATTAATGATTATCAGAGATAACAATATAACCTTACTTGTTCAGCTGATAAGTTGCTCAAGATATCCTCGCAATACCTGCAAGGTTGTACTGAATCCGAGATGTAGTGTGCCTTCCTGAGGCACCGAAGTCACGAGGTAAAGAGATGTAGTGCCTTCCTAGGGCACCGAGGTCACGAAGTGAAGAGATGTAGTGTGCCTTCCTAAGGCACCGTGGTCACGAGGTAAAGAGATGTAGTGCTTTCCTAAGGCACCGAGGTCACGAGGTGAAGAGATGTAGTGTGCCTTCCTAAGGCACCGAGGTCACGAGGTGAAGAGATGTAGTGTGCCTTTCTAAGGCACCGAGGTCACGAGGTAAAGAGATGTAGTGCTTTCCTAGGGCACCGAGGTTACGAGGTGAAGAGATGTAGTGCTTTCCTAGGGCACCGAGGTAACGAGGTGAAGAGATGTAGTGCCTTCCTAAGGCACCGAGGTCACGAGGTGTACAAATGTTGAGGTATATTGCCTTTCTTAGGCAATGTGATTAGGATAAAAGAGGTGTATCCATAAATCGTAGTTCTAGATGTATTCTTTTGATACGCAGGTATCAGTATAACACACACACTAAGCAAAACAATATTGCGAAAGCACACGCGTCCTGATCCTGCCAAAAATACGACTAATGGCTCGAAGGACCAATGTTCGGGGTTGGGATAAATTATTAAGATATTTAAAGGGATAATTATTTATTTTATGAGCAATGGACTAAACTAGTGGGGTGAGATGAGATTAAGAGTCGCGCCCGGTACGAGGTCTAAATGCGAACTAACTTAAGTGAATATAATAAGATATAATGGAAATGAACACACAAGCAAATCATATTGCATGGTGTCATTTACATTGCAAATACCTGTACGGTTGTAAATCGTACAACATCCTATTTCATAAACGCAACATACGCCTGGATTAGGAGGAATTTGCACCACAACATAAAGCAATGTGTTACAGTGGGTGCTGTAGAGGAGGGCGGCGCATACTGGGCCCAAGTACAATGCGCTGCGGCATGGGGTGGTGCATCTGCGCATGTACCGCACTATGGCCGACTGCGGGCCGCTGCTCTTGGCGTCGGCGTCGCTGCTTTGCTGCTCGGCGCAGCAGCTGCAACCGCCTGGCTTCTACGACGACGCTTTATACGCCGGCCAGTTCGCGATAAGCGCTCGCGTTGAACTTATACACTTGTGAACAGACTTGTGAAGTGATTGTGCATCTTTAATCAGTTTCAAATCCGTCGGAGCTGGAAATCATTAATTCTTTTCTCAATTGTTTATATAATAATAATATCCCTGAACCATAATTTTTGTATTAAAAAAAATTGGACATCTAAATTAAAAGTGATTAAATCACAAAAAGTTTGGTCACTAAACTCCTTTGGTAGTGCATGCTTCTTGAATTGTCTTCTTAATACGAAATTGTTTTACATTAGATTAGTATTAAAAAAGCAAGTTACTTTCGTGTTACAACTCAATTAATTTATTATTAAAATGTAAATAAAAATATAGAGAAAATGATAAGATTTTTTTTATTTAACCTAAAAACTACAAATCTTAATTTCAGAATCACGGATGAGTGTGATATCGAAAAGTATTGGTAGTGCTGGGGCCTCGAATGTGCTTTTGTAATATGAAATAATTATATAATGCGTCGCTTCATTGTGAGTGCTTTCAAGGGGAAGATTTTAAAGGCCCTTCAAAAACTCGTTGTAATTGTCTCGTTGCAGACGAAATATTAAAAAACTGCTAATAGAAAAACGGTGCACTTCTAGAATCTGTTACATATTATGAATTATGCATTTTATATGCAAAACAGCACAATATGTGGAGAGACGACGGAACACATACAAATATCTCAATGGAAGTTAAAAAAACTAAAACAGTAATTGACACTTTTATTACACAAAATTCATATTATATTACAATTTATTGCACAAGTAATTTTATCACATACAAATATTGCACAAACCCAATAATCAACGTGCTCATAACTTTTTATTGTTAAGTTAAATCTAGAGCTTAATATAATTTCATTATTTAATAACTTACATTAAAACTAATAGTTTGCTTATATTGAAATTTTATTGGTCAATCAATGACATCTAATTATTATTACTTCCTTTCTCAGATACAAATTACAAATCGATCGCCATGACAGGGAAGTGAAGTTTGTGTTTTGTCCTTCTCATGTATTTTAAAATGTGCAAGTACACTAGAACTTTATAGCTAGACCTAAGTTTGGTATAACGTTTAACATGCAATATACATTCGAAGCTATACAATACATAATGGTTTTATAGTATGTACTATGTAGTGTAGTAGATAACTATTTTTTTTCTTTTCGACTATACCGCCTAGTCTTTCGTAGACTTTTTCCTTAGTTGTAGATAACTAAGACAATTGTGAAATATTTAAAATGTCAATTTAACGTCACCTTCAGAAAATGAGTGTGTAAAATAAACATAGACAAATAACCGCTACACTCAACGCTATGTTATTTCAATTACTTAAATCGGTCTATACCTAACCTAAAACCATACTTAAAAACACGACAAATGGTTAATGTGATGGTAATTCTATAATAATCTAAAGTGAGATTATTATGACCTATTCACTATTGCATCATAATAACAGCCCAAAACTTTCGCTTTTGACAAGTAACTTTTAAACAGAGTATAATTATTATTACTTTGTGTTTATGTAATACAGGAAGCACGATAATGTCAGTCTTCGAATATTAGATTTTATAAGGCTCTTACCACATTGACTTAACAGTTTGACTGCTATCATTATCCACCCTTAAGATATTTTGTAGATTGCAAAAAAGGAATACTATTATATAAAAAAAAAAATTAAAGTTTAGATCTTGATTTTTAACTTTTTCCAAAGCCGAGTTTAACAAAATCCAACGAAGCGCAGCGCTCCAAAAGGGTCACAATCATGCAAATATTAAGAATTTTTTGAATTCATATGAATTGTATACGACAAAAATTAATAAATATAATATGACATTCCCATTGAAGAAACTTCCTAAAATTGGCAATATTGTATATGTATGCATGAATTTGTCAGTATACATACAGCTTTAAAATGACAGCTTTCTAGAGTTTTCACATTTGGCGGGAAACTTGGGCGCATATATATTTTGGCATCTTAGTTTTGTTGCCATTTTCGTGGTGTAGTTCGTTTAGAAGTAGTTTTTATAATAACGAAGTAACGAATATTAACTGTGAAAAAAAACATTAACTTACCGTCACTAGATTAATGTAATTCTATCATTATTATTTCTATGTATATATTGCATTATTTACGTTTAAAAATAAATATTGTTCTAGATATAAGCCTAAATAAATAAAATGTTGTATTGCGTTTGAATTTCTTTCTTGCTAACGTCCTTTCCTTCGTCAATGACGTATTACTACATCTCTGACGCAAAGAAAGAACTAAAGCGTTTGTATTATTTACCAGCTTTACGGTATTAATTTGTGTGTTATTAAAAGACAAAAATAGCATAGGTATACCAAAGAACCTAGCTAGCCTACGCTTTAGTTTTAAAATACACATTAAGTAGACAATCATTTGAATATCTTACAATCAAAACAGTTTTACATATGTATTGTAGGCTACTAAACTCAAACTCAAAATATCTTTTTTCAAGTGGGTAACCAAGTACACTTGTGAATTGTCAAGTTAAATTAAATTAAACGACTAATAGTCGCTAGCAATGTTTTGACGTATAAATTGAATTTTAAATTATAGAAATATCTATGCGATTTCTCACGACTAGATAATGACTTGTTGTTTGAGCGAAATTAATATTAGACAAAAATCCCGTGACTTAGCTTGCCAAGTGATCGTAACTTATGTCTGCGTGGTATCCGCTGGGTCCCGCGGAGTACTGCACCTTTTGCATTCTTCCATCGGGAAGCAATACATGATAATGCCCACTGGTTTTTTCGCCTGCCTTTGTTTCGTATTGGCCGAAGTAATTACCACTGGCTGGGTCCCTTACCCTATAACCAAACTCGTAGTTCGCTGCGTAGTGCAACTGCAATTAAAATTATTTAATCATAGGTAAAAGTATAAAGAAAATTGATAATAGACGATAGGGAGGAAGCTGCAATGATTACGATATTCCGTTAGTTAGCTAATTAAAAATTTCGGAATGTAAAATTATTGTAAGCTTATATTTGAATTATTGGTGTTATTTTATATGTGTAATAATTGACTTAAAATCAATCAATATTAAGAAATAATACTATAAAAAAATAATACATACAACCAAAGACAATTAAAGAAAAACCACGTACATACAATTATTCTTAATTGTCTCTGACACAACTTTAAAGCATAATATCTATTTCTTTAAAGTGCGCAAGTGCGAAATTAAGGTAAAAGAATACTCAGCAAATGTAAAAGAATACATTAAGACAAAAATGTTATTGAATATTTAAAAACCGTCTGACCTTAGGATATTAGATTGACATCATGTCTTTGTTTATTTTTCGCAACTTAATCATATTTTTTCACACAGTTTATATTGTCTTTGTTACTGCTAGTATCACACATTAAAAAGAAAATACAGTGTTAACGTGTTTAATTATCATAGTTCTACAATCATATTATAATTATTTAACGTAATTAGTAAATAATAAAAGTGTCCTGACGTTTCGGATCTTTAATATTTATATTACAGTATCATTTTTTTTTTTTATGGCTCTGGCACGATTTGTGTATTAGCCAGCGTCAAGTATAGGACTTTTTATAATTCGTGCTCGTCTTTTAGAAATTCGACAGTGCCCTTTATGTACGGTTTAAGCACTCGCCCGGTACCGCACAACCCTCCCAAAGGCCGAGAACAAATTTGAATTAAATTAAAACTTGCCCTCGAACCGGGAATCGAACCCGGTACCCCTCACCTAGCTGCCACTAAATAAGACCGCTAGGCTATGAGGCCCCCAACAGTATCATTAAAAATATCTTATTAATAATTTTTTTTTTTAATTTTATGGCCTGGTAACGAGACCTTTAAGCCAAATTAATAAATAAAGATCCAACCAAAGACAACTAGCAAAGATACTGTTTGGCATTCATAAATTAATATTAGTGACTAGCAAAGTAGTACTGATATTGCTTGTGCTAATGTTTAATTTCATTTGTCTAACTCAATTTCTTGTGCTTATGACAAAACTTGTACATAAAAATTGGTAATAATAGTATCATTTAAAACCGTTTCAAGAAAATTACATTAGGTATATATTATATTAAATAATTCATTATATACTTATCTTTTTGAAATAAATAAATTGCATACTAATATTATTTGTATTTTAGTTCGTAACCTAAAAAAAAACCTAGTTGCGTTTAAAGTTGCTTTCATAAATATAATTATCGTAACAATTATTACTATGAATATCTAATTTAAGTGTCTTGTCTACTAATGGTCTTTAATGCCATTATAAGGTACTAAATATTGATTCATTTTTATATTTAATACTTTAATATGAATAAAAAAAGAATTATAGTGCAAATAATAATTTAATATTAATACAAAACCTAATTGAAACGCTTCAACAATATCTTAAAATAGTCTTCATACAATACTTGATGTTCAAGAATAAATATCACCATTTTCTTATACTAATTTCAACTTGTGTAGTTTGTGTAATTTATTTCTAACGTTTCTTTGTTTGTACGGATACCGTTTCCTAAATTTCCGGGGGTAATGCACTTTCTTTTTACCTTTAGAAACTTGATATACATCTAAATGTTCAATATTAAGGTTTGGTTGGCCAATTAATTGTCTTAATTGCGACTGTGTCAACATGTAAACCGGCTCCAACACATTTGGTAATAGCGAATTGACTGGTGTTATGTACGGCGAAGGATTGAATGTCTGTGGTTCATAAAGAGAGGGGACACCGTAAGATGTAGTTGGAGGAAGGCCATAGACAGGACCAGGGCTTGGGCGTCTAAATTCTCCATATCTATGTGAGAAGCTTCCCTTTATGCCACTTGGGTAAGAGGCATGAGTATTTTGCAATGGCTGTTCTGCTAGGCTGATAGGCCTTGGTTCATCATACTCATTGTCAAAATCATCATAATAATCATCATCACCATAAAACGATTCATATTTTGGAGTAGGACGGCGTTTCGGAGTCTCGTCGTAATCGTACTCTGACGCTTCACCGATTTGGAAGTCAGGTGTTAAGAAAATATCAAAATCATTACGTTTTTTGTGAAATGGACGTCGCAAAGATTCAGCAACAGGGTTGTCAGTGGTATTTGAAGGAGTTTGTGTTTCAGTTATTGTTTCATTAGATACAGGTACAAGGAAAGGCTCAGTGTCCAGTTCAGATCTTTTAAACCTTAATTTATTACTTACATTTTCATCACCATATGCTGATACACCGGTCCCATCTTCTGCTAAATGTTGAATACCGTCAGGGTAATTAATATAGCTATCACCAATATTTTCATGACTACTATCTTCATCTTGATTAAGAGTTAATTCTTCATTGATCTTGTTGGGGTTTAAAGGGCTACCAATAGTTTGACTAGCTACTTCAATTTTGTAATAACTCTTAGTGACCGTAGATAGAGGTGCTATAGTAGTTACTTGAGGTATCACAAAGGTATTTTGGTATGGCGTAGGGTTTGCGATATCATCAATTTCTTCTGTAATAGGAGTGTGATCTTTTACAGTATAAGCACTGGCATATGTGCTTGGAATCTGCTCAAATGCATCATTGTAACTTTTGGGATCGTGGTACTCAGATGGATCTTTTAATGAATATTGAAAGTTATCGTGACTTTTGTCTGCATTAAGCAATGTTTGTAATTCAGTTAATTGATCGGTAGGTTCTTTTCTAAGTATCGATTCTAGTGCATTTATTTCTTTCACAGATTGATAGGCTTTTGGTAGATATTTACTTGGGCTAGATATAGCTGTTGCATATAGGTTATTCGACTCTTTATTTTGTTCTTTTGTTATTCCAGCATTTCCATTTGATTTTATGGTTACACCTTGATCCAGACCGGTAGCTGTCAAATAAGCTAGTGGAAGTTTCGATTGTAAGTATTGTTCATATTCTATAGAGCTATACGATCTATGGTTTCTACTTCTCTCGTTAACACCTCTAGTTAGTTTTTCTGGCTCTATACTTATTGTCCTGCTTTTAAATTCTTGTTTCTGAATTCCACTCGTTCTTTGCCTATTTTGTGAAGGCCTACTTCTAATTCTATGGCTTGTTACTGGAGTTGTTGTTTCTACGTCTTGTACTGTAGCTTGTTGTTCTTCTAATGCTTGTTGATGACTTTCTTGTGACTCATGATAGGCTTTCATATAGCTATCTATTAGTGGTGGACCTTGAGTTAGTCTTTGAAGTTGTGCTTTATGTTGCCGTATTCTTTCTGCGTTGAACATAGCTTGCTGGTTGCTAGCATGTAGTCTTGCATTTTGCGCAGAATTACCAGCTAAAGGATTGCCGTAAGGAAGAATAGCAGGAGCGCTAGACAATCGTATGTCATCCATTCTAGCTTGTTCATTTATTACTTCGTAGACAGGTCTGGCATTATTTTTCGCCGGCGTGGCAATTTGTAATGTGAATAAAATCAAGGCTGTGACCAAATTCCCTCGTGAATGCGCCATTGTATCTGTAAATAAATAATAATTAAGTAAAGATTTGAAGTCGAAGTATAAGTCAAAAAATCTTGATTCTACACAACAAGATTTACAAGATTTATAATGTGAATTAATTGTTAATGGGCTATACTATATTATAGAATGATATCGTGACGTCCAGTGGTAAATGTATTGAGTTTTAAACAGCCTTGCGATTCTGTAACTCACTTTTCGAACTCTCACGCGGAATGCCAAATCGTAAAATGACTGGTTCACGACTGATTTGAGTGCGGCCGCCGGTGCGAAAACCGCTGTGAGAGTTCGAAAAGTGAGTTACAGAATCGCAAGGCAGATATCGATCAAAATATAAAGAAAACATTTCTGTAATGTTACGAGAATTCAATACAATATTAATTCTAACAGAAAATATATATATATATATATATATATTTTCTGTTAGAAATACTGAGTACAGACAACTTTTTTAAAATCATTATTAAGATGAATCAGAATTTAGGATAACTTAGCAACAAAAAATAAAGTTTTATGGTATCTCTATTACTTATTTAATTTTAAAGCAATTTACCATTATAATTGTGTAGATATTATGTATGTATTTCGCAATGCAAATAATATATTGTTCAAACTTTCTCTATGCCTAAGTTGTGGGTCAGGTTGTATATCATTATGTCATAATTTTTTATTATCTTCCAAATACATAAACGCATGTAATGCTTACGTTACTCTGAATGAATTACTTTCCTAGAAACCGTTAGCTTCAATGTAGTGCGTAAAATTTTAATAAAAATTCCAACCTTTTTTAAATGAGCACGAGGTTTTATATACGTAATTGGACTCTAATGAACAAGCGAATCGGTAATTTTCACCTTATCCCGGAAAACGTCCGAGAAAACTTGGTAATTAATATTCAATTAAAATCAAGTTTAACATGAAACTAATAAGAAACTCATGGGTAGCTTTTTGCCATCCCAACACTCCGTACTTTCACTGTCCATATTAAACAAGTTTTAGGACCGTGATTTAGACATTAAGGATATCCTAGTTCTGTTTTATGGTTTTACGAAAGATCCGCACAAAATATAAAAAACGGATGTTGGCTTATTCCGTAATATATAAGTGGATTCTTTAGTTTTAGTATTTGTTTTGCTTTAATTTAGTGAGTTTAGTATGAGCTGCGGAATATTATAATAATTAAACCCGGGCTTGTAAGTTGGATTCATAGCTGCTGCCCAGTGAAGTATTTCCGAACCAATTCGACTAACGGTCCTTCAAGAAAAGAGCGTACCAATTCTTAAAAGGCCGGCAACGCACTCGCGAGCCCTCTGGCATTGAAAGTGTTCATGGGCGGCGGTATCACTTAACATAAGTGAGCCAGCACCCCGTTTGCCCCTGTTCTATAAAAAAAATAGAGTTTGTCCAAATTTTCGTAGGTAGGTAGTATTACAATTATATTTTAATAGAAGCCTGGCAACCGTTTGTCAACACATTGAACTCTAATCTGTAAAAGTATTTCATGTAATCTTCATAAAACGTCTTTGACCTTGAGAAAATATAAACTAGCAGACTGGCCATGCGTTGCTGTGACTAAAGTTTTTATTATATTACATAGTAGTAAACAAATGTTTTTGCAATAAAATAATATTGTGGGTATAAATTGAGATGTAAGCTATCCAATCTTTTAAGTTAGATCAAACTGCACACAGTGTACAAATTTGATTGAAATCGGTTCGGTAGTTTAGGAGTCCATAGCGGACAAACAACGTGACACGTAATTTATATATATATTAAGATTGTCGCAGGTCCAAGGATAAAATTCGTTTATACATACTATACATAGCTAGATACAGTCTTTAACATTTTAGTAATTCATATAGAATTTGCATTTTATTTATATCAATAATTGTAATGGAGGTGATACATAAAAAAAATATGTAGATCGCCAACAAGACTCTTAGATGTCCTATTTAGTCAATAATCTTTCTTTCCCTAGGAGCGTCAATTATTTTGCAAATCAAACCTCTTTTGTAACGAAAAAACCATAAACGCGTGAGAATACACATGTTGTCGGTAATAAAAGGTTCTCACAAACTTTCTGTTTCAACCGATCACTGATAGTGCCTTATCGGATGAGAAATTTTTAACGAATTCAAAGTGTTAACAATTTAGTAATTAAAATCTTCATCGTAATATACTTGTATACCATATACTGTTTGTGTCATTTGTAACATAGACACATAAAATACTTAAGAATTAAAATATGAAAGATAATATAGCATAAAGGTGCTTATAGAGGGGTTGACAGCTAGTGTAGATAAAACCATAAACGTCAATGTCAGTGCAAAAAAAAAATCACAGTTTTACGTTGAGTATCATCGTATAGTATAATATATTTATGATTTAAAATAATTTTTGAATATGTCCCGATAATATTGCTGGCGAAGTGGGCGCTGTTCTGTTCGATTTTTCAACGTGGTTTAAAGCTATAAGGTTTTGATATTTTGACAGTTAAAACAGTCAAGTAAGTCAAAGAAATATTTTTTCATTACACTGTATAGGTATAATTGAAGTTAAAAAAAATAAAATGTTATGGAAATCCATTTCGAATCAACTAATTTTATAAAAAAATAACATGGTAATATTATATTATTGAATGAATGCGAACGTAAAAATAAATGTGAAATGAAATTTTTAACATTTCATCGTATTTATATTTGGACTGGCAATTCCGCTGTCAGCGATTCATAATTAGGAATTCTGGGAAATATCAAGTACCATATATCACGTGGATATTTAAAATGCTTTTAGAGCAAGTTAATCTTTGCAATCGCTTTCCTAACTAAATTGCGATAAAATAAATATTTTATGTCCATATATCGATTACCTAAAGCCAGGGCCGAATTTAAGGAAGGACCGGGGGGACAAGAGGGGCCCCCACAATAGAGACTTCGGATATTTTTTTTTAAATTCCGCCACTTATCTTTTGACAAATTTTAATATATTTGCTAAAGAATAAAATAATCTACTTGGTCACAATAAATTATTGATTAAAAACTCGCCTTAAAAACAAGTCATTTTATTTGGAATATAATTTGGGGCCAGGGGCCTACACCCAGACTTCATAATCCGGACCGGAAAAGCTTGTGGAAAAGGTATTGCATCGTGCAAAACATACTGTAGCTTATAATATTAGTATAAAATAATCTGGTTGGTTTATACCGAAATAACCAATAAACACTTACTATTTGGTATAGCTACAGTTTTATTAAGACCTATCTACGCATTTTACTAACCGTTACTATTGGAATACATAATTCTTGAGCATGTCATGTACGAAATCTCGGCTATATGCATACTTCCTCGTCAGTTGGTTCCGATGTTATGTAATGTATTAGGTAATTATGAATGGAGGTCAGAAGTTCGGTGATTTACTACCATTCATATAAGTTTTTCATATAGCAATTTAGCCTTAATTTAAGTACAACTATTTGCAGCTAATTTCACTAACTTTATTTAAATGTTGTTTTACGAACCAGGTCACGAATCACCAAGGAAAAGAATTTGCGTGCGTTATGTCGAAAAATAAATGTAAAAACGCATATTACCCAATTTACTCAAATTCATTTATTCTATAGAAAATTCATAGCTAACATTTTTCGTAATATAACTTTATTGCGTTAGTTAAGTTACGCAAAATTTCCATCGGTATAATTACACTATGTATAGCTTTAGCTATAATATTTTAATTCATTAATAATATCATTAGATATAGTGTCTCTCTGCGTGTGATATTTGATTACGGCATATGAACTTTGCATACTTATATGAACTGAATCAGGAAAGAAAATTCCCATTACCCTTCAAGTCTTCTAAGTGACCTAAGTGAGAGATATTAGTGACCCAAAATATCTATCACATGTTGTAAAGCCACACATGGGGAGTCACGAAGACAACAAAATAAAAATTATGATTGTTAAGTATTAAGACTTAATAATACATACATTTAATATATTATTTAGAATGACATGAGGTTACCATCGACCAGTAAAGTTCACCGGTTAAAGTTTACGAACGAAAGTTGAACTCCTTGAGAGCTTGTGACAAAGAAGTTCATTATAATAAGTTAACTATACGTTTTTAAGATCTATAATGTTTATGGTTTTGCTATAATTTAAGGAAATATTATCAAATACGTATTTCATTTATATATTATTTTAAATATATTTTTCGTTTTTTTTAAATATTTATATTTTTTATTAATGATATAAGTTCTATGATATCATCTGATATACTAAATACTGTAAACATGGCACATACTACGTTAGTTTTATTTTATAAGCACATAATAATAACAATTAATTTTTTTTTTCTTAATAATCCTGCCAGTTATATCAATATACATATATCTAAAATTATTCGTATTATCATTTTATATTATTAAACAAGTAAAACCATACCTTACTTTTTTCTCAATCCAAATTCATGCAGATAGAATAAATTTAATTAATTACTTCATTGACACACATTTCACAGATTACAAAATTATAATATTGTTCTATGGATTAAAAAACAATAATTAAAAATGGCGTCCGCGCGCCAAAACGTTCTCTTGTAACTGGTTGATTGGAGAATCTGAGTTACTTTAAATTCTGACTCCTACAATAAGTGGGGGCGTAATACATAATAAGGGCCTTTAAATATATTTTAAAATAACTTAAACTTACTTAGGGGTTATAAAGTAATAAGATAAGGAATATTATTACTGTATTACTGATACATAACCAAATCGTAAGAAGACTTTAAAAAAATATTATTCGAATAAGTAAAAAAATCTAAATTTGGTGTAACATATTTAACAGACACAACAATAAACTGTTATATGTACTTCAATTCATGGCCGCGCAAGTTTGGTGACAGTGGGGTTTAGGGAAGCCGTGCCAGGTCAATTGGCTTAATGCTTATCCTTCGCCAAAACACTGGCTTCCTTTTGGACCCTCAATCACTTCGCATTGCCATCAGCCTCCGCTTAGGAATGCTCCTATGTACATCTCATAAGTGTCCCTGTGGCTTTGAAGTAAGTAGCCTTGGACACCATGGCCTCCATTGACAAAAAAGTGCAGGTCGCTATTCTCGCCACGCCGCGCTCAACGACATAATATGCCGCTCTCTTGCCTCCGTCAATGTTCCAGCCATTTTGGAGCCAACAAGCATCGCTAGAGACGTTGACAAGCGTCCGGATGAATGTCGTTGATCTCTTGGAGGATAGGACGGGCTTTGGTATGGGATGCTACTTGTGTGGACACGTTACCTGCTTCTCACCTCTCTCAGACAAGCGAAAAAGCTGGGGCGGCGGCTGAGCAGCGGAAAATTAGACAACTTTCCTCCAACTTCGATCTTGTTCCCTTTGGAGTAGAGATTCTTGGGACGTGCGATTCAATTGCACAGGCGCTAATTAAAGATTTAAGTTGCTGTTTTTTTCGCTCATCGAATAAGTATCGCAATACAGCGAGGAAATGCTGCCTCGTTAAAGGTTCACTGCCACAGAGACCAAATTTTATAAATTTGTTTTAATTTTCTATTTATTAATTTTTAATTATCGTTAGTATTACTACATAGGTTAAGAAAATTGTAAATTCGGTATAATAACCAGAAATAGATTTAATTATAGATTTAAAAAAAATAAGTCACCAAAATATATATTACTTATATACCTATATATATATCTATGTAGCGTATTTTTATAAAGTTTATTATAAAAATAAAAATCAGTGGCGCTACAACCTCTTTAGGTCTTGGCCTCAGATTTATGAATCTGTTTCATGAAGTTAAAACTAATAGGCAAGTAGGTGATCAGCCTCCAGTGCCTGACACACGCCGTCGGGCGTCGACTTTTTGGGTCTGAGACATGTCGGTTCGAGCAAATGTTAAATGCGCACATAGAAAGAAAGTCCATTGGTGCACAGCCAGGGATCGAACCTGCGACCTCTGGTATGAGAGTCGCACGCTGGAACCACTAACCAAACACTGCTCACATTATAAAAATACGTAAGTAAATTTCAGAGCCTTGAATTTCATACCTAAAATTAAATACGCCTTATAAATAACTATGGAAAGCACAAAGGAAGTGCAAGTGAATATTAAAAATGTATATTATGTTTATTGTTTGTGCATGTACCTACGATGGATAAAGCTACTGTTACGCCACCGTATTTGTATTATATTCTTTGAACTATCGTTCTCTTCCTCCTATCTATACTATGGCAGAGTTATACTTGTAAGTAGTTTCGATTAACAATTTGTATTCAAAACAAATTAGTCTAACAATAGATTATGTCATGTGAACCGCTTGCCCTTAATTAGCTAATTACCGTTAACGCAACGTTGTCGATAAAATAGTATTCGGAATTTAGTTATCTAGAACGATGAGGTTATGCAAAACTTATACCAGAGGGCGTCACATACTTCTTAGGATTGAGGCAACAACGGGCTTATAAAAATTGAATAAATTATATGTTCGCATTATAAAACTTTTATGGTTTATGTTTAGGTTACTTAATACAATTTCGAAAGGTTCCTAACCGGCTCGTTGGTCTAGGGGTATGATTTTCGCTTAGGGTGCGAGAGGTCCCGGGTTCAAATCCCGGACGAGCCCGGATAAAATTTTGCTTTTTTAAATTTATTTATTGATCCAGTTAATTTTTGTAGGTAGATATTAAATGCCCTGAAACTGTTAGGCTCAAAAATATTAATTCAAGTAAAAGACTCATTATGCCAAAGATTATTTATTAGTTTCTAAACATTGATTTATTTTACATAAAAAATTATATACTGGTCATAAAGTAGTCATCAGGAGGACATGGATCATTAGTATCTATTGGTTTGTATCTATAAATCTTGCCTCTTGTGCCTATAATGATATTGTTTTTGTTATCAAAAGCTAAACCTGTAATTTTGAAGCCCAACTGTCCTATCTTAACTGGTAAAATACTTCTGGTAAACAATCTAAATAAAGATCCTTTTACTGCTACAATGGCTTCATCGTGGTTATTCAGTTTCAATATATATTTCAGCTCCCTAGAGAAACCTTTGTACTGTATGGGTTCATACAAATCTATTGGAAAGAAATATAATCTCCCGTCAACGTATTCGTAAAAATCATTCCCTTTACTGTCTAATATAAAGTTGTAAGCTTTCGGGATCTTATCGTATCTTTTTACAGCGGCCGAACCATTAACAAACTTGAATATTTCATGATTATGGCCCGTTGTAATATACATCTGATTATCTGTTTTGTCTATAAATATACTCCTGATGTCGTCATCACCGATTGGTCGTTCCACACTTATATCCGGTCTTGAATAGTCATAAGTAACTAAACCTTGATTCGTTCCTATATAAATTATATTGTTAGCCACGTCGATGCCAATACATTGTCCAATATAATCATCGGCCACTGGAAGCTCTTTGATTCCTAAAGATCCGTGTTTCAAAATGTGAATTCCCTTTGTGTAGTTCCGTTTATGAAGTAGGAAGAATATATTATCTGTTCTTGGATCTATGACCATTCCTGTGGGGTAGCCGTCGATGGCAGCAATAAGGTGACGTTTATAATATTCATTACCAATCTTGATCCTTTCACATTTTTCAGCATAAATTGAAGCCAACAAAGCGAACAATACGATTGATCCATATTTTAACAATTTCATGATGCAACATGTCAATCCCTGAAAAAAATTGTAAACATGAAGTTAATTTACGGTAATTTATTTTAGTTATTCAATATTTTCTTTAAATAAATTTGAATTAAAATCTTAATCCTTACTGATCGCTTAAGCAGTGATCTGAGTTTGCAATTATGTGGGCGACATCCGACTCTTTTAAAACAACCATTGTTATGTCACCGAACACCAGTTTGTAAATATCGTCTTGGGGATATAATATAGCGGGTGAATTATATAATTTTGGTATAAAATATAATGTGTCAAGCAGATAATGGATTGAAGTACAATATTGGAAAAATTATGACAAATAATATATTATTGAATACTTGCTACGAAAAATTAAACTATTGTCTTCTACTTTACCTTTTATTTAAAGGTTTTTATACTTGAAGAGTATAAAGTAAGAACAAGGGTAGTTACACTAAATCCTGACATATGTTTACAAATATTGTTTTATAAATATCCGTTTCATAAGGTACATTTCAAGGAAAATGATTTTTAAACTAAATCAGTTTAATATGTTAAGGTGAACACCATGTATAATAGGATCGCTAGAAAAATAGTGATGCAATAGTTTTAAAACAATCAATCTATTCTTAGATACAGAAAAAAGTTATAATAACATGTCAGTCTGCCGGGGCCCTACGTTGCTGAAGTAATTTGGCGAGAAGAAGAATTGATAAAGGTAAACCTTTAGTCATTCATATTTCTATTTTTTTAATTTAAGTTATATTATGTTTAATTTTAACTTTTCTAAAAAAATATTTAGGTATCCTATCTAGTATATGTACATATACTCTCAGTAACGTTTATATTTTCTTTAAATTATTTGTCATTTGCGTACTGTAAAAATTGTTATGCGCCTGTCTCATTTCGTGTTTCAAAATCATGTTGTTCAATGTTTTCATGATTTGATTTCTATAAGTGAATACATATTTTTATATGGCAATGAATTAGATGAAAAAAAACTACGATTTCGCATCACAAAGTGTTGTATTTAATTATTGGCACATTTCATATTTGTAAATCACGTCAGTCGTTGATATGTAAAAGCTGTCACCGTTAAAGGCTATGCCAGCCGGAATATAGTCTAAATCCATCATTTTCTTAGGAATTATATTATCCGGCCTTAACCAATACAATCCATCGTTTGATGCTAACACGACATCGCTGTCATCGTTAGTCGTAATCGCCCGAGCAGAGTTCTTAGGTATGCCCATGAATTCTATAGATTCTTGAAAACCTTTCAACAAAACTCTCACGTACTTGGAATCACATTCATAGTAAATATTATCGTCACCATCTACTGCTAATATGTACGCACACGGGACATTTTCAACCCTTTCCTTTTCGTTACTAGTTAAATTAAACTTATAAACTTCGTTGTTAGGGAAGAACACCGCATAGATATTATCTGAATGTCGTGGTTTAAACAGCTGGACAATGTCTTCATCTTTCATCGCTATAAAGTTGGCTCTGCCCGTTTTGTTTAATACATGCAGTCCATCATCACTTGCAATGTATACTTTGTCATTTTCGTAATCTACGGCTGCGGCTTGACCGTTGACATTTTCAATTTTTATTGGTTCACCATTTCTTAAAATATATTGATCCATTTTAGTCTGTATTTCATCGTTTTGTAAAGTTTCCATATCAATTAACGTGAAATATAGGTCATTTGTATGAGAATTGAATGCAAGGTTTGTTGGTAAACCTTTTATCGTTAGTATTGCCGATCTAGTATAGTTCATTCGATGGAAGTTATGTGAGCAGTCGTTTGCTAGTGCTGATGTGACAAACAGGAATATAAGTAGAGGCAGCATTTTTTCTGAAAAAAAAAAACAAATAGATTTGGCATGACAACATTGTATCAATTATTATAGTTTCATGGATAATTCCATTAGTTGTTGTTGATGTTCTTCATTAGATTAATTAGGTTTACTTTTATCTCAGGTCAAAATGTTACACTGGAAAGTATGTTAATAGAGATAAACAACATAGCTTTATAATCTGTTTAACTATTAATGGGAAGAATTCTTATTCTTGCGAAAAGAAATACTGCCAGCAATATAACTTCAAAATTGTGGTTGCTAAGTCCCATAGTGTACGTAGCATACTCTACGTATTTCTAGACCTTTATCGTATATATAGTGTTTTAGTGTTATTTTATAAAATTAATTAGTTATAACATATTTTTTTTATAAAAAAATATTATATTGTCATAATTATATAAAAAGGTAATAGAAACATGAGTGTGTTTTAGAGGAATATTTATAAATAATACATGTATGTATTAGTCCCCACAATGTTGTGAATTATTTTTTCTTACATTGGAAAGGTACATTTAATACAATCAGCTTTTACGTAAATAAAGGCGGGTTAAAATAATATGCTTAAACCGCATTCTTGGTTTAAAATTAATTTTTAACACATGTTTCGTCGGATACTGCTTAATTTTCATGCTAATGCTTACACAATAATGACAGGGATATGAGTATTTGTCTAGTTGCATATTTATTTAATTTATGAAGCACTTACTTGTTTAGTAGGACACAAACACCAATCACAGGGCCACAATTTACACTGATATCGTAACGATTTTGCTGTCACAGGCTAACGTAGTTCAATGCACTACAAAATGAGGTCGATCTAAAAAAATCGCGCAAAATATTAACGATTTCTCGTTTGTCAATACATTTACACATTTGAAACAAGATTAACATTGCAAGTTCAATATATCTAGTTTTATAGGAAGGAAGGAAATGCGAATGACTATTTCCACTATACTGCGAGAAAATTATAATTTCCTTTTGATATGTGGTAATACCAAGTTGGAGAATCCGGACGATCTATATGTCGAACTAATTGTCTCGATTTTTTTCTTCTTCAGATTTTTATAATTATTCAGCTAGACGTATGTACGTATGTGTGCATGTACATTTTGCTATTCACACCTCTGATACCCTGTTCCCCTTTTTGGATACTGATCTATATCATCATCCCATATTATCTGTGTCATTACTGCCCTCTCTAAGGTAAGTCACAAATTTGGTATATTTGTCAGCTGACTCTTGTGTTAAGCGGGTTTTTCCATTTCAATTTTAGTTGACGTTCATAAGTGTCTGGTTCACCTATATGAATAATGTTATTAAAAAAAACATGAAATTTTATTGAACCTGGTTATTTATTCGATTTCTTTTCAAACCGCGACCAGACAAACTTAACTTGTACAATATAATACTTTTCACTCGCCAAAAGTGGGTTCTTCGAAACACTTCTACTCTTTTGAATTTAGAATTTTACGATGTTCGTTACAAACAAATACTTTTTATTTTTATAAATTTATAGATATTAAACCTAATACGCGTGTAGCTGACCCAGCCAAAATTAGCTTTGCCAATTGAAAATCTCCAAGACATACTACATATATAATATATTATTAATGCTTCATACAATCCGGTGAAATTGTCGGTTAACAATGAAAACCATGTAGGAACTAATTCTCTTCACGCATAAATGGATGTGCGTGTCGTATTCCTAGGTTTATTTTACGATTATATAACATCATTTCAATTTCAAATAAGATATTCAATATTTATTATACTAATGACAAATAAAGAGTATATTACTTTCTTATAATATAGGTGTATGAACAAGTACCGTGATACTACTAAAACTCAACGAATATTGGTTAATATTTTTCATAAATAATAGGCTTTTCATTGCTTATATAAAAAAAATTTCTTATGTGGGTAGCATGTAGAGAGGGATCCTTATGGATCTATTGTTACACAATTTAAAATTGCAAATACAACTGTGGACCAACAAACTAAAATGGGAAATAAATATTAAAAAATCCATACAATATTTTTAACATAAGTTGTGTATTTTTTCAGGCTTAGAAAGACTTATATGTTCTTACATTTTTATATATTAACCTATTCACATATGTAAATAAGTCATCTTTGACCGCGTTAGCATCAATAAACTTTTTTCTAAGAATAATTTTATTTTGTTTGTGTCTAAGAATATATTTCTTAATATATCTTGGGAGAATGTTCAAAGCTTTTATAAGCCTGGGTTTTACAGTTAATATGAGCTCAAGTGATTCTTGCAAGATATTAATTTAATCTTCATGATGTTTTACTAAATCAACCGTTCTTTATGTATTTTATTTAACTTAATATTTAAAGCGACACATACAATCTGGGCTTACAAATCACCACGATCACGTCGGGGTTACCAATGTAGAGGAGGGATGGTGTACTGTTCCTCCAACTAACAAGCTAACCATTGACTGGACGGCCCGAAGTTAGAAACAGTACACCTCCTTCACAATTTCTTTGTCTTTTATTTTCATGAAATAAATTGTGACTGGTTAAAACAATCCTAACATGAAAATGAAATGTTTTTCATTTCAATTTAATAATTGAATTTATAATGCATTACAACTGTTTATTTTTTTATTATATGTATATATATTGTATATTTTACTATATTTTTTTTTATTATTTGACATATATTGTGTTATTATTTCTTTGTTCCAGAGATATGTGGGCATTTATAACGGCTGTATCTTATTTAGTAACAACAGCAAATTCTATACACGTATTTTCAGGACAGAAAAGATATAACTCAATATTTAGACCTGAAAGTATTATATTTAAATCAAATTACACAATTACAAAACTCTTAGTACCTGCGGATGGCGGATCTTACATCGATCACACTGATATACCAACCATTTTCTTTACCGTGTACGATCGAAATATAGATGGAGAACATTGTATATACGTGCTGGAAGACTTTGCTGCATATGAGATCCTTGAAGGAGGCAGAGATTCAACTTCGGATTATGGACTTGATAAAACAGTATATTTTGGTGCGAAAGACGGAGTTTATAAGTATGATCCAGAAACGTTATCGGCTAAGAAATTTGGCGAATTCCATGATGATATTATTCAGATTCAAAAGGCAAATGGATCAGATCTAATCTACTTTCTAACATCGCAATACAAATTGTATAAACTAGAAAATAATGGTACTAAAAAAACAAAAGTAAATTCTATACTTTGTGCTTTAGAATTTGTATTAGATACTTCTAACAATATCTATTATTTATCTTGCGATGATCGTATGCCACGAATTGTACAAAGTGATGGAAATTTACAATCATATCTTTCTAGTGTAACCGAAGACTTACAAAGTGTGAAATTTATACGACCTGCTTTTATAATGGATAATGGTGTTCCATTTTTTGGCGATGGAACATTGTATATGTTGTATTCTAATGGGACATCTATAAAAAAAGATTTTTATATAAAAGAAACACCTACGGCTTTTAGTATTGATGCCGCTTTATATTTTGTAGCTGCTATTGACGGAAAAATTTATGAGTTTAATGTAATGGAAGTTCTTTTAAGAAATATGTTTGGGGTTTCTCTTCAATGGCCATCAGACCTAACCAAAATTATCATGTCGGTTATAGATACAACTAAAGAGGCCTCTCATTAAAATAAAGAAGACTTAGGCTTAAAAGTTCTCTTTTTTATGTTAATGGAAAATAATGGCACGCATAATTGTGTATTATATATATTTTGGGTTAAAAATAAAAGATAATATTTTAGTACGTAATTTACTTAGTTGATATAATCTTGCTTTTTCCTGAAGATTTAGGTAAGCAGCACTAGATCATACATTATATTCACTTACTTCGTAGACTTGCTCTCCTGTTTGCAGCTAAACTCTGTATGTCGCTAGTTTTATTGCTAAAAAAGTCTTTCAATTCATCTAAAATCTCACCAAGGGCTAAAACTAAAATATTGTATTCGTATATTTTCTTGTCATAAGCATAGTATTGAATTAAAGCAGCTTCCATGCCAAATGCTGACGGGATAGCATCAAGTTCGAAATCAAAGTCAGAATTTTCACTGGTACCGTTTGAGTAAACAATGTAAGCAACATTATCAACCAGAACAGGAATGCCATCTTCTAGAATAAATGGTGGTTTTATGAGAGTTATTTTTGTAGAATTTTCTGGCAAACCCACTATGTCTTTTATGCCTTCTGTGGTCTTTACATAAACCTTCTTATCCGGAGTAAAGAAGTAAAGATTATTTGAGTAATCTAATACTATCTGTTGCGCATCAAATATATCTTCAAGTTTACTTTTATCATTACCATTATTTTGGACTTCATAAACTGTATGATCATCAGTCAAAATGTATAAAGTATTACCCTCTGCTATGTGTGCAATACCAATGATGCTGTCAGTTAAAGAACCATATTTTACAGCTATTTGCTCATTCTCTTTGTATGTGTAGATACCATCACTAGCTGCTAAGTATACAGTTCTGCTATTGTCGCCAGAGGAAGCTGCATCTCTTCCATTTTCTAAAATCTTCTTGACTTGTCCATTTTTCAAGGTATACAAACCCTGATACGTAGGTTTTCCAGCCTCATCAATATCTGCTTCAACGAAAAACACTGTAACATTACTTTCGTCTTCATTAGAATTGGATTCGCTAGATTTGTTTTCGTCAAAATTAAGTGAATTTAAGGGTACAACTACGCTTATAATGTCATGGCTTCCTTCGTATTTAAGGAAGTTCCGTAGAAAATATTCTTTTGTTATTGTTATTTTCTCATCGTCTTCTACAGAAGTAGGAGCGCCTGAAATGAGGCCTACCAACAAGAAAGCCGTGAAGATTTTCATTGCCATCTTAATTTCTGTAAATAAATTTTCAAAATTAATTTATACATTTCAGGTTTAAACGTAGTTGAGACTAATAATACGCTCTATCTTATTCCAATCAGAAAACCAGCTTGTTCATGTTTTAATGTATAAAAATATTTTTCAAAAGAATGTTAGTCATTGTTTTTAAATATCTAAGAACATTTTTGTTTTGAATGATCAATTATATTCAAAGGTTAAATGTCAGACTGATAACAGTTCAATGGAGATATTTTATATTAATACAATGATTATTATTTTAGCAAAAGGCCATAATCAACAGTAGTTATTATAATTGTATATATAATTAAAAGATGGAATCTTTGATCCCTTGGAAAATGGGACGGGCTTTAGTATGGGATGCTACCTGTGTAGACACCTTTGCCCCGTCTCATCTCCTTCGGACAAGCAAAAAAGCTGGGGCGGCCGCAGAGCAGGCAGAAAATAACAAACGGCACAAATATAAGAGTCTTTCCTCCAACTTCAATTTTGTTCCCTTTGGAGTAGAGACTCTTGGGCCGTGGGGTTCAAGTGCACAGGCGCTTATTAAAGATTTAAGTTGGCGCCTGGTAGATAGTACCGGTGACCGCAGAGCTGGCACTTTCCTGGCTCAAAGAATAAGTCTCGCAATACAGCGAGGAAATGCTGCCAGCGTTAAAGGTACACTGTCACAGGGACCAAACTTTTTAAATTTGTTTTGATTTTAATTTTATTTATTTTTAATTATTTTTATTATTACTTTATAGGTTAAGAAAATTTTAAATACTGTTTTTGTGTAAATAAATACATCATTATTAAAAGAAGTAAAAAAAGTACGTAATAGTAAGTATTTTTAACAATTAAGTAAATATTACCTACATAAAAACCGTTGGTTTTATTTATACTTCTTTTTGTTTGTCTATGTATCAATAGTACGCACTATTAATGAAGTACTAGATATGAATACTGAATAGTTTAATCACATTTAATGCAATGCATACGAAATCATCCCTGTTAACATTTTGTTACGAAGACGGGTCGACTGCAATGTTTCTGGATTTTTCCACTAGTTAGAGAACTTTTCAGCAGGCTGAAATTTGATTTATGACCGTTTCAGGAGAGGATCAATCACATACCTATTAGAAAATCGTTATTTACATAATGTTACCCTAGTTTTCAGGAGGCTGAAACATTTTTTCAGGCAGTTTCGTTAAAAATGTCCTCTTAAAATTGTTATAGAACTCTTAGTAATAAATTATGTTATATCAACAATATAAATTATCTCTTAATCCAGTGGCGCTACAACACTAAATAATTGGTCTTTGCCTCAGATTGCATCCGTTTCTCATTTTATTATTTTTTAGACAACTAGGTGATCAGTTTTCTGTGTCAGATACATGATGTTGACGTTTGCCTTCACCGTAGGAGCCAGTGCAAATTGTGCAAATAGAAACAACATTCTATTGGTGCACAGCCGTGTTTCGAACTCACGACCTTAGTGCTGAGGATCGGACGCTAAAGCCAGTGCACCAACATAACTCTTATTTTATCCTACAATCGCCAAATGAAATATGCATAAAGTAAAAAATGGTATCACCCTGAGTATCTCTTACGTTTTCCGAACGTCCTAGCTCTGGGCTCCTCGGAACAGAAGACCAAAGGTTAGGTCTTTACCAAGCTTAAAACTAATTCTAAACTAGTCCATAGTTGGTTATAAAGTAAAAATCCTCTTAATATAGTAATAAAAAATATGTATGAACTTACCCACGATAACTGATGAAATGGCAATTATAAAGCTATCGTAAGGAAATAAATAGAAGTCGCTTAAGTCTTATCATTTGTTTATAAAACGGTGTTAATATTATCAGTTATAATTGGTCATAAGGTCATATTAAGGAATTCCTTTGCAGCAGTTTTGCTTTGCAGCTTTCAATACTTGTCTAGAAATTGTTATTGTGGTGACTTGAATTCGTGTATACGGTGATGTTAGTTATTTCGACTATGTATTTGCGTGTTGTTCCCACGAGAATGTAAGTGCGTGCACCTATTTCACCATGCCTCATTTTAATTTATTTTATTATTTCTAATTAACTATTCATTACTTTAGATGTCATGTCTTAAGGAACATGGTGTAATGGTTGCAGCTCCTTACAAACGTTGTGTAAAACAAAAAACCTGGCGATTAAAAAGAGTGGCGGAGAGTTTATTGCCAGTTCTTCTTTTCCGTTGTACACCTTTGATTTGAGAACTAGCAGTAAATGTAAAATTATAAGCATTTAATGTATATTTCTTTTTTTGACGTTCATAAGTGTACATTGTGTTACCTACATGAATAAATGATTGTTGACTTTATCGTTAAGAATTTATCCCACTATCACAAATTTAAAACTTCATCGAAGCAGACAAAATGTGAAAGAATTTTTTTAAATAACAGACTTTTTACTAACTAAACATATAATCTTTCTTTACAATCAAGTAAACATATTTATTATTAACCGTGAAATATATATATTATTAAAATATTCTATGTTAATAATGTCGTGTGAATTTATTAAGTTTAATCTGACTCATGACTCTGGAATAATCTTATTATAGCGTGAATTTTACAGATATGATAGGTATTTTCTCACAAACTTCATCCAAGATTAAAATCGTATTTATAAATTCCCGCAGACTGCATGCAAAAAGCTTTCAGGATGCCTTCAGTTTCTATATTACAACCTAAAAACATACTTGTACCATGTTATATACACCGTTCTCTTGTAAAAATTGCGGTTTTTTCTTCTTCTTTTTCTTTTGATGCCTCTGCATTACTGGAGGTTGGCCGCCGTTTTGTGAAGCGTGTCATTGCTCTTTCGTAGTCGTAATACCCGTCCACTCCCTAACGTTACGAAACCAAAATCTTTCCTTCTAACATCACGCCGTTTACCCTGGATTTTACGCATTATAATAAATAAAAGATGGTGGTTGCGGTTTTATTTCAGTCACATAAGTGGATTCTGGCAGGGACTTTATTTTATCTTCTGTGCAATCTTCAGGATCAAACAGTCTGATACATTCTTATTAGGGGTATACATTATTCTTCAAGAAAAAAAACAATATTATCTTTATATTCATATTTTGTTTGACGTCAGTAGCTGCAAAATACACCATTGTGACATGATCAGTGGAAGATCTTTTCCCTTAAAAGCTTTTTGGATTTTGTCATTTGTAATATAATAGAACATAGATGTGTTCCATTTCGATAATATCGGCTTAGACAAAGAGCACTTAAATTCACTTGAGTCATCATTGCGGAAGCCGTCCAGTAGTAAAAGGATAAATCTCTTCACAGTTATGGTCCCCTTTGTACATTACGTCTTGTTTCGAGTATAAATTCCGGGATTGGTATTGGTTAGTTTATTAACTAACCTCTACTTTAAAGATGGGAGCGGCCACTCGGCCCACCAGCAATAATACCATGAAGACTTTTGATTTCATTGTTTCTGAAAATTCAAAACAATTAATTTTTACTTTTATTATTAAATAAAACTTATATGCCTTCTTAAGCATAGCATGTACATAATAAGCTTTTGGAGTAAGTATCATTAATAGACTATAGTAAACGTTATCTCGATAAAAACTATGTTCTGTCTCTGTCAACATTGACTGTTTCTTTCTTTATTTAAAACCGGGTATAAATTTACATTTGGACTTACCGATGTGTACTAATAATGAAAATATTATTACATATTAATATAATTACATAGATATTATCTATCTTTGACCTTTTACTGAGAATGAACATGTTTTTGATGATATCAAACATTGTTATTGGATTTGCATCGGCTTGCTTTATTGCCGACAACAAAATGTAGGCGCGTAAGATGCTCAGGATTATTTAAAAATAGAAATAAATACAAATAATAACTAAAAAAAACTTTATTTATAAAATAAAAATATCTCAATTATACATTTTCATATAATTCAACATATAAAAATTCGTATATTCATTTTAAGGCAACGTCATGGGTTTATCATATATTTTATTTTTATAATAATATTATGTAAAAATGTCAAGCGTCAGCCATTAACAGCTTGAGATTTTTACGAAGAAAGCAAAGTTGTATTTTACACAGATTTGAAAAATACGATTTTGGGCAATTTTAAATCGTATTTTTCAAAATATATATGGAGGTTTTACGTATAATGTGCCATAGCCAAGCGGTGTCTCTTAAACAATTACAAAAATTAACTAACTTATATTACTGAAGGCAGATTTTAATTTCCTAATCGTATAATCATATTTAGCCACAATACTGCGTCGATCATATAATTTGGCATCGATTATTAAGGAATTATTGTCGTATGCGCCCTCAATCAGCTAACAAAACCTGAGTAATTTTTTTAACAAATTTTACTATCTTTAAGTAAATATAAAAAACAGCAAGCTTGAAAAAGGGCAACACTAATTAAATTGATCCAAAAACAAAAAATAATCAAAGGGCTGTTGCGTATAACAACAATTTAGAATAATCATTTCACAGCAACACTTGAGCAAATGAAACAGAAAAACTAACTTAAAATGAATTCTTTTACGAATTTAGTAGTCTTCATTAAGTATTAAAATTGTCTAGAAACCGATATGAGATATTATAATGAAAATAACTTCCAAGAAAATAAATGAAAAAGAAAATGAAAATTCAGCGACAGTGTCCGTAAACTAATTATTAACATTAAAATAAAACGCAATAATTCGACAGTCTATAGACTTTAGGAATGTAAACACGTCAAGACAAACGACAATCAAAACGAAACCTATTCAAATAAGCAACAGAATGACGTTCAAATTAAGATAATATTAGGCATCTTCAAGATGGAATTATATAACGATTTAATTTTGTCGTTCAAAGACTAAAGAACTAAGGTAATAAAGAAATATAAAAAGGCAACGTCCGGCTCACTTGGAGTGAACAAGGTTGAGGAACTCCTCACGAGTCTTGGGGTCGTCACGGAACACGCCCAACATCGTTGAGGTGACTGTCTTACTGTTTATCTTCTGGACACCACGCATCACCATGCACATGTGCCTGAAAGACAATATAAAGAAATTAATAAAAGCAGTTATAGTACCTGATTTTTTTGTGTTGTTTCTTTTTTATACTAGGGCTTAATTTCAGTATCTGTGACAGTTGGTAAATTATAGGGTTGATAAACGATATAATATGTATAACTAGCCATAGGAATACTAAAAATCTAATAACGTCCAACGACGAAATGATAATTATTAAATCAATAGCAGTAGCTACTTAGATTGGCTTACATTGGCCTGCATCTAATCTACAAAAATCAACAATGTTTTTGTGTTGGAAACTGCAATTGAACCACACATTTAGAAAAATGTCCAAAATTAAACTATACTTTTTAATTCGCTACGATTTGTACGAGTCAGGGTCGGGCCCTGGACCGATTCAAACAATATGGAGCTAGGATACTTACACTCCTTCGATGACGACAGCTACACCAGCAGGTCTCACTGCTTGAGTGACGGCCTTCGCTATCTGTTTAGTCAGACGCTCCTGTACTTGAAGCCTTCTGGAGTAGATCTCCACAATTCTGTTGATAATACGTTTTATGTGAGTGGAGGAGCCATTTTTATAATTGTGGGTGTTCAGATTTCATTTGAACATTGACCAACTGCTGACACGGCTCAAGTGGGTGTTCCATAGAATAATAATAGAATATATGTGTGAATAGGTGTAATTAGTATTTATGAGGTTGTTTTATAAGAATAAATGAGATTTGAATATTGCTTCCTCTCAAAGTGGCAGACTCCTTCAATCCCTTAATTATTGTGAACCTTAACGATTGATCCTACCCGTAGGGCTCCGTCTGTTACCTTAGGTCTCTTGGTGCAGACATCCCGTACTTATTTATATATTCTCTATTTTTGTCTTAGTGTACATCAGTAGGGCTTAGGGATCCGTAGGGTTGTTAGGTGGTTGTCCCTCTCATATATTTAGTTAGTCTAGTCTAGTGCAGCATACATACATATAGGTTTAACCACGCATTCACTTAACTCGCGACTAATAAGGGAGATAAAAATGTATGTTTATATGTACTTTATATTCCTAATAACAGGAGTTATACATTGACAAACCTTAAAAGCACTGAATGTAGAATTGTATAAGTTTATTTTTCCGTTACTACAGTACAAGAATTATTTTAGGAAATACTACGAAGCCAAGCATTCTAGACATGATTTTTAAGAATCTTAATAAAAAGGCTCACCTTGCAAGCTTGCTAAGTCCAAGAATCTTGCCCTGCGGCAGGTATCCGATAGAGACTTTTCCGTAGAAGGGCACCAAGTGATGTTCACACATAGAGAACATCTCAATGTCCTTTACTACAACCATCTCGTCTGTGTCTTCGTCGAAGATGGCATTGTTTAACACCTCTGAAATTGTGCAATGAATTCATGGTAACTGTTTTTTTTATAGAGGAAAAGTTTGTATTCTTTGTATTAAAAAATACAAACTTTTCAAACAAAAATCACCGCTGGAATGCTACATTATCCCTAAATAATATTAAGTAATGCTATATTTATTTCCAAATTTAAAATAAATTTAGACATTGAATGGTAAAGGAGTCATGATATTTTCTAACTTCTGTTAGGGATTCTATATAATATATGTAATGAAATATAAATACTGTGTAAACAGTACAGATTTAAAGGAAGAGAGAGTGGGAGCTGAGCTGATTCATATTATTTTAAACTAATAACTGTGTTATTTATATTAATATCAACCACTTTCTAGTTTTATGTGAGTGGTACAGATGTGCCAATTGGTGATATACTCAAGACGTATTTAGCATAATACCAATTTATAAAAAAACCTAGGAAATTAGAAAGTAATATTATTTAATATACATATTTAACCATTATGTTTAAAAATAATCCTTTTCACATTCATTGAAAAATCAATTTCTCAAGGGATACCGGATATAAATATTATTTTAAATATAAAATTTTTAAGGTCACAATTAAGTATTGCGACTTTTATTGTATTGTAGGCCTAAAGAAAAAAAAATACGGAAAAATGTTCGTACAACACAAGTTACTCGTACCTTCTAGACTTTGGTCGTATCCTTTAGTGAAGAATAACATGGCTTTGGCAGCTCTTTCAGGAGTCTTGAGAAGACCATCTCTTTCTGGATCTTCTCCCAATCCTGTAAAATTATTAAATGCCTTTATAAGTCATAAAGGCACTAAAATACCTTAAAAACCATAGTTATTTTAAAGATTTATAACATATACAGCTCATATAATTTTAGCGATTTTATTTTACTCGACGTTCCACACGTTCTTGTATCTCACTGCTGTAAATCACTCGTAACTTCAAGTAAATAATGTAATAAATTTGCTTTAATATCAGTAAAAGAAGATTTATTATAATTTATTACAATGCGCAAAAGACATGTCAACATACCAACTTTTGTGATAGATATGTCAACTTACCCGTGAGCAAGAGCCTGTAGGAGTTAGCCATGTCGGGGAGGAGAGCCTCCCGGGTGGGCGGTCGGTGGTCCAGCTCCAAATCATGGTGAAATGTGCATTTTTCGTGACCTGGAACAATTGAACATAATTTTAAGTGAAAGTCCACACAGTCTATAAAGTATCTCCTAATATTCTATTTCACCGATCATAAAACAAATGACAACTAACGACAATCCGTAGCTTGCTGTACATATGCAACCAAACCAATGACGCCTTGTAACAAGAGAATAGTATAAAGAAAAAAAATAGTGCGCGGAGGGACCGCGCGGAAGAAGTGAAACTTCGTAATGTGGAAATGAAAATTGGAAGCATTCACTCTCGCTCTGTCTCTTTCTATTCCCCCTCTCCAGGAGCGTTAAACGCAACCTTGTTGGAGTCGCATTAAAAGTTTCACTTCAAAATAATTGTGGGTTGATTTTGGCACTAAACTCAAAGAATTACGACTCGAAATCTGTGCCGACGTTAACCAGTGCCCGCGTAAATAACTAATGGTTAAAGGCAGAACTGGGTGAAGTGTTGGTTCGAATAAATTCGATAAATAATATATACATTATACAGAATACGCTTTCGAATATCACGGAGAATACGAACACTGATTACGTCTTCATGTAGATTTGCTGAAAATTATTATCAGGCGAGAAAATTGTTACTTGTTAACAAAATGTAATACATTACGGTGTGGTGTTTATGCAGCAGGAAACTATATAAAGAAATGTTTATCCTTTTAATTTGTTCGAGATGCAAACCCACATAATCATATATTAATTTTATGAAATATATTGACTTGTGTCTGTCAAAGACAAGCGGTGACCAACCAGTTGAGTTGGCCTATTTCCTAGTTCCTAAGCCTAGCTTCAGTGAGCAACTCTCATCCCTGAGGTCGAAGGTTTGAGCCCCGTGCACAAGTTACATTTAGTGAAGGAAAACATCGTGAGGAAACTGGTATACCTTAGAGCAAAAAAGTCGACGGCATGTGTTAAGCACAAATACATCAGCACATATTTGCCTGTTAGAAAATACAATTGATCACGAAATAGACACAGGAAACTGAGGTCCAGACCTAAAAGGTTGTAGCCTCTGGCCTTTTATAATAAACCAGGCTTACAAAACACTTTTGAGTGAGAACTGACGCAATTTACAGCACTTGGATTGTTAGTTATACATTATTTAATGAAAGTCCTTTTCGATGATAATGAATATGCATTTTTATCGACAATGATAAATACATTAAAACAGAAAGATTAAACATTTAAGTTGGCGCCTGGTAGATAGTAACGAATATGTATCGCAATACAGCGAAAAAAAAATGCCAGCGTTAAAGATACACTGCCACAGGAACCAAACTTTTTAAATTTGTTTCTATTTTCTTTTTAATAATTTTTATTATTTTAGTTTGGATACCTAAGTTACCTAAAAAGTTAATTTTCTTACCTTTTTAGGATAAGAAAATTGTAAATACAAATTTCCATAAAAAAACATAATAATATGTTAAAAAAAATTAAAACATATATATTATTATTTATAGGTTAAGAACATTGTAAATACTGTATTTAAACATATATTTAGGATGCAACATACCCCTGCTTGTTTCGGATACAGGACTGCGCAAATACATTTCCATCTCGGATATAGAGAAAAGTTAATTTTCCTAACTTTCAGTGTTATTTTGACACCAGCTGTGCCCTGCGGTTTCGCCTGCCTTGCTCATGATAAACGCGTAGTACTTGAACATTATTTTGTAGCAGATTTATTTTAGAATACAACATTTACTTTGATACAAAATTTACATTGACGTCAATTGTCATTGCTCAAAAGTTAAATACTTCTACGTATTTGTGTAAGTTGTAATAATTAATTTGTAAAAACATCTATTCAAAAAAAATAATAATGATGACCACAAAATATAAACTAGTTTGACATGCAACACAAAAAATATTTTTTTCATTAAAACTAAAATATTCAGACACTTAATAAAACACTATTTTGACCGGATTGAAGTTATGTATTATTATAAATTTACAACTATTTAACATAATTTTAAATTTATCCGACGTTTCGCGTGCTTTACAGCGTGCGTGGTCACGGTGAAACGTCGGATAAATTTAAAATTATGTTAAATAGTTGTAAATTTATAATAATACACAATCCGGTCAAAATAGTGTTTTATTAAATGAATAAAAGTTATGTTAATCAAAGACAATACTATATTCAGACACTATCCTGTTCATCGGAACATACAAACTACAGCTTTATAATATTATAATTATATTATTAATAAACTCGACGTGAAATACGACGTAAAATATATAATTTAAGATTGACTGTAGCATATATGAAATGTTTATTGAACCACAGTTGAGTAATTTCCACTGATACATAACAATTGCCTTTGAATGAAGTAATAAAAATAAATTACACGTAGAATATACTAGTACTCACTTTCAATTATAGACTCTTTACATGTCGAAGACCGTGTACGAAATCAACTTAGACTAAAATCCAGTCTAGATTTTTCTTCTTTAAGCTTAATAATGAGATGTTTTTTACAACATGGACCCTAGCGAATCACGGACAAAGAAAATAAAGCTAATATCAATTAAATTGTCTTTTTTAACAAAGTAAAAATGTATTTAAATTTTTTTAACTCAACGTATTGTATACCTTATCATAATAAATATAAATCTTGATATAATTTATTTTAGAAATACTTATTTACTTACCCGAGTTATTTATGCATTGAAACGCCATTATAATTAGTTTTCACTTTCGTTATAATTCTGAAGTTTTTGTTTTTTAGTTTAGTTAAGTATATAGGGAAAACGTATTTTTTTAGGAAATGATCGAGCATTTTATCTTATGCTTATAACCATAAATTTAAATTATAAAAATACACGTCAATGATAACCTCTTTCTTCGGTATTTTTGATCTCGCTTCATTAGGATATCATACAATCTTCAAGATTATGTCAAATTCAACGTACGTATGCGCCTTAAATTAAACAATATATGAACAAAACCATTTTTTAATAATGCATTAAACTAGTGTTAGAATAAAATATAGTTTGTATGTAAGAATAAGCAGAATAACGAACCAGGTGTAGTCGAAGTCCGTGGCGTCGCTGGTGTTCCAGGAACCTCCAAATTTTCTTCAGGATCATTTAAGTGAAAATTTTTAAGCGCCTCTGGCACCTTCTTGTATTTACTAACAAACGATCCCTTACAAACATCACCGTTCTCTTTATCCTCGTTTTTTATTGATCGCGAACTAATTCTTCGAATTAGAGAGGATGGTGGTACGTCGGTGGTGTCTTTTCCGTTAACAGTCGTCATTTTAGTACATCAAAGTCTACAATGTGAACAATTTGTTAATTTATTTTTCGAGTATGTTAAATACGTGTGGATTGCGCCGCGTTTCTTTTAGAGTGATTATGTCCATTGGCCTATCCACTAAGGTTATCTTGGGACATGTTTCGCCAACATGTTGATAGCCTTAAATTTGCTTCCGAGTTTCAATTGCTATGTTATTTATTGTGTAGATAAATTGTAACGGAATGGAATAAACATCGGACATACATCAATTATAAGCATCTGATTTCTATCTAAATTTCGATAGACCATATCTAATTGCAAGGGTTGTAATGTTTTTAAAATCAGTTTTCTTGCTTGTTTATTTTCTATAGATTTGTAAGCAAAGATATTCTATTAGAATAGTTTTATTTCAAATCAAATATTACACAGATTAATTCGATATCGTTTTTGTTTTAGCGTCTTGACCTTCTTTTATATTTGTGTTTAACAAAGAATGTTAAAAGTCGTTAATTAAATCGCAATAATTATTGTAAACTGTAGATATATTTACGTAAATGCTACTTAAACAATTAATTAGCGGATATAATTGGAATCATACACATGTCTGTGAGGGGTCCAGTCTTTGTACCCTTATCTGTTTTATGTTGACATAATAGGTCGTTTGATTCCGCACGATTTATATTATTGCGTTTTACTCGAGGATTAAACAAAATGTATGAAATTAATAAATTATGGTTGATAGGTCGATAAAGCTGTTGTCTTTAGGTATCGACACGGAACTTGGGCAAAAATTGTTATGCCTTCCCCTACTACCGCGATTGTATTTTGTATTGAAAAATCGATCTAAAACTTTTTCCATAGATCTTATAATTCTGTTATTTAACGGTAACGATTCAAGAGGACCCACACTCTATATAAAGTTATCCTTTAAAAACTTAATAATGAAAACCAAAAACTAAACGGTGATCAAAGTGGTTCGGATAGTGTTCACACAAATATGTATTATATCACATTTCACAACATTATTCTTCTTTATAAATATGTAGGTATTTAAATTAATTATAATAAGAAGCTGATGGATTTTTAATTGCATATTTTATGCAAATCTTTGTTCTAATTGTAGTTTTACATTAAACAAAAAGTCCGATGATAATAATTTTATGTTATCTAAAAATAACTGCATTAATTACCGATTTGTTCCAAAACCGGTTCTCGGACGAGAGGAAATATTTAATTCAATGTAAACACATTTTACTAACATCGATTAAAACGGTTTTAGCTATTATTTAAAGAGATGTAAAACCGATACATGGGTAAATAAAGGTTAATTGCCAGTTGTTGAAGCTTTTTAAAGTTAATTATTTACTGACCAATTATTTAAGAATTCATCTAATGGTTTGAGGGTCGCGCGTTTGATTAATAAAAGCTACATAAAAAATATACATTATTAATACAGTTGATTTAATAAATATTTTTAGTATGTTTTACATTATATTATTAAAATAATGAATTATTCGATTTATTATTAGTATTATTAGTAATATCCCGACAGTCGATTTAAGACAAATAGTTTAAACGCGTTAAAATTCGGTAATTTATTACGAATGCTTTTGGCGTATATAAAATACTTCATATTAGTAATTAATATACCAACGACGCAGGAATAAGCTTGTATATTAAACAAGTATCAAGATAGGAATGTTAAGCGTGAAGTTTTCGACCTCAAGGGTATCTGGGTCAAGTTAACTTAGGTATTAAAACTAAAACTTATTGACAATGTAATACAAAGTCAATGTAGTATTGAAATTGAAAGATCGTGAGTTGACTGGAACAGGGAATTTCAGTGTTACGAAATAATGCTGATACAGGCATATAATTTGCATCTGGCAATGTGGCTTAGTGGAAGTAAGATAATTTAAAAATCGAATGTTTAAATAATGCATGTAAAAATATTCGATTATTCAAATTTTGGTGTGTATCTGTGATCTTTATTAAGTGTTTACATTTATGACAATGTTTATGGAATTATTCCATTGAGATTAAAAAAATAAAATTATCGTATTCGATATTTGAATCGAGCGCTTTCGCGGCATGTTTTAAAAATTATTATCATCGCTCATCATGTTAAATTTAAAGTAAACTAACAAGATCGTAAATTTTTGCATATGCTAAAAAAGTAGCTATTTATTGATAAGCAATAGGTAGAAAGCTTGATAAGAATAGAAAACACTCAGTCAGCATGACTGTAACTCAGGCAATAAAATGGGTAGCAAAAAATACACTACCTACTCCTTACATTTTTTTAAGTCACTTAAAACCCTATGCTAAATACAGTTTATATTCTGTAACTTAACGTTTTAACCGATATTTACAGGCAAATATTCTTGAAAAGTATCAATGTTCTCGCTGTACGCAATAGTTTACGTTAGTTCGAAAACCGCCGCCTTTATCGCTTTACATTTAATTAATTATTTTTTATGTTTTATGGTAAAAATAGCGGACATAGGCTGCATTAACATTATATATGTTGCCCGTTTGCCATTTGTCATTCAGGATTATTTCGTTTTCTGTTAGTAGTGTTCAGATGCTCACAGACTTAACATCTTAAATTAATAATAAACTATATATTTTTGTAATGACACAATCGTAATTGCCTCGTTAAATAAAATATTATTACCTCCTCTTTAGTCTATAATTATTATGAAAGCTTACTTAATTTTTAAACATTCCAACGCCTTGTAGCCATTGATTTATTATATATTTTTGTTTACGTCTGTTAAATAATCTATGAAGTATAAGATGAACTTGCAAAACATACTAGAACTGAACAAAATCACAAGTTGGTGTTATAAAAACGAGGTTAAGAAATTTTGCAACTACATTACAAATAATTCAAGAACTTTACAAAGGCCCTAGTCAGCGAAGTATTGAACCATATGAAATATTAAATCCTTTAAATAAATATTATTAGTATGTGCATATTAATAAAAAATATTATTTTGAATTACCTACACTTACAGGAATGCTTCTACATACTTTCAAGGAACCTCGTGGAACTCACTTTTGGGATCTCTAGAGAAATATACCCAACGTTTAAGCAGATGGCTTATTAATATTTTATCCTTGTCTAACTTAGAAAGAATACTGCATATATTCCACTTAAACTTGACTCGACATTCGGAATTTAAAAGCATAGATTAGTATTCAGAATTCGTTCAAAACTTCTTAGCTAAAATCACTTTCGATTTCTTTTTATTCGGCTTACTACTTGTTGATGTTTCTAGTAAGTAACAAAAGCGTTATTTTAAAATACTTGTGTTTTGAATAAGGATAAAAGAGATGACCCTTTTGAAATACATTTGGAAATCAGAAAAGAATGATCGGTTGTTGACCTTACATCGAGTTGCGTCGACGGAATTAAAATACAAAAATATCTTTAAATAGCCATCGAAATCAAAAACCATGGAAAATAAATTTAAATATGTTTATCTTCAACTAAAATTTATCTTCAAAAGTCGTGTTAGGTTAGGCATCTATACGTATCTGTTTATCAATTTTTTATACTTAAAAAATATCACTTACGGATTCAGCCCATTATTATCAATTATTAAAAGATATTGTTATTTATTTAATAAGTTTAACATTTAAACGTAGAATCTAGTTACAAAACAGAATGTAACCAAACAATAATATTGTTATTTATTATCAATATTTTTCTGTAATACGTAATATGCACATTATGCCAACATTATTTATTTGCAAATCTATGAAGTACTAAAGAAATAAACGGCTAAATTATAGGAAAAACGTTAATAGCTTGTTGCTAATTGAACAGAAACCTGTTGTTCTCACGAACATTGAAGGATGGTATATACTATTACGCGTTCATCATTAGATAAATTGTCAAAAGTAATATATGTATAATTAATTCAAATAAATGTACCGGGAGATATATTCTTGTATTTCGAGCTTAATAAAAAGTTACTCAGTGATATTAGAAGGGTTTTTGAAATTAACGTATGACGTATATCGAAGCTTGCAAAAAATGTACTTACTTTATTTCAAAGTAAAGGTATTTCAACAATTGTTATGGTAAATGGCCTAGTGGTAGGTCATGTGTTAAAATCAATTTTTTACAATGGTTTTTACTTTCTATGAGAACACTTGCTAGGCTAGGCGAACATTGTTAGAGAGCCGGCAAGTCTTTGATCAAAAACTTTACGCGTATCAGCCACTGAAGACTGATCACCAATTTGTCTATGAAACAAATGATCAAGTAGATGCAATCATATCCATGCCATAGGACTCTAGATCCAAATAATATTATTATCAATTACAGTACCAAAAATTGTGTAGATTACTAAGAACTTTACAAATAGAACAAAAAATTAAATACACTATATACTAATTAGTTGCAGTGTTTTAAGTACATAACTGTTTTAATTCGTACTATGTCCTTGTTTAAAAGTGAATGTTTTGTCCTTAGTAACTTTAACTTTGAAACCGAAATGGCCGCAAACACGAACTATTTAAATGACATTCCTATTAAAAACTCCGATTTATGTACATTGCCCGTTTTTATGTAATACGTGGCAACATATGAAATAAACCATTCAAAACGTATAGATTTTTTTTTGTCTTAGATGTTTTGATTATTTCACAATAATTGTCCGACCGAACTAGTGGTTGTTGGGAATGGGCCTTATAGTCCCGACCCACCCCGATCGAGCATAAGACAATTCATTATTGCTTCGGTCATACCTAATCCGCTGTTTCCTTCACTGTATGGGAACGGGTTGCTTGTTACAGGGGCAACGGTGGCGAAACAAAGAACGCGATGGAAAACGATAAAAAACGCTGAGAATATCGGCTCATACGGCGCGAGAGCTATTGGCGCAGAGATCTTATTCCCGGTCTCTCCTACAAATAAGTATTTATTATATATAGAAAAATATATAGCCCGTTAGAAGGGATGACCTTAAAGCTGGGAATTGCACGTTTCTGTTCAAAATTAATAAAAT